TCCTTAAATAAAGATCTGGTTTGTCAATGTCATTTTCCCTGGAGGGGGAAAAAAAGGTGAAACTGTAGGTGCTGTACATCTGGGGGAATTCTGCACCAAAAGTTTTAAAATTCTGCAAAAGTTTGCATATTTTATTTGTCAAAATAACACACTATAATCATGCCCATTTTAATTATTTTGGAAAGTTATTTCAACATATCTCTCAGTAAGTATGTCTGTAACGATACAGACTTAAAAAAAAAAAAAGATTCTGGTAATTTTCTTTTGACAAATAGATTCCTTACTAGGCATATGAATACAGAACTTAGCGTAATACAATTCTATATTGTAATTTAAATGAATTTCCTGCACCTAGCAGAAGCAGTGCAAAGGCTTGGAAGTGTCAGGGGTAACGGAGGAAGTGAGGGAGAGGCTAGGACCCTGGAGTGAACCTGGAAGGTTGTTGGCTGGGGGCGGGGAGAAGTATGGAACAGGTTTTTTGTGGGGAAGGGCAGGATTGTTAGAGTTAGGGAGCCTCCCCCACGCAGACCCTGGCTGATCCCAGGCCTCTCCCATTCAGTCAGGCACATCTGCCCATCCTGAAACTCTCCATCCCAATGGTTCCCTGGAGCACCTCTCCCCAGTCCGGCCATGCACCCCTAATCCCATTCAGTCCCTGGCTCAATGCTGGCACCCCACTAGCTCCTGAGCCCACGGCCCAGTCTGTCCTCCCCCACTAGGCATTCTGAACGCCAGTCTGTGACCCACCCCCCCCCAACAGCTCCATGTGCCCCACTCTGTCCTAACCTGGCTCCATGGGCCAGGTGCTGTGATGAACGTCTATTCCTGGGGGAATTCTGTGCCACTTTGCGAGCACAATTTTTTTTTCCCCCACCGAAAATACATTCTGCCCCTGAAGTGCTGCAGTTCCGCCTTCCGTCCACCAGAGGCCGCTGTGGCACCAGACCAGCCTGCAAGCATTCATGCTGTTGGCTGTTCTGGTGCCACAATGGCCTCTGGTGGGCAAAAGGCAGAACTGCAGCACTTCAGGGGCAGAATGTATTTTCCGCGTGGGGGGGGGGGGGGGAGTGTGCGGGACACATGAATTCTGCGCACGAGCAGTGGCGCAGAATTCCCCCAGGAGTTGTATTGAGTTAGTCAAACTTGTTGAACAAATCAGAGTGCAATAGCAAGCAGCTGCAACTTAAATCCCCAGTCTGAAGGCAGAGAGACATGGGTCCTCACCCAGAGAGAGGCAACAGCTAGGGGCCAGGGACCTGAGACTTCAGAAGGCATTCCTGCCATGGACCACAGAGAATGGGTTAAAGGTGCAGTTACCCTGAAACTGTGACACCCTATCTTGTGCTTTATCTGTTAGAGCATTGATCTATAAGCATTCAAGATCACTTGCTTCTGGGTAGTTAGTGACTTTAAAACAGGTAATGCCATTTTTTACCCACAGTGCCATTCCCCCTTTGGGAGGTCATTCATATGCTTTTGAACAGGACAGTTGTTGTACCAATAAAATAAAAACCAGCAGGATCTTATTAAAGGGAAAAAGGCAAAATACCACATTTATTGTGAATACAGAAAGAATCATAGTAAGCAGTTAGTTATAGTTATAACATTCCATTCAATCTCATATTTATTCACACATTCATTCATACAAACACACACAGGTTCTGCAAGGTTGTTATCATAGTTACCAGCCTTAGAGTTGCTCATGCCAAGCCACTGGCCAGGTGGCCTGGACATGAGGAGGGAGCAGGGCCTTGTCAGATGCTCATCTGATGCTCCTGGAAGTTGGTTTGCAGAATCAGACCCCAAAGTTCTCACTTTTGAGAGTCTATTTTTATAGGAATTTCTTCCTATGCCAGTCTATGGGAATTGCTTCATCATGCTGTTGCTGAATCAATCAGCAGATAGCACATTCCTGACGGCTCCAAGATGTTATCTTGTTCTTTGGTTCTCCCATTCTTGAGGCTGTTGGGTGGATTCCAGTCTGCCCTCCGGGGGGTCCTCTGGTTATTTCCACTTGACGCCTTCTTCAGCCGATGGACACTGGATTCTTAGGCTGGCACCTCCCTGATCATTCAGTTATTATCCACACCAAGCATCCATCCACATACATCCTCTATCTCTATTTTAATCACAATTGTTAATACAACAAAAGGGTGAGGAGTCTCTGGGTGTTGTTTCTGTTGTTAGAGTATTGCTTTGAGTCTCTCTCTCTGTGAATTGCTTTGAGAACAGACTCTGTCTTAGAATGTACTAACACAATTAGCAGCTTGCAAGTTTCACACATAGAGGGAGAGAAACAGTACCAAAAACCAAGAGACTTCTTAATTAGTAATACCCTGGAATTTAAACTCTGGGGAATCAAACTCATTTGTGATTTTAATACAGAACTTCTTTAATATGATCCAACATAGTCCTCTTTTGGATGGTTTGTCCCCCATCCAGTACTGGGACAAAACTGGATGTGGTTTTGTTCAGTGTCAGACTGTTACTCTGAAACCAGACAGAGGGTGTTATCTTTAAGAGTGCACCACACTGCCCCCTCTGGCATGACCTTGAACACACTACACATGCAAAGTCAGGCCAACAGAGGTTGCGTGGTGTGCTTGTAAAGATGATGCCTCTATGTGGCATGACCTCACACAATCTTCATGTCCCATTGACAAGGTTAGGGAGCTCCTGTACTATGCTGACTTTTGTGGATTTCAGTGGTGTTTTGATTTTTTAAGTGCCATGATGCTCAGTGTTGCAAAGTCTAAATCCCTGTGTGGATCTGGGCATGACCTGAGAATATACAGGGTACAAGCTGTCTGCAATATCTAAAAATCAACCAGATGCTGCTGCTTTTCTAGTTCTTACTGGCAGAGAGTCCTTTATAATCTGTCTATGCTCTTCTCCCGCCCCCCTCAATAAAAATGCTGCCACATTTACAGAGCTTCTGAAACTTTGGTGTCCTTCCTAGGTGCTGGTGAAGAATACTTAAATAAAATAGTTACATTTTCCTCCCATTAAATATTAATGGATAATCACAGGCAAGTACTTTTTGTGCAAATCATCTACTGCTATTCAAATCTCCCTGCAGCCCTGTGCTTTTGCTCTCCATAACCACATTAAATCTGACCCCGGCTTAAAACTGGCAACTGTGTCAGAAGGGAAGAAAGAGTGAAACAGGAGGAAAGCAACTGGGGTAATGATGATTATAATAATCTTACCTTTGCATAATACCTCTCATTCTAATGTTTTTTCTTAATTATAATAATTACCATTAAATTATCTGCAGGATCAAAGCACAAGGTGAACTGGTTGTAGAGAGAGCCAACACGTTTCTTAATTATGTTGATACTACATCAGTGGTTCCCAACCTATTTCACATTGTGGGCCACATATGCAGCTATGTGTTATGTGCTGTATCCACACTATATATACTACCTGTGTAGCTCTGAGGATGCCACATGGACCACAGTTGTGGGCTGATTGGGCCACAAACAGCCCACAGGTTGAGAACCACTGTACCACATCATTTTTGCATCAATAAGAGTATGAGCTGCCATAGTTCAGAGACGAGCACAGACTTGTTCACCTTTTATTAGATAAAAGAATGTGTGTTCCGGAGCAGTTTTGTTTGTAGCAGGTTCTGGGAATTTGTTATGGTTCCCAATGCATGCAACTCAGAAAACATTTGGGAAGCACTAATCTGTTTGTGACTGTCCTTTCCTGTTTCAGTTTGGGGTAAAGGGAGGCTGCATTAACTTCCTTAACTCTGTTTGCAGCCACGTTCTCTTTCTGATCTCACAGTTTTCTTAGCATTACCCCCAAAAACTGCTCTTCCCAACAAATTCTTCATCTTTCTAAAGCTGGGGCTGAGGGGTTTGGAGTGCTGGGGCAGTGGGTTGGGGTGCGGGAGGGGGTGAGGGGTGCAGGCTGTGGAAGGGAATTAGGGTGCAGGAGGGGGTTGTGAGCTGGGACAGGGGGTTGGGGTGCAGGAGACGGTTTGGAGTGCAGGCTCCAGCTGGGTTCAGGCAGGTCACAGAAGCAGCCAGCATGTCCGGCTCCTAGGCCCACACCTGCAGGGCGCCACCCCTGCAGCTCCCATTGGCCGCAGTTCCCACCCAATGGGAGCTGTGGAGCTGGTGCTCAGGGCAGAGACAATGCATAGAAACTCCCCAGTGCCTCGGAGCCAGACATGCTGGCCACTTCCGGGAACCCCGTGGAGCCAGGGCAGGCAGGGAACCTGTCTTAGCCCCACTGTGCCACCGACTGGACTTTTAGCAGCCCGATCCACCAAAAGACCTCTCCTCTACCATCAAACATCCTGCCCTCAAACCAGCCAATATTCTACAAAATACCTCTCTGTTACTAGCCATATGCCTTATAACGAAATACCTCTCCCACCCAGTAACCCTCTCCCCGCAAACCACGCACCATTCACCACCAGACACCGTTCCCCTAACAACTAAATACTTTTCAACATGGCCCTCCCCACAAGCACCTCTTCCCCCATCAGATCACATACCCCCCACAAGTCACATAACCTCCCCCCCAGTCTAAGACTTCTCCCACCAGCATACACTTCCCCCCCAACAGACCCTCCCCCACAAACCACATATCCCCTTCCCCCCTCAAAACACCCCTTCCCCCATCCGGTCCCATAATCCCCACAACCCACCTGCCACTTCCCAAATTTAGCACTTCCCCCCCCCAAACATACCCTCCTCCCCAAACCACATATCCCCTAACCCCCTCAAGCCCCCCTCCCCCATCAGATCCCATAATCCCACCAACCCTTCCCCAAGTCTAACATTTCTCCCCCCAAAGCCCCTCCCACACCACCACCACTCGTTCCCCCCCCCCATCAAATCACATCTCCCCACAAATCATGCCCCTCCCCCTGCATCCCATGCCCCCCTCCCTCCTTCTATACATGGTCCCTGCCCCTTTAAATGCCTGCTGGCATGGGCGGGACTAACGGTTCGCCCGCGAGGCGCGCCGGGCCAATCCGTGCTGGGGGTGTCGGCCGCAGCCCCGCCGCCGCTTGCCCAGGGCCGCGGAGCGCGATGGCTGTGGCGGCGAGGAGCCTGGCGATGGCCGGGCGGGCCTGGACGCTGCGGCGCTGGTACCGCACGGAGCGGGGGGTGTACGGCTACAAGCCCCGCAAGGCGGAGAGCGGGGGCGCCCCGGAGCCAAGCCGGGTCTTCGTGGGCGGCAGAGCAGGTGGGCGAGTCCCCCGGCCCCAGCGCGTGGGGTGCGTCTGTCTGTTCCGGGGGGTAGAGAACTGTCCGTCCGTCCGTCTGTCTGTCTGTCCGTCCTTGGGGGGGGCACTGTACTGTACTGTTCCAGTGGGGAGGCGGCCGGCTGTCTGTCTGTCCTGGGGGGGGGCACTGTACTGTACTGTTCCAGTGGGGAAGCGGCCGGCTGGCTGTCTGTCTGTCTGTCCTGGGGGGGGGGGGCACTGTACTGCCCCAGTGGGGAGGCGGCCGGCTGTCTGTCTGTCTGTTCTGGGGGGGGGGGGGGGGGCACTGTACTGCCCCAGTGGGGAGGCGGCCGGCTGTCTGTCTGTCCTGGAGGGGGGCACTGTACTGTACTGTTCCAGTGGGGAGGCGGCCGGCTGTCTGTCTGTCCTGGGGGGGGGGCACTGTACTGCCCCAGTGGGGAGGCGGCCGGCTGTCTGTCTGTCCTGGAGGGGGGCACTGTACTGTACTGTACTGTTCCAGTGGGGAGGTGGCTGTCTGTCTGTCCGTCCCTCTGTTTGTGCTAGGGTGACCCCATGGCAAATGTGAAAAACGCAAGGGGGGGCGGGGGCCAAGCGGTGCCTACATAAGAAAAAGCCCCAAACATCGGGGACATAAACTCGGGACATCCAGTCACCCTAGTCTGTACGGGGGTTGGTTCACAGCGTCGTTTCTCTGCCTGCCCCTGGTGTATCTTGGGGAGGGGCTGCCTGTCCATGCCGGTTCTGGGGGATGCACCCCTCTCTCCTGAGCTAGCCACTGTGTGTGTGTCGATGGCTTTCCCCGAGACGGGGTCTGCCTTTGCCCACCCCGAGACGGGGTCTGCCTTTGCCCACCCCGAGACGGGGTCTGCCTTTGCCCACCCCGAGACGGGGTCTGCCTTTGCCCACCCCGTCCTGAAGAGCTGTCGCTTAGGGTCCGCACTGCGAAGTGAAGGTGTGATTGTAGCCCATGGTGAACATCTCCCTGTTAGTGTTAACGAGGAGCTAGCAAGGGGAACAACAGCAGTGTAGACACGGTGCCAGGGGCTTCAGCACAGGCTAGCAACCAGAGTCCCAAGCTCTCTGGGGGCTTGCAGTCTGGAGGCACAGTTTAGGTGAGTAAAGACATGCTCGAAAGGTGTGGTCCCACTACTTACCCAGTGCCAGAGCCTTTCCCCTCTGCAGAAAAAAATGCCAAGAGTGGGGAAGGACTTTGGCAGGTGGGAAGCAGCAGGGAAAGGAATGGGAAGCTCCCTGCAGCTGGAGCCCTTCCCAGCTGCAGGGAAAATTCCCAGCAGCTGGGGGAGGAGCGTAGGAAAAGGCTCCACTAGCTCCCTGCTAGTAGGGTTGCCAACCTCCCAGGATTGTCCTGGAATCCCTGGAGTTAAAGATTAATCTTTAATTAAAGATTATGTCATGTGGTGAAACCTCTAGGAAGACATCCAACCAAAACTGGCAACCCTACCTGCTGTTGAAATCTTTCTATAATGTGACAAGGAGCCTTTCTGCTCCTAGAGCCTTTGTTTTCCCCAGTGAAAGGCTCTGGTATCAAGGAACTACTAAAACTTTTCCCCAGCTGTTTCCTCCCCTTTTCTGTGGGGAAAGACTCTGAGGGGGAGAGGGAGCTGAGGAGGGCTCAGCCTTTCCCCACTGCCTCTCCCCTGCCAGAGACTTTCCAGCAGGAAGCTGCCAGAGCTTTTCCCTGCTGTCTCCCCACTTCCAGAGCCTTTCACTTGTGGCATGTAGCTATGCGAATGCTATACACCTTCGCCAATGGTATGTAGTGTAGATGTAGTCTTAGATGATACATCTGTACTTCTGTGTTGCATGAATAATCCCGTGTTATATGGTTTTTACAGTGTATGACTATGATTATTTTTCTGCAGGTGACAGGGGACATTCAAAACCTTTGGAAAATCAGGGTCTCAGAGTTCAGGGAAGCTGGGCTGACTAATCAATGGCTTTGAAATCTTGGCTGCAGGCGGTCATGAATCATTGGCTGGCTTTACTGATCACCTGACTTAAGTGCCCGCTGAGATCCCTACAGGGATCTGTACCCTCTGGCACCCTCAAACTATTCCCTCCAAAGAGAGCATGAAGAGGTGGCTCTTGCAGTATTTACTGGACCACTGGCCCCCTGTCTCTCAGGAGAGTATTATGAGACTCTCTGTGTAAAGTGTTTCTGTCAAAACCAACACTAAAAAGGGGGGAAAGAATTGTTCACATTGACCAGTCATATTAAAAGAAAGTAGTCAAAGGATAAACTTGGTGTGGCTGTTTAGAAGAAATGGAAAAAAGAACCGTTTATTTTCAGTAAGGCAGTTATGGCTGTCATGAGTGTTACTCAGGGCAAGATTAGCTGAGATTCCAGAGCATTTGCCTATTAATCATTCATCTTGTTTGGTTCTGATGATCCTGAAAGCCCTATTCGTTACTTCATTTGATCCTATGAGTATCTCTGGCTGACAATCTGGGTGGAAGAAGTTATGGAAAGCTAATTTGTGTGATGATAGTAGTGTCCTTTGCCTGTTCAATGGGCAGATATTTTGGCAACACTTTAGGCTGGTCTCAAAGATTCACTCTAAATGGTCAGCAGTAAGATCTATCGTCTAATCAAATCCTGCTGGCAGAATTGAATTTTAGAATGATTATCAGTGAAATAACTCTCATGGAGTAAATCTGCACTTGGAGAGTTCCTGCTGCATACGAAGTACATATTTTACAGGGCTTAACATTTTATTCGACAGACATTGGACTGAGAGAGTGGCTTGACTAAAGATAAGTTTCTCCTGTAGCAACATTCTGGCTGCCCTGGTTGTAACAAGATGTTTTAAAAATAGCATTATGATTATTATAGCAGACAACATATGATTTGATCTGAGGCTCTTGAAGGTGGAGGAATATTATTCCCATGATACAGCTGAGGAAACTGAGGCATCAATTAAGTGATTTCTTCAATGTAACATGGCTAATCAGTGGTAGAGGCAATAAATCAAATCTCCCAACTCCTAAACTGTTGTCTGATCAGTAAGCCTCCTTCCTCATATTTAGGGAAAGAAAGTTAATGTTTTTTCTCTACTGCTTTTTAAATTTAAAATTAAATGTTTTGTCTCTGCAAGAGTGTAGCAGGGAGAGTGACACTTTGCAAAAGGAAAATACAGATCAGTCAAGCAAGAGTGACCTGTTTGGACACATGAGTTTAAGGAAGCACAACAGAGTGGCTAAAATTGAGCTTGGCAAACAATTGAGTTGTGTTGGAAAACAAAGGACTTTAGCCTCAAATACTGTTTGTGCAGCATCTTTCTGCAGGTCAAAAATTCACATTAAGAACAAAATGTAAAATGAGCCATTTGATACAATTGCAACAGACCCTTCTTGTTGCTTTAGTGATTAAAGGTTGACGCATCTGGTCTACGATGTTAGTTTGCATTTAGTAATATTGTATATTTGATTTCAAGGTCAATTTAATTTTTCAGACAAACTTTGCTAATGTGACAATTTCTGACCTAAAAACAAAGAAGGTGTCATTTTTAGACGCTGCTGATGTCTAATTGCAAATACAGGACTATGGGTTATTCTTCATAATCATCATCATCATCATGTTCCTATTATGCCTCTGGCATTTAGGGCAGTGACAAAGCTCCTCTACTCCTGTCTGTTTCTGGAAAGTCTTTCAATGGTTCCCCTGCTGTGCCCCAGGTTTTTCAGCTTGGCTTCCACAGCTCTTCGCCATGTTGTTTTCGGGTGGCCTTGTTTTCGCTTGCCTTCAGGTATCCATCTTCTTGCCACTCTGGTGATGGAATCAGTTTCCATCTGAAGCTCATGAACGATCCATCTCCAATGCCTCCTGGCAATGATGGTGCTCAGATCCTCTTGGCTGCACTGTGTCAATAGATCTTGGTTTGAGATTGTTCTGGGCCAAAAGATACGGAGAATTTTTCTGAGACAGGTTGTATGGAATGAAGACAGTTTGGTCATGTCATACTTTCTCATTCCCTAGCATTCTGCATTATAAAGTAGTATTGAAAGTACGCAACTCTGATAAATCTTGAGTTTGGTTTGGGTTATTGGGTGTCATTTTTTTTATTTATTTTTATTTTTATTTTAAATGAGCTGGATGAATAATTCTGACTAACTTATTTGAATTTTTATTTTCTGTTTAGAAATTGTCCTTGAGCAGGTCACCATTTTCTTGGGTGTCGTTTTTGTTTTTGTTTGTTTTAAATTGTTCACTGACTAACTTGAGCAGCTACTACTCAGTTTGCAGTTTACATGGGAAAAAAAGCATGAAGGCAGCATTGCCCAATGGGGGGGGGAGGGATAGCTCAGTGGTTTGAGCATTGGCCTGCTAAACCCAGGGTTGTGAGTTCAATCCTTGGGGGATTGGCCCTGCTTTGAGCAGGGGGTTGGACTAGATGACCTCCTGAGGTCCCTTCCAACCCTGGTAATCTATGATTCTATGATAAGAGTAAGGAATGAGTGTGGCAGTCAGGCCCCTGGATTCTTTCTGGTTTTGCCACTGACTAGCTATGCAACGCAATTTCTTTGAGATTTGAAAATCTAGTTGACTCTTCTGTTACTGAAGAGCTTGCAAAAGGTACAGATTCTGAAGTTAGAATTTAGCCTACAGTTTTGTTGATGGTACACAGGGCAGAATCCTGCTCTGAATCACATCATTCTCTTGATTCAGCAGAGCTAACAGGAATAAAAGCTTGTATTGTTCATCCAGGGAAGTCAGTCTTCAGCATGTACATATATTCTTGAAGGAATTCTGCATGTGCAGAATTCATGTCCTGTGCAGAATTTTTCTTTTCTGCACAGAAAATATATTCTGCCCAAGAAGTGCTGCAGTTCCACCTTTTGCCCTCCGGAGGCTGCTGTGGCGCCAGAACAGACAGCAGTGGCTGACCAGCAGTAACAGCCAGCTGCATTCATCACACCTCCCTGCCTGTGGAGCCAGGTTAGGAGGCACGGGATATGGTGGGGACAGACAGAGTGGGGCATATGAGGCTGCTGGGGGGGAGGGGTGTCGCAGGCTGGGTTTCAAAAGGGCTAGTGTGTGGGGAGAGGGCTCAGGAGCTAGGGGCTGAATTGGAGGGTGGCTGCAGGCCCACGTGGGGATGGGTGGTGTGTAGTTGGGCTGCAGGGCCACATTGGGATGGGGACAGATGTGCCTGACTGAATTGGAGAAGCTAGGAGTCAGGCAGGATCTGCATGCAGGAGGCTCCACAACTTTCTAACAGTCCCTTCCCTCCTCCTCCTAAGCCGCCCCTCCCCCCCGTTCCATACTTCTCCCACCACACCCAGCAATCCTCCAGGCTAATTCCCAGGCTCCTTCCCTCTCCCTCAGTTCCTCTGTTATCCCTGACTCCCCCAAGCCTCTACGCTGCTTGTGAGGGGTGTGGGAAATGTTTGAGAAATTCATTTAAACTACAATACACGAAGTTCTGTATTAATTTGCCTAGTAAGGAATCTATTTGTCCAAAAAATATAAATATATATACATATATATTTTTCTGAAACTTTTCTTTTATCTGTATTACAAACTTACTTGGTGACCAGTATTTTGAAATAAATTACCAAAATAATTAAAACTGGCATGATTATAGTGAGTTGTTTTAACAAATAAATATGCATAATTTTAAAATATTGTGTGCAGAATTTTTAATTTTTTGGTGCAGAATTCCCCCAGGAGTAATACATGGATTGACAAGGGCATAGAGAATACACTTATAAAGTTTGTGGATGATACCAAGCTGGGAGGGTTGCAAGTGCTTTAGAGGATAGGATTAAAATAGGACAAATCCTGTGTACTCCACTTAGGAAGGAACAATCAGTTTCACACACACAATGGGAAACAACTGTGTAAGAAGCAGTACTGCAGAAAGGGACCTGGGGGTCAGAGGGATCACAAGCTAAATGAGTCAATAGTGCAACACTGTTGCGCAAAAAAAAAAAAAAAAGCAAACATCATTCTGGGATGTATTAGCAGGAGTGTTTGTACACAAGGCACAAGAAGTAATTCTTCTGTTCTTCACATTGATATGGCCTCAATTAGAGTGTTGTGTTCAGTTCTGGGTGCCGCATTTCAGGAAAGATGTGGAAAAATTGGAGAAAGTTCAGAGAAGAGCAAGAAAAATGATTAAAGGTCTAGAAAACTTGACCTATGAGGAAAGATTGTAATTTTTTTTTTTTGTTCAGTCTGGAGAAGAGAAGACTGAGAGGGGATGTAACCATTTTCAAGAGGTAAACTGTTCTCATTAATCTCTGAGAATAGGACAAGAAGCAATGGATTTAAATTGCAGCAAGGGAAGTTTAGTTTGGACATCAGGAAAAACTTCCTAACTGTCAGAGTAGTTAAACGTTGGAATAGATTGCCTAGGAGGTTGTGGAATCTCTGTCACTGGAAGTTTTTGAGGGCAGGTTAGACAGTCACCAGTCAGGGATGGTCTAGATAATATTTAGTCCTGCCATGAGTGTGGGGGACTGGAGTAGAAGACCTCTCGAGGTTTTTTCCAGTCCTAGATTCTGTGATTGTATGCAGGCCTGTATTCTGACCACTGAATTGATGCTATTAGGAGTGTATGTGCTAAAATTGTTCTCTGTTTCCCTCTTTATATTTAGCTGATCATGGCCTTGCTCGTTTAGTAACTGCATACTGTGAACATGGCCACAAAGCTGCCAAAATTAACCCTTTGTTTGCTGGCCAAGCTGTGATGGACATGGTACCTGAAATTCGAGTGCTGACAGAAGTGCTTCAGGGACCTTTCAATACCACAGGTAAATCTGCTTCCTGGTGCACAGCTGACTTGGCCTGTGTTTGGAATCTGTCAGACAAAGGAAATGGTTGAGCTTTTTCTTTTTCCTGTTGGCTGAAAATGAGGTGATACTGCAACATTAGTATGGCATACTGTTTTCATGGTTTTTGTTAAGGTTGAGGGATTTTAAGAGATACAAAGACAGTTTTCAGTATCAATCACTGCTAAAGCCGCAGTTACACCTTTAACTGAGGGAGCCTTCTAGCTGGAAGTGCTGATAAGGGCGTGGTCCTGTTTAGTTCAGAAATAACTCAAAATCCTCTGGCTAAAGTAGGCAGGAACTAAAAGCATAAATTAAAATCTCAGCAAACATGCAACAACTTAAATCCTGGTCAGAAATTTGTGCCTGGGACCCACTTCTAACTATAATCACGGAAATTCAAGATGGGGAAAAGACCCATTAGACTTGGTCATCTTTTGACCAGTGCAGGATTGTTTCCTGCAGCATTTTATTTTTTCTGGTACTTTATCTAATCTGCCTTGAAGAGACGCAAACACTGAAACTTCCACCGTGTCCTTCTGGAAGTTAAAATTCCACAGCATCTTGCTGCCTGGTAGGCGTTTCCTAATATGCATTCAAAAGTATAAATATTCTCAATACAACACAGGAGTTTATTGAAGGGGCCATCGCACACTGGTCTTGTATTACCTAACAAAAGGCTAGCTGTAATGGGACATGTGGAAATGACATGTGTATGCATCCGATGAAGTGAGCTGTAGCTCACGAAAGCTTATGCTCAAATAAATTGGTTAGTCTCTAAGGTGCCACAAGTACTCCTTTTCTTTATGTGGAAATGAGTACTCCATCAGCTTGCAGGTTCTGCTGCCTTAGGCATTCAGAATCATATCCATTTCTCACTAATCATTTAGTCATCTCTTAAAATGTTCTTATCCTAAATGATTGCCTGTATGAAAGAGCTGGTTGGTGCATTGCTGTTTAGTGAGGCAGTTCTTGGGGAGGAAAACACATTTTATCTTATCAAAATATAAATTCTTCTATTATGCCATTCACTGTGGCAGCTGAGTGCCTAGCTTATAACATTTCCTGAAATCTCATAATGACTCTTGGGTAACTTAGGTAACTCTAAAAAGAAAAGGAGTACTTGTGGCACCTTAGAGGCTAACCAATTTATTTGAGCATGAGCTTTCGTGAGCTACAGCTCACTTCATCGGATGCATACCGTATTTATTTGAGCATGAGCTTTCGTGAGCTACAGCTCACTTCATCGGAGGCATACGGTATGCATCCGATGGAAGTGAGCTGTAGCTCACGAAAGCTCATGCTCAGATAAATTGGTTAGTCTCTAAGGTGCCACAAATACTCCTTTTCTTTTTGCGAATACAGACTAACACGGCTGTTACTCTGAAACCTTAGGTAACTCTGTAATTGTTAATGTAGCTTTCAGGTTACATATTAATAGTATACCATGTTCAACTACGTTATAAAGCACTACAGTAACAGAGGCACTGTGGCCCAATGGGCACGGTGTGAAAATCAGAAGAGCTGGCTTCTCTTCCTGGCTCTACCACTCATTCAGTTACCTTGGATCACTCAGATTCTCTGTGTGCCTCATTTCCCCATCTGTGAAGTGAGTATGTCTGGTATTGTATTGCACTAGTGCTTGCGGGGGGGGGTCCCAATAATCCATCAGAGTCTTATTGTGCTAGATGCTATACAAATACATAGTAAAAAGACAACTCTGACTGAAAAAGCTTACAGTGATGCATACTGTTCTTTGGAAGGTGCTCAGAGAACTCTGAATGAAAAGTGCTATAGACATCTTAATTATTTTTAACACCGTAGTGTTTTTATAAAGATTCTTGAGAACTTTACCTTCAAATGAAGAATAGAGGGACAGGACACAATATTGTGTTTTCAAATCATTAATCACATTGTTATTGACTAAAAGAAAAGGAGTACTTGTGGCACCTTAGAGACTAACCAATTTATTTGAGCATGAGCTTTCGTGAGCTACAGCTCACTTCATCAGATGCATCTGATGAAGTGAGCTGTAGCTCACGAAAGCTCATGCTCAAATAAATTGGTTAGTCTCTAAGGTGCCACAAGTACTCCTTTTCTTTTTGCGAATACAGACTAACACGGCTGTTCCTCTGAAACCTATTGTTATTGACTATATCACTTTTTTTTTTTTTTGTCATCACAGGGCTCCTGAACATGGGAAAAGAAGAGGCTTCCTTAGAGGATGTGTTGACTTATCTTGACCATGTATATTGTGGACATATTTCTATAGAAATGAGTCAGCTGTCAAGCTTGGAGGAGAGAGAATGGTTTGCTAAAAGGTTTGAACAATTAAAACAGGAGGCATTTACAACAGAAGAGAGAAAGCATTTGTCTAAAGTGATGCTAGAATCTCAGGTACATTGCATATCTTTATTATTTATATTACAGTAGTTCCTATGAGCCCCAGTCATGGACTAGGACCCATTGTGCTAGGCACTGTATAGGCCTTGCTGGAGCCCTAGCATAACTAGCAGTGTGAACCAAAAGCTGTGAACCGGAGTAGGCATGGCAGAATAGTAACACACTAGGTGTCCGCTAACCAAAGCAGCACAGTCCTGACCAGGGAGGATGGTACAAAAACACAGATTTCTCAGGTAACTACATAAACTCATTCCTAAGAAAAGGTACAAGAGCACACTGATCCCTCATAAAGATGAGGCGGGGATAACAGGATAATGAATTAGGATGTCTTATTCAAACGAGCAGGTACAAGGGTAGTAACTAACTACATCTGGAGTGTAATAAGTAACTTGTTTCTTTTTAATGTATGAAAGGGGAAGTCATAGGAGGGGCATTTTTGTACTAGTCTAGGAGACACCATCCTAGTGTGCTGCTTGAACTGGTACCTTGTTGCGGGCATACGTCTGTTTAATGTACCCATAGCTCCTATGGCACACTAGGAACGTGCTTCGTTGACAATACACCTGGCTGAGCGCCTTCACCACCAAACCAAGCCTGTGGGCTTTCTTATGAATAACATTGAGGTCTGCTGAATCAACACGCTGCACTGTTTGCTACTGCAGCTGGCACCAGAGCTCCAGGAACAGCATTAACAGCGCTGCAGCAACACTAATAACACACTACAAACACGGGGGGGGGGGATCAACCCCCCCCCCCCCCCCAAAAACAAAACAAAAACAAACACTACTCAACTAGCTTACAGTCTAAATATGGATGTGTTTGAGATGGGGAAGACCTGAGTTTTGTCTGCTGGATGCAGTGTAGAAACGAAATAATTCTTGTTGGAGGGAGTTGTTCACCTTAACTACTGCAGCAATGCTTAAAAGAAAACTGCAGTGCTTTACTCTGTCAGTAGCTGATTGCGTGAGAAACAGTGAGGTATTGCTCTCAAGGAGACTTCAGGCACATGTGCTGCTGTTCCAGTGTTCTGTGTTTCCCTTCCCATTTCACTCTCCCTATTTGTCACTTGTTCCCCTCACCAACAGCTTCTAGTCACAATCTCTCTCAACTGGGAATATTCAGGAAGAAAGCCCTTTATTCTTTAGAGAGAAGGGAAGCTAAATGGGGGCATGATCAGGGTTCTGGCAGTGTTGCTCTGGCGAAGTAGCTGTTTGGATAGCACTGCCAAAGCATTTGGCAAAGCAGCTCTTGCCTCATTCCCAGTGCGTTCTGTAAGGGGCAGTGAAAGGCTCCCTTCTGCGGCCCTAATAAAGTGCGTGGGCTGAGTGTTTGTTTGGGGGACTCTAGCCATATATTTCCATAATGTAAAATTCTGTGGTTTTTTTCATCTTACCTTTTCTCTTGTTCATATAGTGGCACGAGTATTTATATAAAGGTGTCCCTGCTTCTGGCTTTCATGTGGCCCAAATAGGGAGAATTTGAAACTACCCTTTTCTCTGTGCAAATGAGTGTTGTGTGCTACATTGCCTTTTTTAAATGCAGTTGACAGGCTTATTTCCCTCAGTGGCTGTTTCATTAAGGGAATTAGTAAAATCGGGTTTTTTCCTGACCCTACTGAGGTCAATTGCAAATTTTCCTTTGGCTCAGGGTCTAGAGAAGATTGTATAGGAAATGCAGCTCCTGCTGCACTTTTGTGTAAACACTGCAGGAATTTTAAATTCTAGGCTGCTGAGCATTGGCTAACTACAAACAAATGCCAGCCAGCCAGCCAGATGCTGAGGCTGTTGCGCGTATGTGCACACACACTCATGCGCACAACCCCCCCACCCCCCGAGTGACATAAATTGCACCGGCATAGGTGGTAGTGTGCACAGCGCTATGTTGGCAGGAGAGCTTCTCCCACTGACATAGCAACCACTGCTCGTTGGGGGTGATTTAATTATGTTTATGGGAGAGCTTTCTCCCATTGGCACAGAGCGGCTACACGAGAGATCGTACAGTGGCGCAGCTGCATTGGTACAGCTGTGCCGCTGTAAGGTCTCTAGTATAGACATAGCTATATGTTTTCAATCCATAATTGTAAACACTGCGGGAATTTTTTACACTTTAAGGTTTCTCCCAAAACTTTGTTGTACAAAACTAGTGAGGGGAAAAACTAGACATAGAACTGAGTGTCTTTTCCTCTTCTGAATATGTATAATACTAATCAAAATAGTATATTGCATATTGGATCAGAGGATCTTTAAGGGGTTTATGAATGCTAACGAACTTGGGTTCCTAATGCCCCTGTGAAATAAGTAACTTTGCTATAAACACCATTTTCAGATTGAACAAGTTGGCCCTCTTTGCCTCCCTCCACGTTGTGTCATGTTTTTCCTACACCACCTGATGCATGTATGTGTTCAGGGGGCAAATGCATGTTCTCACATCCTAACATAAAACCAGACAGTGGCTGATCTCTCATTTGATTTCATTCGTAGCCTCTTCTACTAGATTGGGTGTGGTGCTAGTTGGCGAGAAAGATCTGCTGAGGCGAGCTGGGGTTTTGTCCAGGTTTATATTCTGCATAGAATTGTGTAACTGTTCAATATTGTGTTAAATGACTTGTAGTCATACTCTGTTTCTATCAGGAGTTTGACCGCTTCTTGGCCACCAAGTTTGCCACAGTGAAACGTTACAGTGGTGAAGGAGCAGAGAGCATGATGGGTTTTTTCTATGAATTGTTAAAGATGTGCGTGTACAGTGGGGTGACAGACATCATTCTTGGAATGCCTCATCGAGGAAGGCTTAATCTCCTCACTGGGCTGCTTCAGTTTCCACCTGAGGTAAGGGACAGATTTGTCTTACTAGCAGCAGCTTGCTGTTTACTCAAATTTTTTGTGTAATAAGTTTATTTGGCAAGAAAATATCTCATTGCCAGCACTTGAGTACAAGTGATAAATTGACCTATGTGAGCGCATACTTCTTCCTGCCATGGGCTCTGCAGATCTCCCTGTGAAAATACTTAGAGAATTGCAACAAAAGGGCTTAAGTGGCAAGGTCCAAAGGGTTATAGGACTTCACCCAAAGTGTGTGACTTAAAACAAACAAAAATATCTCCAAAATTTGTAACGTAAATACAAATGTGCATTGTATAACTAATCTTATTTCTGTGCAGTTGATGTTCCGTAAAATGCGTGGCTTAAGTGAGTTTCCAGAGAATTCGCCAGCAATTGGGGATGTCCTGTCCCACCTGACATCCTCTGTAGATCTAGACTTTGGTTCACACCGCCCTCTGCATGTCACCATGTTGCCTAATCCATCACATCTAGAAGCAATTAATCCAGTGGCGGTTGGCAAGACACGCGGAAGGCAACAGTCTCTTCTTGATGGAGATTACTCGCTAGATAGTGCCGCACAACCTGGAGACAAAGTTATCTGCCTGCAGGTACTTGGAGAGCTCAAACAAATTTTCGCAAATGAGAGTATAAAAGATGATACTTGGTGTAAAGTTTGTAAATCAGAGGAAAGGTGAAGAGCTAGGTTTATTCACTATTAGAAAAAGGAAGATCTCCAGATGACAATGCAGCTGGCATTTTTAAGCATCCCAGTTTTAAGATTTCCAAGCCAATGATCTCTATCTGTACTAGTAGTCTAGTAGTTTTTCTAGTAGTCTTCTTGCTAGTAAGAATGCTTTGAAAGCTGCACACATCTGTTTTCCCTGATGGCCATTTTGCAATTTTTGCAGTTTAAACTGTCATGCTCACCCATTGTTTCTAATCAGGGTGATTAGAACTTGAAATAGAACCAAGCAGGAACCTTCAATCTCCCAGCCTCTGAAAACATGTCCTTGGAGAAAAACAAACACTGCAGTGTGTATTGGCCATTAGAGTATGTGGTTGTGGTGAGGGGGGAGTCTCAGCACTATACTGTCCTGGTAAATCTTTCCTGGCTACCGAAAGGGGTTCTTTCTCCTTCAGAACTGCATCGAAATTGTGAAAAACCCTCAAAGCTAGTAAAGACTTTTTTTCTCCGTTCTGTTGAGTCCAAAACTGAACTCTGCTCTTAGACTTTTAGAAACTAGGAGTAAATAGGGAACTGGGGAAGAACTATTTCAAGCCAAGAGCAATGAACATGGAAGGCATTAGTGGGGAAATAATTGGAATAAAAGAAATGCCTCAGTTTTGCTTCTGGAGTGTGAGTTTGTTGGACTGTTTGGAAAAAAGCAGAAAAGAGAGGTTAAGATACTGTTGGGACTGAATGGCCTCATTCACATTTCCAACAAAACTGCATTTGTTGAACTTTTTTCTTTTCTTAAACAGGAAACTTACTTGCATTTTGTTTGGTAAAACATGCCCCTGAGCTTACTGGCCCGTTCCTTCCCTTGCATTAGCTCATGGTCACTCTGGTGTGAAGTTCAGGTTCCAAATTGAACCATGTAACACTTTTTTTTTTTTTTTCCCCTTCCCCTTGCACATTCTGCAAAACTGGGAACACTGTACAGTGCTCTACTGGATTGATGAAAATTGCACTTTTCCACGTGCAGTTTAGAGAGGATATGGAAAACTCCTTTGTTTGTGTGGCCTTCTTTGTGATACCTCTTCTTGTGGAGATAACAAGGAAAGTGATCTCATAAACTTAAACGTGTAACTCTTTCTCCTCTTGAAAAACAAAGGTGTTCAGGGAGCAACCAGCCCGTTAACCTAGTAGTGGTCTCAGGTCTTCTACCCACTTCTGTTCAACACAAGCCAACTCCCATGTCAGGGATTGCTGTCAGGCTTAGAATAGCTTTGCTATGTTGATGATCATGTGGTGGTTTTTAACGGGGGTTTGGGTTAGTCACTAAAAATGAAGTGAACATAGGACTACAGTGGTTATTGGTTGGGGGCACTCAGCCAGTCAAGAGGGAGAAAATAGGTATAAAGCTCTTCTTCTTTCAGAGTCTTGGCCTTAGAGCCTCACTTCAGGGTTTTTGTTGCACTGCTCCCTGCAAGTTATTTTCTCTCCCCAGTGATAAGTGTAGAAATCTCAAGGCTGGCTTGCTCGAGTTCTCTTTGCTCACTTGCTTTTGGCTAGGGACAGCAGTACTGGCATGGGAGTTGGCAGCTGGCTCCTGCTCTCTGTTTTATGGCTGGTTATAGATGGTGAAAGGGAAGCAGTATAGCTAAAATGGCAGTGAGACTGACCAGTGAACCTAGTTCTCCAAGGTCTCCAGATCTTCCTTCACAAAATTTCTGGATGAAGTTCTGTGTCCCAAGATTGTAAAAAGGGTCCATTTGGGAGATAAACACGTGTAAGTATCTCCCAAACTTCTCCATCTCTTATGCCTGAGAGTTATCAGTTTTTCACCTCACATTCCTTGACTCCCTCTTTCATTGACACATGCTGTTTAAAGTCCATAAATATGGCCTCCTGATACGTATTTCATTCCAATATCAGCATACAGACCATTTCTCATGAGTGGGATAAGCCTTGTGACATACCATTAGACCGCTGAGGTAACCTATAATAATCTCACTGAAATATGGTTATAAATGGCGGGGGGAATTCCTGTCCATAGTGTAAGACTATAAAATACAGTTATTGCTAGCATGGTTTCAGCTATAGTCTGGACAGGTCATAAAGCACCTGGCATGAACCACTACAGGAAATGAGAACTGGTCTAGATGGGCTACATTTCTGCTCTGGTGTGGGAATTTATTTGTTTTGAGTCATAGTGGGCTTTTAGATATAAATGCCAGTCTTTGACCGTACGTATATGTTGATTTAAGTGTCTTGGGCTCATGGCTTATGTGTCTTGCAGCTTCCACTCATCTACTTTTTGTTTTAAACCTCTTTAAAGGATTTGTTTTTCCTGTAGTTGTAAATTCTGGCCAGGATTGCAGGGCATTCACCTCTAGTTAAGCTTAGACAAGGAGCATTTCCTAAGAATTTTGACATTTTATGGGGGCTTGAGTTTTTGTTTGTGTTTTTTTTTTTGTTTGTTTTTTGTTAAACCAACTTTTATCTTCATCTCTTACCCTCCCAAGATCTCAGCACAGCTGCGTTCTAACTTCAAGATAATTTCAGAAATTCTGTCCAAACCACAAGTCTGAGGAAAGGAAAAGACTCCAGCATCTGGAGCAGTTTTGAGAGAGTTATCAATTTTGTAAGAAGGGGGGAGGAAAATATTGCATAATCTTTTTCCATTCTATGATCAAGCCTCTCTGAATTTGCCATCCACTGTAGTGGAAAAGATCAAACTTCTGCAAGTTCTTGGGTAATGGAACTCTAATCGTGTGTATGACTAATTTTTAATAATTCCTACTGTCTGGCCCATTGACCCATCTCTCTGTAATCAAAGCTCACTGACTGAGACTTAAGAATTGACCATCTCTTTTCCTAAGTTACACTTCAATAACTTCTGAAGGGGGTGAAATTAAGGCTCAGACTATTATTGAAGACTGAGCTGAAGACTTATTGAAGACTAGGAGGGTGGTGAAGCACTGGAATGGGTTACCTAGGGAGGTGGTGGAATCTCCTTCCTTAGAGGTTTTTAAGGTCAGGCTTGACAAAGACCTGCCTGGGATGATTTTGTTGGGGATTGGTCCTCCTTTGAGCAGAGGGTTGGACTAGGTGACCTCCTGAGGTCCCTTCCAACCATGATATTCTATGATAAATAAGCAGTAGTGGCCTCTTGATCAGGCATTGTCTAGAAACTAGTGGCAGCCAGAGTAGTTGCGGGCCATAAGCAAACCCAACCAAAGGAAATGTCTGACCTGCAGGACATGTTTGTTTTAAACCTTGAAAATATTCTTAAGTTACAATTTTTATTTTATTTTATTGGTTGTTGTGACTTAAAAGTTGCCGTTAATACAATAATCTTGACATTTCTGTAACTATTGTGAGCAAGGGTCTGAGAGCCAGACCTGCCCTTGACTCTTCTGGCCTTGAGCAAGGCATGTGTGGTCTGACTTTCAGTAGCACTGCGCACCCGCAGATTCTTTTATGGTGGATTTCTCAACATCTCTGAAAATCGGGCCATTAGCCTCTCTGTGCCTCCAGGTTCCCCTTCCCCAAAGTAGGGGTTGTGCCTGTTGTGAGGATTTAATTAGCTATGATGATTTTAATTAGAAGAAGCCTTCTATGACAGTGGTAGGTGACTACCATGGGGAAGAGATTTCAGTCCACCAATTTTTTAAATCCTAATTACAGCAATTAAAACATCGGCCAACATTATTTTATTTCCTCCCTCAAATGTAATATGGAGGCTGCCAGAAAAATCCTGTACTGCATTGCTGGGTGGTCTATATAAACATAAACTTATTTCTCCAGGAGTTGTTTTATGGAAACAACTAGGTGTAGCCTGTTCATGTCAAGGCATTTCAAAGGACATCCTAGATTTGAGAAGCATATGAGACATGCACGTTTTTTTCCCGTTTCTTCCCCTCCCCCCCCAACCCCAGTAAATTCCAGGAGGACTCAAATGCCATGGGCAGAATTGAAAGTGATGCTCATGGCTGATACCAGTGAGGCTGGTTTTTGTTTATCCCCTTAGATTTTGCCACCAGATTCCATTACCCAGACCCATCCATCTCTTTTGTACAAATAAAACCTTCCCTAACCTTAGCCCCATGTCACACACGCCCTAATAATTGATTTCCCACTAGACACCCTCCTGCCTTCTAATTTTTCTGTTTTTCTTTGGGGGTGGGGGGAATGGCCAAACTTAATTCCCATGGAAGAGTCTCTGATTCCCTTTCATCGCCTAATCTCCTTGACACCCACAATGTGCACTTTCTTCTTCCCTCCTTCTGAATAAAATGACCACTGTGTAATGAAACCTTCACTAAGGCTTTGTCTACTTTAGCACTTTTGTTGGCAAGACACACCCCTGACTGATATAAGCGTCACTGACAAAAGCGCCGGTGTGGACAGCGCTATGTCAGTGGGAGACACGCTTCCGCCGACATAACTTCCTCTGCCCATTGGGGTAGTTTAATTATGCCGGCCGGCATAGAGCTGCTACACAGGAGACTTTGCAGTGGTACAGCTCTGCTGCTGTATGGTCCATACTGTAGACATAGCTTAAGGGCCTACCTTCAGTAGAGACAGGAAGGATGGAACAGTAGCTGGGGCATGAGCCTGGGGCTCAGGAGACCCAGATTGAATTTTCTGTTCTGCTACAGACTTCCTGTGTGACCTTGGGCAAGTCACTGTCTGTGCTTCAGTTTTACAGATGGGGGAAGAATAGCATTTCCTTAGCTCACGGTGGGGTTGAGGCATTCAAGATTCTAAGGCAATCCGATACTATAGTAAGAGGGTGGGGCATATAAAATACCGTAAGTTAAGTAACAGGCAGCCTCATGCCTTACATGACCCTTTGACATGGTTTCCATTATAATCAGGATCCTCTTATTAAAGTCTTGTCTTCTAGTTGAAGCCTGGCCTGTGGTAGAATTCACCCTTTTTTTTTTGGATACTTCTGAACTATCCCTGCCAGTGACAACTTATTTCAGAGGCTCATCAAAATGCTTCCGAAGAGCAAGTCCTTTGCCTTTGGAGTGCACTAGATAGCACCAAGTATCCGGTGTTCAAAAACAAATAATCCTTGAGGAATCATCCCTTACAGTGTGTCTCATTCCCTTCCGGTCCATTTCCCATTACAGAAGCCGAATGGTTTTCTCTCCTATCAACGTGCGCTGGAGTTCTCAGAAACAAAGTATAAATTTAACACCAAAGTACACATGAGAAGTTTTACAACTGGAGGAAATCTGGGCCAAAAAATTAAACTCTGTGCACAGTATTTTAAAATGCTGCATATTTTATTTGTCAAAATAACACCGTATAATGATGCTCCCATCGGCAGCTGGGGCTCCCGCTGGCAGCCCTGGGTTGGGGTGGAATCACAAATTCTATGGGGAACATTAATTCTGTGCAAACTCTGCATTGTGCAGTGGCACAGAACTTCAGCAGGAATCAAGTTTGCTTGCAAAGTGGATTTGCTGCTTTCCTTGGTTGTAGAGCAGGGAGCACTCTGTTTTTCATACTCCTGGTGTGCAGATTAAAGAGGCTTTTCTTGGCAATAATTCAGAGTCAGCCTTCTGTGGAAGACGCTTGTTAAAATATTAGCATCAAATCATTGAGTATAACTTGGTTCATCCTTTAGTTTAAGACCAAGATTATTAAGCAACTTGCTGGTGCATTGAGTGATTGTTTATTACGAGTTTCACTGTATTTCATTCCTTTCCGTTTTCTTGCACCTTAAGTAGACTGGAAGACCCAAGAAGCTTTTTCTTCAGTAGAATGAAATGTCATGGCTGGAGGCTAGCTGGTTACTGAGGGGGGAAGATTTAAGTAGAAAGAGGGCATGAGACTTAAATTCTCAAATATCAAATGTCCTGTAAACTTGTGTGCTGGGTTCTGAGGAGCCTTTTTCAGTGACACACTCTGAAGGTCTTGGGATGAGACCAGAGCATTGGCCGACAAGCCTTTTCACTTGCTTTAGTGTGTGTACTGGAATGAAGCTGGTGCTATTGAGTGGGACCATGCGAAATGGAGGCTTTTGGAGAGCAGCAAAACAGCTGGAGCAAGAAGTGAAATCCTTTCAGAGATGCCAGAAACTTGCCACAGTTCATTTCTAAATTTGCAGAGGGAATGTCAGGGTCAGGAGTAGAAACGGAACTGAATGCTGGGGGTCTCCCTTGTAATGAATAACGCTGCTTATCTGTGATGCCCCCTTGTAAAGATTAACTGAAAAGTTTTATTAGAACTACTTAAAATCCAGAGGTTTCATGTCACCAGGGCTTCACATGCACATTTTCTTCAACTGTGATGTGGCTAGGTTTGTATCTATAAAGTATCTGAGTCTGCGGATCCTGAATCTGAAGGTAAGACCCTCACCAGGTTTTACCTAGCAGCTTCCTAAAACTTCTAATCTTTAATGATTTTGACTATAGAGGGAGGCTTTAATAGAACCTCAGTCTGAACCACACTGAACTCTGGGGATGTTTGGATTCAAGCTCTGCAGCTAAAGACTCCAGTTTCAATGCAAACCTGTAATTGAGCCCAGTGTTTTCAACTTTTTCAAAAACCTGGGCTGTTTGTAACTTTTTAAATAAATTTTCTTCAAATATGTTTTTAAGCCTACCTGTATCTCCTGTTGATTTAGGGTCTTCAGTAGCTCTCAGTCCCTTTTTAAAAACCTTTTATCTTCATTTATGTTTGTTTTTTCATCCCTTTTTTATCCTTTCTCCATATGTCTATTCTATGCCTCTATTTACTGAAGTGTAGACAGACAGAAGCCATGTATATTTTGGCCTGCAACATTTAATTTTTGGGGGAGGGGCAGTGTATCAGATGGTGACTGACTTAATTTTGTTCACTGATCTTTTACTGCAAATCTACTGCAGACTAACAACTGTCACACTTGACCAACCATATTAGGTTATAATGCTGTGTGTAATGATAAAGTCTATTTTAAGAGATTATAGGTTTGCTCCGAGCAGTTAACAGATCAGCCAATGTGTGCACAGTTGCTGGCCGTGACTCTTCCTTGGAGTTAAAAGATTATATAAAATCTATCAAATTAGCATGGGAGTGAGTGACTGGTATTAGTAGGGCTGTATGATCACTCTGAAAGATCTTGTGTAATGAATTTTTTCTCATTGTGACATCTTTCAGCATGGCTACTAACAAATCCTTTTCTGTCTCCTTCTTCTATAATTTAGGTTCATGGTGATGCTGCTTTCTCTGGTCAAGGGATTGTTCCTGAAACGTTGACACTCTCTAATCTCCCACATTTCAGAGTTGGTGGAAGCATCCATTTGATTGTTAATAATCAGCTGGGTTACACCACTCCTCCAGAGCGAGGAAGATCGTCGCTATACTGTAGTGATATTGGTATGTGTAAAAGGGTCACCACACAAGTGGTTATGTAACCTGTGTAAAAGAAATTTAAACTCCCCAGTGTGAATGTCAAGTACAAATTCCTCTTTGGATTTTCACAGATAGTGTTTATGAATCCCAGGGAATCTTTTTCCACACTTATGATGAATTAGGTAAATTGGACTTGTTAATAGAGTAGAATACACTTTGCTAATAATAATAATAATTTAAACACAAAAAATTGTTTTCATGCACTTCATGACAAAGACTTAATAGCAGAGAAAATTTACATAGTAATTTTACAGAATGCTACAGAATGTTTACCAGGCTATAGTTAAGTTTTATCAGTAACAAACTTTTTAAATTTATTTGACCAGTGTTTCAAGTATGTTTTGTGATATAGTATGAGACTTTATCACAGATTTGTTAAATTCAACAAGCATTTTTTTAAACACAGTGGGTCTCTGAAGCATTGACTTACCAAGGTTCTACTGTATGACTGTATCTTGGTTGTGATTGTAGTGTAACTGGTGGACTTGTGTGTTGAAATATGAGGTTGATGCCACTACTAGAATAAGGTGAATGAAGAGTCTCTCTCTGATTTATCTTTGTTCACAAATCTTCTTTGATTAGCTAGATTGTATATGCTTTGTCCTTCCCATGTGTGCAGATGTAATTATATCCCCTACAACTAAAAACATATTAATGTCTTGGGCGTTTCACACTAAATCTTTGTTTCACTGCTTTAGCAAACCAGAAGTTATAGGGTGGACCCATGATAACTGATAGAGAAAGCAAATTACATTCCATTTTCTCCCTGCATTGGTTTTGTGGCTCACATCCCTAGATTTCCTTTCCATGTTGTGTATTGGTTGTGACATGGTTTATTACCCATTTGAGTCCTTGGAGAGCGATCAGGTCAGAGAACTGTGGTACTCCTGGGATTCTATGTGGAGAGGAAAAAAATCACCAGAAGGGCCAGGGAAATAGCAGGAGCATGTTAACTTCCCTGGAACATCTAAATGGAACATCTAAAAGGAAGTACAAGCGAACAGCTGGGAACTAGCTGATTTTCTGCCTAGACAGTCTAGTTGCCACACAGAGGGAAGGGAGCTCTAATGTGAGTTTGGGATTTTCTTCTGCTTATTTGAAAAGACTTTGATTCTGACAAACCTGTCTGGGATCTGCTGGGAGCAACAGAGCATGAGTGGATTAGGGGAAGGACTGCTTCTGACCAAGGAAATCCTGTATAGATTTCAGATAAACCCTGCTTCAGGTTAAAAATTGTATTTTGTTTCTCTGCTGGAGCAAGAGGCAACCAAAAGACTGCCAGCCTGGGAAGGCTTTAGTTTCCATCCAGAATGAGAGGATTTAGAGACTGTGTGCACAAAACCTGTTAGAAGCTTTACTTCACTCTGGAACCATACTGTGGACCCATTTGCACACATGCACAGGGTTGAGGTGATTGTAACAACCACAAAGACTCTTCTCCCTGCTCGCATGGGCAGGATCTCTCTGGATTTTTTTGGCCTCTCTCTGATGCACTGAGCAGAGATCACATGTTGGGTTCCAGTGAGCATATCCCATGTGCTCATTCTCCTGTGATTGCAAAGGGTAGGGAGCACTTTGTTAGATCTTGCCCTGAGTTTGACTCATAAATCCATATGTTGAACTTCTGTTCAGGTAAGATAATTGGGTGTGCAGTTATCCATGTGAATGGTGATGATGCTGAAGAAGTCATCCGAGCGACGCGATTAGCTGTTGAATACCAGCGTCACTTCCGCAGGGATGTGATTGTAGACTTGCTGTGCTACAGACAGTGGGGCCACAATGAACTCGATGAGCCATTCTTCACCAACCCCAGCATGTATAAAATCATCAGGTAGGTTAATGCTAGCAAAGGAAGGTGTATAACTCATGCCTAAACCAGCTGCAGTAATGATCAGTTTATCCTCAATTGTAACAGAAGCCTCTGAAATTTAAGGTCCCTGTTTACATGGCACATTCTGTCCTGCTGTTGGCAATGGTGCACCAGCATCTGTGTTTGCAGCAGGGTAAGTACTAGTGTGGACATGGCTATGCTCTTTGGAGCACACTGTCAAGACATCTTGCATATTAAAGAGAAACTGGGCATTACTGATGATGGTGTTAGTGCTTGAATATGCAGTTTGATGCTCCTTTGAAGAACAAGTTAATATAGTCCATCTGCATTTTAAAACTTCCCAGTAGCTATTCTTGATTGGTTTGCCCTTTGCTCATGAGCGTCTGGGATTCAGGACACAGACAACTGGTTGGGAAGGGTTTGCAGATCAGGGCTGATGGCCATTGGCAGAGCTGTGTGTGGGAGGCTTACACAATGCCTGCTTAAGTTGGTTCCTGCCAGTTCAGCTAGAATCCTGTTTTATGAGCAGTAAAACTTACCCTAACTTTATCCCCACTCCAAAAAAGTTTTTTCAAAATGTGCTAGCCAGTATATTCTGGCACTTCAGATGGAGCATGCATGCAATGTTCACTATGGTGGAAGAGAAGGCTTAGACTCCTTGTCTTAACTCACCTTGCTGTGAGTTTATCATTATTAGAGTGCAACTCTGATTTTGAGTCTTTCTTTTTGACCATAGCTGCCAGTACAGATGCTTCTCCAATAATAAACAAGATAGCACAAATTGTCCTGGAGAATTTATGCCCCTTATTTTTTGGAGGGCCTCCATCTGAATGATTGTAACCCAGCAGATCATTCACTCCAGTTCTTGGAATGAGTTTATATTGCCATCTGGCAGCAACAAGGTTGTATTTCCCTGTTATTACAGTGATGGCACAGTGTACGTGCATGGGGTTTGACTTCCTCCCTGACAGATCCCGTAAGAGTGTCCCAGACATGTATGCAGAGTGTCTAATAGCCAGTGGGCTCATGACTGAGGATGAGGTATTGGAGATAAAGACTTCATATTACTCCAAGCTGAATGATCATCTAGCCAACATGATGATGTATAGCCCCCCTTCAACCAACCTGCAAGCTCACTGGAGTGGCATGGTGGAACCCTCTGCTAGGATCACCATTTGGGATACAGGCCTGCCTGTGCCACTCCTGCAATTCATTGGCATCAAGTCCGTGGAGGTGCCTGAAGAGCTCCAGATGCACAGTCATCTTCTGAGGACGCATGTACAGGTCTGTAAGGCTTAATGAAGTCTATCTTCTTATTCCATAGCTCAAAAAAAAAAACCTGTTACGGGGGAAATCTAACACCACAAAGCATGCAACTAAAGAACAACAAAGTAGTCTTGTAAAAGAAATAATTCTTCCCTGATGAGGCTGATTTGAGCTTTGCAAGGCTTGAACCACTATTTTTTGTATGTGTGCGAGAAATACAGGGTAATCTCCCCAAAATTATAGCACTTTGTTTTTTCCTTTATTCTATCAATAAAAATTTTTTTAACAAACTTGGGTTAGGTCTTTTTAAAACTCTTAAATGGAATAAAAACTTACTTTATGGGAGACTCTCAGGGATTGGTAATAGAATATAGAGTCTATTTCCTAGGTCCCCAGTATAAATGTGCACCAGGTTGTTGTTAGTCACCTTCATTACTAATGTGTGATGGCTAGTAAGTTGTCTGTATAAAATTATTTTGTTCCAGTTCTGAGTGAATGCATCCACATAACAAAATTATTGGCATTGATTGGCCCTTGATAGGCAGCCTAAGAGAGGCCAAGAGTTGAATGGGCAGGAAGACTGACCTAGCCTACCTCCCTCCACATCCATGGGTGCATGTTGGAAGGGGAGTGTTTTGGAGAACATTTTGTATGGTTGCTGTCTAATCTGTTTTAGTCAGCTCTGGAGACTGGAAATCTTCCATCTGGCATCTTTCCCCAGCACTAACATAAACAAAAAACTGTGATATTAAAAGCACAGCCTGTACTCCAAGGAGTTTAAAATCTAGATCCTGCAATTGGATCCATGATTCACTGATGATCTGCATGGACAAATGTGTCCACCACATAGAACTGATTGCAGGATCGGGGCCTAAGGTGACTGTCAGCAAGTGGCCTCCTCCCAGGTGTTCCCTGGTGGCCTGCAAGTGCCCTACCACCTCATTTTCTCCTCGATTTCTTAATAAACTCAAAAGGGCTCTGTCAAGTCCAATATCAGCCCTCCTTTAGGGTACGGTTTGAACTTAAAGTTCAAAACTAAACAAAGTCTTCCCTCCAGTTTTCAGCTGGGCACAGCCCCAAACTACCTTGGTGTCTCAGGGTCCTTCTTGCCTTAGCAGGCAATTCCCAGCCCTTCCCAGCTGGAGCAGTTCTCCTGATTTCAGGGCCTTCCCTCCAGGAGCCTCTCACTCTGATGCTAAAGGGGAGTCACCTGGTCCATACCCAGCTGGCTCTAATTAAACCACACAACTCATCCCAGATGTGGCAGACAGGGCTAATTGTACAGAGTTGACAAGTTCCAGGGCTCCAGCTCTTAAAGGGGCGAGCCACTCTGTTATAGTGACTAATAAAACTTTAGAGATGCTGCTCTGTGTATTTTTCTAGTTATCTCGGTTGAGCTGTAACGTCTGAGGTGCAGAATGACAAAGCTAAATTCACTGATCTATTTTTTAAAAAATATTCAGGCAAGAATACAGAAAGTGAAGGAAGGAACGAAGTTGGACTGGGCTACAGCTGAAACATTAGCTTTTGGTTCACTACTCAGCCAAGGTAAGGGGCAACTAGACAGCAGATAGTATATCGTTGCTTCAGTGACAATCTAATATGCTATGAGAGTTTGGTTTTTTTAATGTATCTCATGATCAATTCCAAGAGTTGTGACTATATAAAAGCCCAATAAAATAGAATCTTTTTCCAATAAAAAGGCAACCATGACCACCTTGTGCCATTTATACTTGTAGGTTAGATACTAGGAGGTCCAGAGGATAAAGCCCTGATTCACTGAAACATATTTTCTTGTGCTTAAAGCTAAGTCCCATTGAAATAAATGGGACTACTCATAGGGTATGTCTACACTACGGAATAAGGTCGAATTTATAGAAGTCGGTTTTTTAGAAATCGGTTTTATATATTAGAGTGTGTGTGTCCCCACAGAAAATGCTCTAAGTGCATTAACTCGGCGGAGCGCTTCCACAGTACCGAGGCTAGAGTTGACTTCCAGAGCATTGCACTGTGGGTAGCTATCCCACAGTTCCCGCAGTCTCCGCTGCCCATTGGAATTCTGGGTTGAGATCCCAGTGCCTGATGGGGCTAAAATATTGTCGCGGGTGGTTCTGGGTACATATCGTCAGGCCCCCGTTCCCTCCCTCCCTCCGTGAAAGCAAGGGCAGACAATCGTTTTGCGCCTTTTTTCCTGAGTTACCTGTGCAGACGCCATACCACGGCAAGCATGGAGCCCACTCAGGTAACCGTCACCCTATGACTCCTGGGTGCTGGCAGACGCGGTACGGCATTGCTACACAGTAGCAGCAACCCTTTGCCTTGTGGCAGCACACGGTATAGTACGACTGGTAGCTGTCATCGTCATGTCCGAGGTGCTCCTGGCCACGTCGGCTGGGAGCGCCTGGGCAGACATGGGCGCAGGGACTAAATTTGGAGTGACTTGACCAGGTCATTCTCTTTAGTCCTGCAGTCAGTCCTATTGAACCGTCTTATGGTGAGCGGGCAGGCGATACGGATTGCTAGCAGTCGTACTGTACCATCTTCTGCCGAGCAGCCATGAGATGTGGATGGCATGCAGTCCTTCTGCACCGTCTGCTGCCAGCCAAAGATGTAAAAGATAGATGGAGTGGATCAAAACAAGAAATAGACCAGATTTGTTTTGTACTCATTTGCTTCCCCCCCTCCCCTGTCTAGGGGACTCATTCTTCTAGGTCACACTGCAGTCACAGAGAAGGTGCAGCGAGGTAAATCTAGCCATGTAACAATCAGAGGCCAGGCTAACCTTCCTGTTCCAATAAGAACGATAACTTAGGTGCACCATTTCTTATTGGAACCCTCCGTGAAGTCCTGCCTGAAATACTCCTTGATGTAAAGCCACCCCCTTTGTTGATTTTAGCTCCCTGAAGCCAACCCTGTAAGCCGTGTTGTCAGTCGCCCCTCCCTCCGTCAGAGCAACGGCAGACAATCGTTCCGCGCCTTTTTTCTGTGCGGACGCCATACCAAGGCAAGCATGGAGGCCGCTCAGCTCACTTTGGCAATTAGGAGCACATTAAACACCACACGCATTATCCAGCAGTATATGCAGCATCGGAACCTGGCAAAGCGATACCGGGTGAGGAGGTGATGTCAGCGCGGTCACGTGAGTGATCAGGACATGGACACAGATTTCTCTGAAAGCATGGGCCCTGCCAATGCATGCATCATGGTGCTAATGGGGCAGGTTCATGCTGTGGAACGCCGATTCTGGGCTCGGGAAACAAGCACAGACTGGTGGGACCACATAGTGTTGCAGGTCTGGGACGATTCCCAGTGGCTGGGAAACTTTCGCATGCGTAAGGGCACTTTCATGGAACTTTGTGACTTGCTTTCCCCTGCCCTGAGGCGCATGAATACCAAGATGAGAGCAGCCCTCACAGTTGAGAAGCGAGTGGCAATAGCCCTGTGGAAGCTTGCAACGCCAGACAGCTACCGGTCAGTTGGGAATCAATTTGGAGTGGGCAAATCTACTGTGGGGGCTGCTGTGATGCAAGTAGCCCACACAATCAAAGATCTGCTGATATCAAGGGTAGTGACCCTGGGAAATGTGCAGGTCATAGTGGATGGCTTTGCTGCAATGGGATTCCCTAACTGTGGTGGGGCCATAGACGGAACCCATATCCCTATCTTGGCACCGGAGCTCCAAGCTGCCGAGTACATAAACCGCAAGGGGTACTTTTTGATAGTGCTGCAAGCTCTGGTGGATCACAAGAGACGTTTCACCAACATCAATGTGGGATGGCCGGGAAAGGTGCATGATGCTCGCATCTTCAGGAACTCTGGTCTGTTTCAAAAGCTGCAGGAAGGGACTTTATTCCCAGACCAGAAAATAACTGTTGGGGATGTTGAAATGCCTATATGTATCCTTGGGGACCCAGCCTACCCCTTAATGCCATGGCTTATGAAGCCATACACAGGCAGCCTGGACAGTAGTCAGGAGCTGTTCAACTACAGGCTGAGCAAGTGCAGAATGGTGGTAGAATGTGCATTTGGACGTTTAAAGGCGCGCTGGCGCAGTTTACTGACTCGCTTAGACCTCAGCGAAACCAATATTCCCACTGTTATTACTGCTTGCTGTGTGCTCCACAATATCTGTGAGAGTAAGGGGGAGACGTTTATGGCGGGGTGGGAGGTTGAGGCAAATCGCCTGGCTGCTGGTCATGCACAGCCAGACACCAGGGCGGTTAGAAGAGCACAGGAGGGCGCGGTACGCATCAGAGAAGCTTTGAAAACCAGTTTCATGACTGGCCAGGCTACGGTGTGAAAGTTCTGTTTGTTTCTCCTTGATGAACCCCCCCCGCCCTTTGGTTCACTCTACTTCCCTGTAAGCTAACCACCCGCCCCTCCTCCCTTCAATCACCACTTGCAGAGGCAATAAAGTCATTGTTGCTTCACATTCATGCATTCTTTATTCATTCATCACACAAATAGGGGGATGACTACCAAGGTAGCCCAGGAGGGGTGGTGGAGGAGGGAAGGAAAATGCCACACAGCACTTTAAGCACAGCACTTTAAAAGTTTACAACTTTAAAATTTATTGAATGACAGCCTTCTTTTTTTTGGGCAATCCTCTGTGGTGGAGTGGCTGGTTGGCCGGAGGCCCCCCCACCGCATTCTTGGGCGTCTGGGTGTGGAGGCTATGGAACTTGGGGAGGAGGGCGGTTGGTTACAGAGGGGCTGCAGTGGCAGTCTGTGCTCCAGCTGCCTTTGCTGCAGCTCAACCATACACTGGAGCATACTGGTTTGGTCCTGCAGCAGCCTCAGCATTGAATCCTGCCTCCTCTCATCACGCTGCCGCCACCTTTGAGCTTCAGCCCTCTCTTCAGCCCGCCACTTACTCTCTTCAGCCCGCCACTTACTCTCTTCAGCCCGCCACCTCTCCTCCCGGTCATTTTGTGCTTTCCTGCACTCTGACATTATTTGCCTCCACGCATTCGTCTGTGCTCTGCCAGTGTGGGAGGACAGCATGAGCTCGGAGAACATTTCATCGCGAGTGCGTTTTTTTTTCTTTCTAAGCTTCACTAGCCTCTGGGAAGGAGAAGATCCTGTGATCATTGAAACACATGCAGCTGGTGGAGAAAAAAAAAGGGACAGCGGTATTTAAAAAGACACATTTTATAAAACAGTGGCTACACTCTTTCAGGGTAAACCTTGCTGTTAACATTACATACATAGCACATGTGCTTTCGTTACAAGGTCGCATTTTGCCTCCCCCCTCCCTGTGGCTAACAGCGGGGAACATTTCTGTTTAGCCACAGGCAAACAGCCCAGCAGGAATGGGCTCCTCTGAGTGTCCCCTGAAGAAAAGCACTCTGTTTCAACCAGGTGACCATGAATTATATCTCACTCTCCTGAGGATAACACAGAGAGATAAAGAACGGATATTGTTTGAATGCCAGCAAACATACACTGCAATGCTTTGTTGTACAATGATTCCCGAGTACGTGTTACTGGCCTGGAGTGGTAAAGTGTCCTACCATGAAGGACGCAATAAGGCTGCCCTCCCCAGAAACCTTTTGCAAAGGCTTTAGGACTACATCTAGGAGAACTGCGAATGCCAGGGCAAAGTAATCCTTTCACATGCTTGCTTTTAAACCATGTATAGTATTTTAAAAGGTACACTCACCAGAGGTCCCTTCTCCGCCTGCTGGATCCAGGAGGCAGCCTTGGGTGGGTTCGGGGGGTACTGGCTCCAGGTCCAGGGTGAGAAACAGTTCCTGGCTGTCGGGAAAACCGGTTTCTCTGCTTGCTTGCTGTGAGCTATCTACAACCTCCTCCTCCTCATCATCATCTTCGTCCCCAAAACCTGCTTCCGTATTGCCTCCATCTCCATTGAAGGAGTCAGACAACACGGCTGGGGTAGTGGTGGCTGAACCCCCTAAAATGGCATGCAGCTCATCATAGAAGCGGCATGTTTGGGGCTCTGACCCAGAGCGGCCATTCGCCTCTCTGGTTTTCTGGTAGGCTTGCCTCAGCTCCTTCAGTTTCACGCGGCACTGCTTCGGGTCCCTGTTATGGCCTCTGTCCTTCATGCTCTGGGAGATTTTGACAAAGGTTTTGGCATTTCGAAAACTGGAACGGAGTTCTGATAGCATGGATTCCTCTCCCCAAACAGCGATCAGATCCCGTACCTCCCGTTCGGTCCATGCTGGAGCTCTCTTGCGATTCTGGGACTCCATCATGGTCACCTGTGCTGATGAGCTCTGCATGGTCACCTGCAGCTTGCCACGCTGGCCAAACAGGAAATGAGATTCAAAAGTTCGCGGTTCTTTTCCTGTCTACCTGGCCAGTGCATCTGAGTTGAGAGCGCTGTCCAGAGCGGTCAGAATGGAGCACTCTGGGATAGCTCCCGGAGGCCAATACCATCGAATTGTGTCCACAGTACCCCAAATTCGAGCCGGCAACGTTGATTTAAGCGCTAATCCACTTGTCAGGGGTGGAGTAAGGAAATCGATTTTAAGAGCCCTTTAAGTCGAAATAAAGGGCTTCATTGTGTGGACGGGTGCAGGTTTACATCGATTTAACGCTGCTAAATTCGACCTAAAGTCCTAGTGTAGACCAGGGCACAGATTCATAGATATTTAGGTCCGAAGGGACCATTATGATCATCTAATCTGACCTCCTGCACAATGCAGGCCACAGAATTTCACCCACCATTCCTACAAAAAAAAAAATCTCACACCTATGTCTGTGCTATTGAAGTCCTCAAATTGTAGTTTAAAGACTTCAAGGAGCAGAAAATCCTCCAGCAAGTGACCCGTGCCCCATGCTACAGAGGAAGGCGAAAAACCTCCAGGGCCTCTTCCAATCTGCCCTGGAGGAAAATTCCTTCCCATAAGTATATATTTAACTTGAAGCTTAAGGCTGAATTTTTTCACCTCCTAGGCCTGGATTCAGGTTTGTACTACATTGCATGCAGGGCACATGCATTCTGTGGTTTGCTTCTGGCTTAACATTATAAAATAGGTAAGCAGTTTGTCACTAGTGGAGGTCTCTGCTCAAGAGCATCCTGTTCTAAAGTAGAAGGCAGATACCCAGTACTAATTTTATTCCTCCGCATGGGTAAACTAATAGTAATTTTAATAATTGATAGTAAAGTTCATGCTGTACCATCGCATAAGTAATCTCAGTACTTGCTCAAAAAAACTCTAATGCAGACACAGACTAAAAACAGTTCAAACACATCGATCTAGCTATTTACATGACCGTGCCTGGAGAGGTGCAAGAGCATGCTGAGTCTTAATAGGAGGTGTGTGTGTTTGAAGGAGGGGAGGAAGATTTTGCCCAAGAGAACTAGAGATGTTTGGTGTAAGAGTAAGGAGTGGAATGGAAGAAGGTATAAAGATAAGAATGGTAGAAAGGATTCCTAGAGAGCCATTAAGGAACAAGCCTTGGGAGTTGTGGGGGAGAAGTGAGGGCAGGGATGTCTAAAGAAGAGTAGAGTTGCACAGAGCCCTGATGATTAGAAAAAGAAGCTTTAATTTGATATGCTTAGTGAGGCGAAACCAGAGAGGATTTTGAAGAGGGAAGTGATATTGTTGAGTAAGGAGTAGTTGTCACTAGTAGTCTCTCCCTTTATGACTTTGATTGTTTAAGGTTACTTTTGTTTCTTGCTTGATAAAGGGTTTAATATCCGACTAAGTGGCCAGGATGTTGGCAGAGGAACATTCAGCCAACGACACGCAATGTTGGTTTGCCAAGAGACAGATGAAACCTATATCCCGCTGAATCATTTGTCTCCGGATCAGAAAGGCTTCCTAGAGGTATGGTGTATGCTTTATAGAACAGGTCACTTGTCCATGTCTTCGCATAGTTATATGCAAATTATTATAACAGTGTTTTGCTTCTCAAAAGGTCTTCTCAAAGGTGGATAACTTGCCATTCCATAAATGGGGAACCTGAGCCTCAGAAATTAATCGGGTTGTCCAAGGTCATACAATGAGCCAAAGTGAGAGTAGGGAATAGAAAGACCAATTACTTACCTTACAGTAACTCTAGTTCTTCAAGATGTGTTGTCCCTGTGGATTCCACTTTCAGTGCACCTGCATCCCCATGCATGTGAGATCAGATTATTTTGTCCACTAGAGTCTGTTGGAGCAGTGCCTGTGCCCTAGATGTCTTTGTGCACTCCCACCCTACAAAACAAGATCATAATTAAGGCTACATTTATGTCCTGGAGGTTATGGAAATCATGGAATCCATGACTTTCAGAGACCTCCGTGACATTCTCAGTTTCAGTCCCTGGGGCTGCAGGACTCAGGAGCTGGCAGCCAGTGGGGCGATGGCAGCAGGATTCCGGCGACAGTGGTGACAGGGGGCCCTCCTCAGAGTTCCAGTGACGGGCGACTTTGCGCGGCGGGAAGGCAGACACCTCAGGCAAGCAGCTGGGGGTGTCCCATTTTCTCTTTGGGAAATATGGTCACCCTGCAGCTTCCAGCTGCCGTGGGCAGAGGGGGAACACCACAGCTCCCAGCCACCACCATGGCAGGGGAAACCATGGAACCGCAGCAGCAGAAGTCAGACAGGTCACGACTTCCATGAATTTTCGTTTATTGCTCATGTCCTATCTGTGACTTTTTTACTAAAAATAAGCCCTGATAAAATCTTAGCCTTAGTCACAGTAGAAAGTGTGGGCCCACCTGTCTCTCAGTTTCTTTGCTAAAGCAGAATGTCAGAGAAGTTCGACTCTATAGTAGCTGGCAAGGAGGGTGGTATGTAGAATCCATGTGGACAACACATCTTCAAGAAACTTGCCTTACATTAACTTGCAATTGTTCATTCTTCAAATGATTGTCCGCATGGACTCTACTCTTGGTAGCTAACAGTTATGTTTGGTCGGAGTGGGGTAGTAGGAGTTCCAGTTAGGATAGTAGGACAGCCCTACCAAAAGAGATCTAATCTGAAAGCCTCTACCCCAGAGGCTTTCAGATACAAAGAATAGTGTCCAGTGCATGTGTCAACTGGGTGCCACATAACTGCCTTGCAGATTTTCAGAATAGGGACACTCTTGAAACAGACAGCAGAGGCTGCCTAAGCTGTAGTGGAATAAGTTCCAGTATAGCTAAATGGATCTAGCCTGGTTAATTTATAACATGTCCTCATGCAGTTAGATTATCCCTAAGGGGATATTGCCTGACTATTAATGCTCTCTGCAAAGGCTACAAACAGTCTGAGTGTGTTCCTGGATGGTTTTGTCTTCTCAATGTAAAAAGACAGTAGCCTTACTACATCTAGTGTGTGAAGGTTAGCTTCTCTGGGGTGCAGGAAGGCTTGGGGAAGAAAACTAGGAGATGGAGAATAAATTGGTTCCTATAGAATTCTGAAGCAATTTTGGGCAGGAACTTGAGGTGAGGCCTGAGAGTCCCTTTATCCTTAGGGAATACTGTGTAAAGGAGCCCACCCCAAAGGTCTGAATCTCTCCTATCCTTTGAGCTAATGTAATGGCTATTAAAGGCAGTTTTCATAGATTGTGGTAAATGGAACAGGTGGCTAAGGACTCAGATGGGGAATCCATCAACTCCGCTAATACTATATTGAGTTCCCAAGAGGGAGGGATCTCCCAAATTGAGGGAAAAACCTGCCTTAAGGAGCTTTGTCACAGTTGAGTAAAAAACAGTATGGCCCTGAATAGGAGGGCAGTGTGCAGATGTAGCTGCTAGGTGGTGCTAATATCATCCAGATTTTTTCAAGGGGTAGTAAATAGCCCAGTATTGCTGAAATGAGTGTAGTCCAGTAAGACAGTTAGTGCTGAGATGCCTAGATAGACAACCTCTTCTACTTAAAAAGCAAAGTTGGCTTGAGGCTTTCCTGCTTTAGAGCAGAATTTTCTGAACTTTGTCTAAGCAGCTTCTTTCAATGGATGTCATATAGCCAGCATCGAGGCTGTCAGGTGTAACAGTGCTGGGTCCAGGTGCAGGATCTCACTGTTCTGAATGACTACTAGATTGAGCAGGTAAGGTGATCGAGGGCTGAACTGAGAGATTGTCAGATCCAAATAATGGAACTGTCCAGCAAATGCTGGAGCTGTCATGATTCAGAGTTTGAGACCAGAAGGGACTTTTAGATTATCTAGTATGACCTATATAGCACCGGCCATTAACATATCACTCAGTTACCCCTGTATTGAGCCCAATAATTAGTGATTGGATGCCTTTCCGGAGGATGTGCTTTACTCAGTCTTCTATGAAGACATCAAGAGAGGGAGGATCCACCATTTGCCTTGATAGTTTGTTCCAATGGTTTATCACTTTTTTATTTTTATTTTTAAAACAGAATTATACCTAATTTGAATTTATCTGGCTTCAGCTTCCATCCATTAGTTCTTGTTTGCCTTTCTCCGCTAGATTAAAGAGGCCATTAGTATTTTCTCCATATGAAGGTACTCACATACTGTAATCAATTCACCTCTCAATCTTCTTTTTGGTAAACTGAACAGATAGACTTAAAGAGCTCAATCACTGTAATAATTAGTCCTGTGTCTTGTCTTGGTTTCCTCAAAACCCTTGGTATTGTGAGAATTGGCACAAAGATATACATCAGTCCCAGAGTACCAGGGATATGAGCAGTATCTGTCAAATCCTGGGCTAGAACCCCCTCTGGAACAAACTGTTTGACACCTGTTATTCTGGTCTGTGGCAAATAGGTCTATTTCTGGGAATCCCCACTTGCAAAAGGCATTCTGCAGGACTGAGTCTCTCAGAATGGTCTGCTGGGTTGGTCTCCTAACGTGTTTTGAAGGCTGGAAAGATGCAGAGCCACTGGTAAGATTTGATTTGGAATGCACCAAGTAGTCTCTGCCTTGTCAGGCCATCATGCTCTCTCATCTATTGGCATAATGCATGATTGTGGTGTTATCTGTCAACTCTTAAATTATGGATCTATGGAGAAGAGGCAGGAACACTTTGCATGGCAGGCAGATGGCTCTGAGCTCTAGGATGCTTATGTGGAGATGAGCTTCCTGAAGAGACCATGGGTCCTGAATTCAGAGATAATCTAGAGGAGTTCCCCATCCCTCAGTGGGAGATCTGTCACCAGTCTTGGTAGACAGATGTGCAGAGAATTTTTGCATACCTAAAAAAGCTTTTTTCACCAGATTAACAAAGACTTCAGACCACAACCATCATTTCCATGTGATATCTACTGGGTAGATACACTAATTTCAGCCATTCTTGCATGGAGGATAGGGGAATTCTGGCAAACTGTGTCACATAGGCATGATGTGTCATGGACATCTGAGACATGCTTTTACTGATGTGCTTTGGTGAGGTTTTACTATTGTCAAGAATCTTTCCTGTGGAAGGTAAACTCTCGCTGACCTGGAATCTAGTGCTGCTCCTATGCACTCTGTGCTTTGAGTCTGAATTAGTGTGGACTTCTTTCTGTTGACTGTGAGGTCCCATGAAGTAAAGAGCTTTAAAGTTACTTGGATAGAAGTAGTCATCTGTGGGGTTTATCTTCCTCAAACCAGCTAGTCTTTGAGGTGTGTGTAGACCTGGCTACCTTGCCTCCTTAGATGAGCTGCCACAAGTGCCAAATCCTTCATAAATACCTTTGATGCTGTGGAGAGACCAGAGGTCACCATCCTGTACCAGTAATAAAATGATCCTGCTAGAAATCTGAGGTATTTCCTCTGGGCTGCATGAATAGATAAGTGGAAAGATGGCTCTTGACCTGCAAGACAACTGAATCAGTCTTGAGGCTCTAACAAGGGAATTATGGAGGCTATGGCATCTGAGGATACTGGGTACTAACGGAAAGGGAATGACGAGGTGACTATGGTTGAGCTCTGACCTTCCTCTCACTCTGCGAGGAGGCTTGTACTGCGCTCTCAAGTAGCGGCTTCAGGTGGGCTTCTCTAGCCTGCCCCTTCTCGAAGAGAACTCGGAAACATATGGAGCCTTGCTTGGGGCTGTATCTCTCTCTTAGGCAAAGCAGGCACCAGAAGTGTGTGTCGTCACGGGCATCGAAGTTTTGCATGAGGGACATGTCTTGAATCCCAGCCATTTAGCTTTTGCCATGTTACTAGCACCCCTGAATGGGAGGATGGGTGTAGTGTAGCCTAACTGAAACTTACTCAAGAAAAATTATGCAACAGAAATATAATATCATGTTTTTTTACAACCGGCACTAACGAACAACTAAGTAGTAGGCCCACTAACTAACTATACTAGCACAATGTGCAGTGAAGAAGGCGGACGCTGTGAAAGTTCAGTCTCACTGCCACGGTCTGCAAGAAGGACCTGAGGAACGGTTGGGCCCATTCTGCCTTTTATGTCCTTGGGTGGTAGTGGGAGTAAGGAGGATATGTTGAATGCAGATGCTGCTCCAACAGACACTAGTGGCCAGAAGAATCCAATCTTATGCACACGGGGCATGTGCACATCAGGAGTTGAATCCATGTGGACAATCTGTTGGAGAGCCAGGGTTTACAGAATTCCAGTTCGCTTCTCTAATGACTGAGATGGGTGGGTTTTTGCCACAGAAGTGACTCTGCAGGTAAAAAGAATTGTGGTCTGACTTACAGGGAGGAGGTCAATTAATTGTGTCAGTTCAGCAACGCATTCAACTCAAGCTCTTGGTTATTTTATTTCGGATAGTTGAGAAAGAGGGGTTCTGGGTTTTCTTTTTCTTTTTGCAGAGGGGGAGGAGATCAGCTGTGGAGGTGAATGAGACTATGAAGTAGCATTATAGCTCCCCTGCAATTTATTTCGCCCTCCCTCCCCTGAAAAAAGGTGATTATGGAATGCCTCCCAAACATTCCTATCATAGACGTGCTCTGATTCTGAAAAATAGTCAAATTCAAACATCTTCTTTCACCCACCTATGTTTTCCAAACTCTTTCTCTTTGTTAGGTGAGCAATAGCCCACTGTCTGAAGAAGCTGTGCTTGGTTTTGAGTATGGAATGAGTATTGAAAGCCCCAAGTTACTGCCAATTTGGGAGGCCCAGTTTGGTGACTTCTTTAATGGAGCCCAGATAATATTTGACACTTTCATCTCTGGAGGTGAGTGGAACAAATTTATTAAAATAAAGATATTTCTTACATGTGTTACAGAAATTCCTTTTTAACTAAAAGACCCCATGCTCATGGCAAGCAATTCTGTATCTTGGATTTCTTATATGTAATACAATTTGGATAATCTGGCTATGGTACTTATATGGCCCCAATTACTGTTATATCTGAGCACCTCAGTCTTTAATGTATTTACCCTCCCAACACCCCTGTGAAGTAGGGCAGTACTATTTTCCCCATTTTACAGTTGGGGAACTGAGGCAGAGAGAGACTAAATGACTTTCCCAAAAGTCAACTGGGAAGTCTATACAGGAGCATAGACTTGAACCCAGGTCCCCAGAGACTCATGCTAAATCCCTAACCACTGCATCATCCTTCCAATGCTACCAGGTGGCTGGGTTTTTCTCCCCTCCTTGGACTTTTTCACAGCATGTTCTAGTCCTTCTTCCTGAATGAACAGCAGTCTGTGACGGTGGGATCCAACCACGGAGTTCCACACGTTGCGAAGCACCGTTCCTAGCTCTGGGTCGCTTAGGGGTAACCCCAGGCACAGACTGTGACATTCTGCTCAGGACACCCAGAACTGTGAGCCACTGTGTTACCCTGCTGCCTCAGCAAGGGAGAGCTTTGCTGCTGCTGCTAACCTGTGTGTCTGCTGGCAAGGCAGATAGGCTGGAGTGTCGGGGAGCAAACTCCTTAAGGCTCTGCCAGTCTAAACCTTGCCTTGAAGTTAATAGTGAACTTCAATTTCCAAGTTCCCCAGAGACCTCTTCCTGCAGGTTCCAGTCCCTCTCACTGGACACTCACAGCAAACTTAATTTCTGTCTCCAAAGAGAGTACATACCAGCCTGTTAGTTTAGCTGAAGACTCCCACTTCACTTCAATATAACAGCACTGAGATGGTTTATGGTAAAACTAAAAATAAGTTTATTAACAAAGAACAGAGGTGTAAGTGATACTAAGTGTTAGGGGGCTTATTCCTTCACCCACTTACTTCCCTGGTTCTTCTCGCATGAACAGAGAGCAACAATACTCGAAGTCCAAAGGTGCAAACAATTTGATGTTTATTGGGGTGAACTTCCAGCAAGCATGATTCCAGTTTCCTTCCTTAGTGTCCGCCTTCCCAGCTCTGACACCAGAGAGCCTTACCTGTGTCCCTGTTCCCATTCCCCCCCTTAGCAAAACATGATTCCAGTTTCCCCACCTTTATTCCCTGTTCCCATTCCCCACCCCCTTTACTTCCTGATTGACTGCAGACTATATAGTAAAACTTGAGTTCTGCTTAGCTATACCTTAACCTATCATTTTACTGAAATTTAACTAACCAATCGTAACATATTGTAACATGATTATTTAACCAGTTATATCCCACCACCTTAATTAGTTTACACCCAGCAAAATTAATTATACAGCAGACAGAAACAATCACAGAACCAGACAGAGACCATGCAAATAAACAATAGCAAAGTGGGAACTATAATGACAAAACAATACAGAAGTGAGGATTTCACAACTACATCTATTGATAAGTGAGTTCTTGCCAGACAGGATGCTATCAAACTAAGTTTCCTTTTACATCTTCTAGGCACTTCCCTTTCTCTGGAGGTGATAGGCATTATCAGGACAGGATTGTACTCCTAACAGCCCAATAGCACCTTCTTTCAGTGAGACTAGTTTGGAATGTGAGGATGTGACCGTTCGCTTCCCAGCTTATAGCTGCCTCTGCTGCTTAGCCAAAGGCCTTAGCCCAAGAACAGGGCCTCAGACTGTCACAGAGAGAAAAGGTCTTATACAGTCAGACAGTGATTTTGATTCTCTTTTGTACCTCTATAACTAGCTAAGTGATAAGAATACACCTAAATTCTTAGAGTATAGGCCTTTTACAGACAGGCCTGAATATCTATATCCTAACACTAAGCAAGAGAAAAAGACAGGAATGGTTACAAACAAAACATGCTTTCTAGGGGATAAAATGTAATTTTAGCAAGTTACAATCTTTGCCTAAGCAGTTTTCTCACTTACATAAAATTTCCGACATCTCTAGCCTTCCTGGTCAGGGGATCCAACTTTCACAGGCCCACAAGGTGCTGTTCCCCATGTCCCCTAAGTGATGGATCACTAAAGTTGTTTTTTGTTTTTTTTCCCCCTCCCCTTATATTACCCAAAATTAATTGTCTGTGCTCAAGAGCCCGGAAGGCTTCCTGGGGTGCAGGTTCTGTTCCCTGGCATGATCGCCAAACTTTCGTCTTTGCTGCTTGTTAGCTTGATGGCTTTCTTAACCTTATATATAAATGTACTTTCATTGTCCTTTGCCTGCAGCGAAGCTGGTCAGACAGGTAGGTACAGGCCGGGTTTATGCACTCCCTCCCAAACACATTTTAAGAACATATTTCCAGCACACATCTTTGTGCACAACCCTTATATGCTTCACACAATGATTTTTAGGACCACCGTGGCACCAGTTTACATATGATATGATACGTGACACCTTTTAGATACATATTATGATAAGTGTGTTGGGGGCAAAGAGTGCAACAGGCTTGCTATGATGGGGCCTCTGCCAGTTGGCACTGAAGGGATAAAATGGTTATACAGACCCCATGTCTGACATGCTTCTTGAGCTGTAGGACCCCACAGACCTGCTACCTAGACTCTGGAACTAGTGCTTTGGCCTTCCCGAGCCCCCAGGCTGCTTGGACCGATTGCCCCTCAAAGACCACCTGATTGTGGGAGCTCTGGTTGCTAGTTACCACTTTCAGGGACAATGTGGCAGTAAAACAAGGAAATACAGCCTTAGTAAAAGGTTCCTTGCGCGCGCACGCTTTTTAGAGGCACAAGAGTTATAGATCTATGGGAAAACCACGAACTCCTGAACACAATCCTCCTTAGTCTGATCTTTGCCTCCTGTTGGAGTCTCTGGGTCCGATACAAGTCCTTAGGGGAGGCAAAGTCCACCCTGCCTCCACTCCTTCTGGGTCTTTTGTTTCTGGTGAGGAAAGGGCTTTGTTGGCTTAGAAAGCAAGCTGCCTTTTTAACAGTCCCTGCCACCTCTGGGTCAGGTGGTCAAGCAGAGAAACTGCAATTCCCTCAGCTGTGTGCTTGGAGGTGGGGGGTGGGAATTCCACCCCACCTGCCCTTCTCCCTCCTGACAGGGTTCTGTGAAGAAAGAGCCCATTCAAGGTTAAAGGCTTCGCTGGCAGAAACCCCATTGTTGAAGTAGGGGAGAGTCCTTCATTGTTGATGGCCTGTGAATGCTCTGGCACAGCTTTCCAAACCTAAACTCTCCACTGTGTCAAATTCCTGCTACAAAATGGCTACACAATGGCTGTTACCATTACAAATAGCATTGGTAAAGCCAAATGGAATTTATAACCGGATGCAGATAGATAGTTTGTGGTGTGTGGGGGTGTGTGTGTGTATAGATAAACTGGACACAGATTGTTTATATATATCTATTACAGACTTCAGTTTCTGTTTGAAAGAAGGAATTGTCAGAGTTGTAAATTGTTGTTCCAGCACACTACACTTAATCTGAGATGGCACTTTATTGACATAGTTCCCAGGAAACTGGCAAACTGAGAATAGGAAATGATCCTTAGGCAGGACGGTATTAGCATACGCTCTGCTTCGGATGGAAACATTTCAACAGTGGCAACTCATTAAGAAATTACTTATCAGAGGTTAAATAGGTATAAAATTCTTAGCGCTGGTATTTTGATATAGAAGTCTCCAAATAAATATTTTAAAAGACAGCATGCAGTGAATCACTTTTATTCAGTATGTTTTGTTGAACTTGAAGTATTCTTGGATTTATTTATTTTTTTTAGAGGCTTTTAATTGAACACCTGTGTAATCAGAATGACACTGTCCAGTTAAGAGGATTCTACTGTAACTTTTTGGTGCAATTTTTAAAACAAAATTTAGGATTTATAATTGAAACAGAGGGAATTAGCATCAGTACTGCAGACTTAGAATCCTCCTCAGAACCCAGAGTCTCTGATTTACACAAAAGCTTCAGTGTCCTCAGACTTTCAGATAATCAAACTGACCACTAAACTTCCACAGGAAGTTTTGTTTAATTAAAGACCATATCTTGCTAGATATTTTGTGTGTGTAAACCTTTGGGAGATGATTTGCATAGACTTACCAAGTAACTGTCTGTATAATGTTGACTTAGGCTCTGTGTAACTCTTTTCTCTCCTCCCCCCCGGATCCTGCTTCTTTAGGTGAAGCTAAGTGGCTTCTGCAGAGCGGGATAGTCATTCTTCTTCCCCATGGCTATGATGGTGCAGGCCCTGAACACTCTTCCTGCCGAATGGAACGTTTCTTACAGGTAGCTGGACACACCTGCCTGTGTCATACCCTCTGTCAATGCAGGTCAATGTCAGATGCCTCAGGAAAGCTGTTCTCTTAAAAGTTGCTACATGCCAATAGCACTTGCCGGTCTAATTAAGCAGGGTAGATCGATTTAAATCGGGAAGCCTTGATTAAATCATTGATTTTATTCTTGTTTTGCATTTGTCCTTTTTATTTTCCAAAGAGAGGCTGATTCTCATTGATTGGTAACCATTAAAACGTGTTTATTTGCAACTAAATACAGTTGCGCAAAATTTGATCCTTTTTGATGCACTATATCTATACACATCTATTTAACTAATTGTATAGATTAACTTACATTTATTCAGATTATTAATTTTTTATATTTTTATTATATTAAAATGCTTTTCTTATTTCTTAGATGATTAATATTTTACTTTTTTTGCAGTGTTCTTGTAGTTGTATTGGTCCCAGTATATTAGAGGGACGAGGGGGGGGTGTGGTAATAATCTTTTATTGGATCAGCTTCTTTTGGTGAAACAGACATGTTTTAAAGCTTACCCGGAGCTCTTCTTCAAAGCTTGTCTCTCACCAACAGAAATTGGTCCAATAAAAGAAATTACCTCCCCCATCTTCTCTAATTTTTTACATCTGACTTGTGACAAGCTGGAATTGACTTAAAAATGCATAAAAACAGCATGTAGAATTATCAGTTCAGTACAGGTTATTCCTTTAAAAAAATTTTTTTAAAGGAATAACCTGTACTGAACTGATTGTTTCTGGTGGTCATGTTCTTTCAGATTTTAGAACTAGTCTATCTCATCCTCTTGAACCTAGTTTTTATTCATAAATTGGTAGATGAAAACACACACTTTCCTGCTTTTTTCAACTCCCAATTGATTTTTCAACTTTGGATGAACTAGTCATTGACTTGAACTGAACTAGTCGAATGAAATAAAGAACATACTACCTTTGCACCTGAAGAAGAGGCTAATGTTGTCAAAAACTATAGTTTAGCACTTCAGGTGCAATAGCCAGCAAGCTTCCACAAGCTCAGTGGTTTGACTTTCTTTAAAATTTTGACAGTAAACATGCACTGCTTGAATATTTTTTATTCAATTCTAAATGATTTTAATAGATTATAGTAAATTTAGGCCTTAATGTAGGTTGTCATCAGTTCAATTTTAATTTAACAGGTTTATTTTTTAAAAGAAGAAATGTATTTCTTTTTTTTTTTTTAAGATCATGTATTTCCATCCACCTTGAATTAAAGGCTTGGGGTTGATGTTAGGTTTCTGCAAGATCATATAACCAAGATGGTTGCTTTGAAAAAAATGGCATGGATTGGGAGGAAGGGTGATCATGTGCTTAAGGTGCAAGTCTGGAGACTGCAGTTCTATTCTAGGCTCTGAAACAAACTTCATGTGTGATCTTAGATGAGCCATTTAACCGATCAGGAAACTGACTTTCAATGGGAACAATATTTACCTACCATATAGGTGAGTTTTAAGGCTGAATTCACTAATATTTGCAAAGGGACGTTGGGATCCTCCATTGGCAAGCACTTGCACTGCTACAGACTAGGGACCAAATGACTTGGCAGCAGTTCTGCAGAAAAGGACTTAGGGGTTACAGTGGATGAGAAGCTGGGTATGAGTCAGCAGTGTGCCCTTGTTGCCAAGAAGGCCAATGGCATTTTGGAATGTATAAGTAGGGGCGTTGCCAGCAGATCGAGGGACGTGATCGTTCCCCTCTATTCGACATTAGTGAGGCCTCGTCTAGAGTACTGTGTCCAGTTTTGGGCCCCACACTACAAGAAGGATGTGAAAAAATTAGAAAATGTCTAGTGGAGGGCAAGAAAAATGACTAGGCGACTGGAACACGTGACTTATGAGGAGAGGCTGAGGGAACTGGGATTGTTTAGTCTGCAGAAGAGAAGAATGAGAAGGGATTTGATAGCTGCTTTCAACTACCTGAAAGGGGGTTCCAAAGAGGATGGATCTAGACTGTTCTCAGTGGTAGCAGATGACAGAACGAGGAGTAATGGTCTCAAGTTGCAGTGAGGGAGGTTTAGGTTGGATATTAGGAAAAACTTTTTCACTAGGAGGGTGGTGAAGCACTGGAATGCGTTACCTAGGGAGGTGGTGGAATCTCCTTCCTTTGAAGTTTTTAAGGTCAGGCTTGAGAAAGCCCTGGCTGGGATGATTTGGTTGGGGATTGGTCCTGCTTTGAGCAGGGGTTTGCACTAGATGACCTCCTGAGGTCCCTTCCAACCCTGATACTCTATGATTCAGAATTGCATATTCTCATTTTGACATTGTTGTGATCTTAAAAAAAGTTGCATTATAAATATTTTATTTTTAAAGGCTATAACACATCTTTTTGTGTAACTCCTTAAGTGCTTTACAAACTCACTAGGTGATTGCAGTGTGTGGATCTGGGATCAAATACAGAAGTTGTTTAAGAGCCCATTTATGCTCTTAAAAGCAACAGAATCAAGGGTCCTGGTTACACCACAGTTAAAGCTTTTGTAGTTTAGTTGAGATGTTAGCAATGTTTTATAAAAGAATTAGAGCAACTTCTTCATTTGTTTATCGCCTTTTCCTGTAAGTTTGAGACCTTCAGCACATATTGGAGTGTGTAACTGTTCCCTGTACAAACACTAGTGATTGTACCTCCATCATCTGTGCTGTCTCAAGCATGTTTGGTTGACAGCTTGCTTCTTGGTGAGGGATTATTTTGTTCTCCTTGCATAGATGTGTGACAGTGCAGAAGAGGGAGTTGATGGTGACAACGTGAACATGTCAGTTGTGCATCCAACCACCCCAGCACAGTATTTCCATTTGCTCCGTAGGCAGATGATCCGAAACTTCCGGAAACCTTTAATTGTTGCTTCTCCCAAAATGCTACTCAGATTTCCAGTAAGTAGAAACATTCTCTGCTAGGGTTACTTTTAGTTTGGTTTTACCCTCTAAGACCTACTCTAAAACACACCGTTATACCAGTTTAACTAAGTGTGGTTTGCATCAGTTTAAACTGGTTCAAACTTCTTGCATTGGCCTTCATAAATCTATTTAAACATGGTTTAGTTTGCACCTGTAAACTTTGCCAGTGCAAGCTAAGCCAATATAACTTTTACACTGATATAAGTGTGTCCACACAGGTTTTTTCACCACATTGACTCTACAGTGGTTTTCAAAAGGATTTTAGTTAAAATGGTATCTAATTTGACTTTCTCCACTTAAGTTTGCTTTTTCCATTTCACTCATCTTAGATATTGAGACTACACTGGTGAGTTTCACTTCCCAGTTCTCATGCATTAGCAAAAATGTTCTGTTGTGTTTTGGCATTCACAGTGTTGGCAAAGCATGTGGGTTTTTTGTTTTAAATCTTCCACCCTTTGCCCTTTCAAGAGAGTAGGAGGAAATCCTGGAAATTTAAATATATATATATATATATATATATATATATACTGGATAACTCTTCATTTTAGTTTTCAGTAAAATAATTTTAGTCTAAATCTGTGGGCTAAAATCTGTTTGACAATGTATCTTTAATCTTCTGGCATCAGCTGTTAATCAGTTTGATTGTAGCCATTGTTAATAATGAATGTTATGCCAGGAAGCTCAGAATCCCCATAAACAACTGATTGACAAACTTTTCTGATCAATAACCAGTAGTACAAGACTTGGGGGGGGGGGTTTCTTCGGGATCATATTTTAATCATTATACAGTATATAGATTTTTAGATTTGAAAACCACAAGTTAAATATCCTACTTTTTCTTCACTTAGGGGGCGGTGTCAGATTTTCAAGAAATGGCCCCAGGGACAACATTCAAGCCTGTAATTGGTGATTTGTCAGTGGATCCTAACAGGTAACTTGATTCTTGTTTCTAATACTCACCGTTTCAAACAGCATGTAAGCATAATTGGCTGTAAAACCAGTTTTTTTCCTTGAAAATTAATTTCTGAGAATTTTATGAAGAAAAAATAAACAGGATCAATAGAAGACCTAAGATAGAATTATAGGTCCTTTTATTCTCTTGTCACCTCTGTAAAACTTACTCCACTGATTTCATTAGTTAGCCTGGATTTACACCCCTATAAATGAGAACCGAATTAGGCCTGAAGGTTTTGCACTGCACATAAAGGAGATTGATCTAATCTTTTAGGAAATGTGATCTCTGCATCACTGGTGGCCATATCTTACACCACCAGAAACTTCAGCACAACTGACAGTTGGTAAAGAAGCCCCAGGAATGAAACAGCAGGAGTGGGTAGGATAATAGTCATTGAGGCCTGAGCTCAGGTGCATTCAGAGAGCTTGAGTTTGGTGGTTTATCTTGCTTCTGCCTGTAGTGTGCTTGACACGGACCAGTGCTGCTCATTCATAAACAAATGAATCCCCCACTCTGCTGCTATTTTTATGAGAAAAATAATAATTTTTGTAATATTGGTCTTTGAACACTTCACATGCTGATGTGAGGAGTCTGTAGAGATGAGAACCATGGCTGGAGCAGAGAACTATATTTCAAAAGTATGTTTTGTGTGTCTTTCCCTTCCTTAGATAGGAATCTAAACAGCCCTGTTTGGATAAGCTTCTGTCTGTGGTACTTATCTGGCTACTATCACTGTAGAATCTGAATGACTCAGCATCTTTAATGTATTTATCCTCAACACCCCTGAAAGTTAGGAAAGTACTACTATCCATATTTAACAGATGGGAAATGGAGGCACAGAGAGACTAAGTAACTTTCCCAAGTCTGGGGCAGAGCAGGGAGTTGATCGAAGACTGGGAACTTAATAACTGGACAGTCCTTCCTCTTCTGCCCTCTTTTCTTTCTTTTGATCTGATAGTCAGCACTTTGGCCTTGTCCGGTTTTCTCTTTTTAAAAGAAAAAGCTAAAAGTTTAGGATTTAATGTATAACAAGTGGTTGTGTAGGGTCTCTTTTTAAAATGCTGTACTTGAAAACACTTCAATTTTTCTGCCTTTTAGCATCAGCCGAGTGGTGCTGTGTTCTGGCAAGCATTACTATGCTTTGGTGAAACAGAGAGAGGCACTAGCAGAGAAGAAGCACAGCACTGCTATTGTCAGGCTAGAAGAACTGTGTCCTTTCCCCCTGGAAGCTCTACAGCAAGAGATGAACAAATACAGAAATGCCAAAGGTCAGGCAGATCTTTATACTTTGCATTTAACCTCTCTTAAAGTATTGAAACAAATCCATGGCCATCTAGGAACTCCACTTGTTGCTGCTCCACATTGTTCTTTCCTTTTAGGATTAAAAGGTTTAGATTTGGTTTGGTTTTGTTGTCCCGCCCCCCCCAATACAACTTCAGATCTGCTGCTTTAGAAACGCAAGTCCTTATCACTTGCACCATAGGGGAATATGCTAGTGTGGAACCTATGATGCAGATAAGCAGTTCTGAATCTATTCAGCAGATGGGTGTGGTAAATTTACAGGTTGTTAGTAGTACAGATTGAGTTTGTATTACAGTAGAACTTGGGAGCCCAATTGAGGCTGGGTTTTCATTGTGCTAGGCCCTGTACAAACCGAGTAAGAGACAATCCTTGCCCTAAAGAGCTTATTGATACAATGGTTTAATTTTACAACACATGCATTTAAACAAATATTGCAGATCAGTTAATTGCCGTTTTTCCTATTGATCACCACTGTTAGATCCCTTGGCCTTGAGGGAGGGATAGCCTTCAAAGCACATGGAAGTGAGGGAGTGTTCTCTGTAATGCAAGGATTTGGAGGTAGAGGAACCAAAAAGGGAAGAATAATTTGTCCTTAAAATATGAATTTTTATCCATTTATTTTCACCCCTGGCGGCAGCATTGCGTAGTAACAAAGTCAGTCCAGTCTACTAATCCTCAGACTGAAGGGTGGTGCCTTTGCTGTGATAGCAGGACCATTGTAGATGGAGTGGGAATATACAGCGAAGAGAACTAGCTTAGAGATTCATTAGTACCTGTTTCTGGATTCAGTGGAAAGGTCAGTTGGTCCATATGGAATATACAAACACATGGCCTCTTATCTTTCCTACAGATTTTATTTGGAGTCAGGAGGAGCCACAGAACATGGGTCCCTGGGCCTTTGTGTCACCAAGGTTTGAGAAGCAGTTGGCATGTAAGGTAAGGTTTACAGTAATCTTTTTAAATTGATGTTTGAGTCTTTAGATACTATATATATTTTGCTACCAGGAATTAGTAGTAATTAGTTTAATGTTCATAAACATAAAAACCCTTGAATGAGTGTAATATTCCAACTTAAGCTATTATATATGTTAGAGTAGTATCTAGTGGTCACAGCCAGAATTGGGGCCCTGTTGTGTGAGGTGCTCCACAAACAGTGAGAAGCCCTGCCCCGAAGAGTTCACAATAGAAATAGACAAGATAAACAGGCCTCAAGTAGGGGCATAGGCACCTAATTCCATGGCTGTGGATCCCAAGTGGAGATATAGATGCCTCCTTTCAGCTCAGATGCCTTAGTCCCTTTCTGGCATGGGACGTTAGGCTACCTCACTCTAATCAGTGTTTCCTACTGGCTAGCTTAGGCAGCTGCCTGCTCAGAGTGCTGGCTTCTGTGAAGCCCTTTCTTAAGCATTTATCTCTTGCCATGCATTGTATAGGGGTGTGGGCACCTACTCAGGGTACAAATTCCACAAGGTGGCAGGGGAGCCTCAAGGCTAGGCACTGCAGTGCCAGAATCCCTTTAAGGATCTATCCCTAAGTGCCTTTCCCAAGGTCTCACAGCCAGTCAGAGGGAGAGCCAGGACTAGAACCCATATCTCCAGAATCTCAGTCTAAGGTCCTATTCAGTGAGCCACTCTCTCCTTAATGGTCTGAAACCCAGCTCTTTAGAAGATTACCTCTTCCCTTATGTCCCATTGTGGTGGTTAAGTTCTACTGGGGCACTTTTGCTCTCATTCTTGGAACTGAACTTTTTTGCAACCTTATGGGTCCTCCACTGTGAAATCTCCTTTGGGTGGACTGTCACCATGAATATTTTGGTCTTGGGGCATAGTTTACTCAGACAATCATCCCATTGTTCAGTTAGGGTGAAGCAGTAGCTTCCTAAATCATGTATACATAGGACTCAAGGATCCAGTGTTTGCGTTTCATTTATTTTGAGGCATTCAAATGCCATGGTGATAATGGCATAGAATCATGTTAAATGAGTAAAATCAATCTTAATCAGACATCCATCTAAATCACTAATTTTCCCCCCCCTTCCCCCGCTTGAACTTTAATTGCAGCTCCATCTTGTGAGTAGACCTCCCTTACCAGCCCCAGCAGTGGGCATTGGAACACTACACCAGCAGCAACAGGAAGACCTCCTTGCCAAAACTTTTGTCTAAGACCTTTCTACGTGGAAACCAGTTTCTTATAATATTTGTAAACGCCTTAAAAGGAAAACCCCTTGGCCTTTTCATCCTACAAAGGAAGAACAAATCAGGAACTGTTCTGGAAAGAGCAGACAGTTCTTTAAATGTACAAATACAACAAAACCCATAATGACCTCAGCCTATGTGTATTATGCAGAGGATAATTCTCAGTGTCCTTTGTATTTTTTTCATTATATAAAAACAAATCTGCAGTGAGATCAGTCAGTTAACTGGGAGATCAAATGTTTAATTTATACAGCATTATCCCACATAGCAGTACAAATCCATATTTCTTTGGTATTGTTCATTTGTGGGAACAGTTTTCCCTTGACTTTAAATTTAGATTTTTAAACCTCAGTGGATGTTTAAGAATTGAGTAATGCCTTCAACTATGGCATTTCTATAACAATAAAGTGTTTTTTGTTGGCATTTGAGAACCAGGTTTGATGGGTCTCAGTCTCTTTCTCTTTGAGTGGGCAGTGGTGGGGAAAAATACCACCCCACTTGGGTTCCCTGATTGACAATTTCAGCAGAGAATTGAATGAGCCATGGACACAACTCTCTTCTCACCCCCTGAGCAGTGCCTCTGTGTCAGGGTTGAGTGTCAATGGCTGGGCAGTGTATGGGAAGATGATTGTGCTGGCTGCTTGTGTTTGTTCTGAGGATAAATGAAGAGCTCTAGTCTCCAGGACTGTGAAACCAGCATCTTTCTTCAACAAAAAATTCACTCACCCATTTTTAAAGAATTAGCCATTGCTTTCTGAGTTTTGATGTATCAAAATGGCTGTTTACCTTGTTAATTTCTGTTGTTCATATCCCAACACTCTTGAATATGAGACGTCAGACATTTAGTGCATGTATGTTACGAATTACACCTGGTAGGACACGCACACAACTGCTGCGAATTACACCTGGTAGGACACGCACAGTTCGAATCTAGGCTGAGGCACATAAACAAAGTCCACAACTGCCAAGTTCCCAAAAAACACCAAGTTTATTACGCTCGAGCGTGGTGCCCCCCTGCTAGCCAGGAGGGGACCCCGAATACAGATTATACAAGGTTATATACTTTTTAGCAAAGCATGTTGCCCTCGTGCATTGGAAACTTTAGCCAATAAACAAACCCTTTTCTTATCTACCACCTATCCCTGCTTGGTGCATTCCTCGTGCTAAACTAGTATGTTAATTACACAGCATGGTCCTAAAGCCATGCATCAGTAACTTTTATTATCAAGATGGGAGGCCTCACATCAAAGGCCGGGAGTTTAGGGACTGACAAAGAACAGATACTGGGAGTCAAGGCAGGCTGGAGACAAGGAGGAGGATTTTCACAGGAATGCAGTATCTAAGGAACACTCCTCTTGGTGCATGATGTGCTTGCTTTTAGACAATGGTGGGCCCCAAACCAAAATGGAGTCACATGTGCTAACTTTTCCTTAACATGTATTACTGTAATACAATACTAATTTTTCTCCCTATATTTCCATTTCCAAGCCCTTTTCTGTGCTGAATTCCGTAACTATTGCAATCTGAGATAACACATCTCTACTGTGCAGCTGTCTGGTCTTAGTGGACGAGAAATGTTGCTGCATTTGTTCATTAGTTTAGTTTAACTCTTGTCTTGGCTTTTTGAGAGAGATTTGAATAGCAGAAATACATGCAGATTATTTGATATCTAGCATTTGGAACATTGAATACAGCAGTTCTTTTTTTAATATAAAGGTTAAATGACTCCTTTGGCTTTTTTGGCTGGCACTTAGAAAAGTGTCACACAAATAATGCTATCGTAATATTTTGTTGAGCTCTTCAGTACTGTGACATAAGTTATAAGAGTTTCATAAGAAGTTCACGTTCAGTTTTTTTTTCCAGCTTTCACTAACTTATGTAAAACGTATATTTCAGTACCCATTCTCTTAAAAGTGAGCTCTGGGAACATGGAGAGAGATCTTCAATCACCAACATCTTATGTACTAAGTATAAAGTGCACACAGACATAAGAGATGTTGGACTAGATCGTAATCCCCAAATCTGCACATGGCTCTCACCCTTTTCATGTGGATAGTGGGGTGGTCTTCCACTGTACGCTTGCCACCCATGCCTTTGGAAGGTACTCTGTAGGGCTAAGCCCTGGTCTACACTAGGACTTTAGGTCGAATTTAGCAGCGTAAAATCGATTTAAACCTGCACCCGTCCACACAATGAAGCCCTTTATTTCGACTTAAAGGGCTCTTAAAATCGATTTCCTTACTCCACCCCTGACAAGTGGATTAGCGCTTAAATCGATGTTGCCGGCTCGAATTTGGGGTACTGTGGACACAATTCGATGGTATTGGCCTCCGGGAGCTATCCCAGGGTGCTCCATTCTGACCGCTCTGGACAGCACTCTCAACTCAGATGCACTGGCCAGGTAGACAGGAAAAGAACCGCGAACTTTTGAATCTCATTTCCTGTTTGGCCGGCGTGGCAAGCTGCAGGTGACCATGCAGAGCTCATCAGCACAGGTGACCATGATGGAGTCCCAGAATCGCAAAAGAGCTCCAGCATGGACCGAACGGGAGGTACGGGATCTGATCGCTGTTTGGGGAGAGGAATCCGTGCTATCAGAACTCCGTTCCAGTTTTTGAAATGCCAAAACCTTTCTGAAAATCTCCCAGGGCATGAAGGACAGAGGCCATAACAGGGACCCGAAGCAGTGCCGCGTGAAACTGAAGGAGCTGAGGCAAGCCTACCAGAAAACCAGAGAGGCGAACAGCCGCTCTGGGTCAGAGCCCCAAACATGCCGCTTCTATGATGAGCTGCATGCCATTTTAGGGGGTTCAGCCACCACTACCCCAGCCGTGTTGTTTGACTCCTTCAATGGAGATGGAGGCAATACGGAAGTAGGTTTTGGGGACGAAGAAGATGAGGAGGAGGAGGAGGTTGTAGATAGCTCACAGCAAGCAAGCGGAGAAACCGGTTTTCCCGACAGCCAGGAACTGTTTCTCACCGTAGACCTGGAGCCAGTACCCCCCGAACCCACCCAAGGCTGCCTCCTGGACTCAGCAGGCGGAGAAGGGACCTCTGGTGAGTGTACCTTTTAAAATGCTATACATGGTTTAAAAGCAAGCATGTGAAAGGATTACTTTGCCCTGGCATTTGCGGTTCTGCCTTTGCAAAAGGTTTCTGGGGAGGGCAGCCTTATTTCGTCCTTCATGGTAGGACACTTTACCACTCCAGGCCAGCAACACGTACTGGGGAATCACTGTAGAACAAAGCATTGCAGTGTATGTTTGCTGGCATTCAACCAAAATCCGTTCACGCGGTGGGAGGAGGCAAAATGCGACCTTGTAACGAAAGCACATGTGCTATGTATGTAATGTTAACAGCAAGGTTTACCCTGAAAGAGTGTAGCCACTGTTTTATAAAATGTGTCTTTTTAAATACCGCTGTCCCTTTTTTTTTTTTCTCCACCAGCTGCATGTGTTTCAATGATCACAGGATCTTCTCCTTCCCAGAGGCTAGTGAAGCTTAGAAAGAAAAAAAAACGCACTCGCGATGAAATGTTCTCCGAGCTCATGCTGTCCTCCCACACTGACAGAGCACAGACGAATGCGTGGAGGCAAATAATGTCAGAGTGCAGGAAAGCACAAAATGACTGGGAGGAGAGGTGGAGGGCTGAAGAGAGTAAGTGGCAGGCTGAAGACAGGGCTGAAGCTCAAAGGTGGCGGCAGCGTGATGAGAGGAGGCAGGATTCAATGCTGAGGCTGCTGCAGGACCAAACCAGTATGCTCCAGTGTATGGTTGAGCTGCAGCAAAGGCAGCTGGAGCACAGACTGCCACTGCAGCCCCTCTGTAACCAACCGCCCTCCTCCCCAAGTTCCATAGCCTCCACACCCAGACGCCCAAGAACGCGGTGGGGGGGGCCTCCGGCCAACCAGCCACTCCACCACAGAGGATTGCCCCAAAAAAAGAAGGCTGTCATTCAATAAATTTTAAAGTTGTAAACTTAAAGGGGCTTAAAGTGCTGTGTGGCATTTTCCTTCCCTCCTCCACCACCCCTCCTGGGCTACCTTGGTAGTCATCCCCCTATTTGTGTGATGAATGAATAACGAATGCATGAATGTGAAGCAACAATGACTTTATTGGCTCTGCAAGCAATGATTAAAGTGAGGAGGGGAGGGTGGTTAGCTTACAGGGAAGTAGAGTGAACCAAAGGGCGGGGGGGGTTCATCAAGGAGAAACAAACAGAACTTTCACACCGTAGCCTGGCCAGTCATGAAACTGGTTTTCAAAGCTTCTCTGATGCGTACCGCGCCCTCCTGTGCTCTTCTAACTGCCCTGGTGTCTGGCTGCGCGTAACCAGCAGCCAGGCGATTTGCCTCAACCTCCCACCCCGCCATAAACGTCTCCCCCTTACTCTCACAGATATTGTGGAGCACACAGCAAGCAGTAATAACAGTGGGAATATTGGTTTCGCTGAGGTCTAAGCGAGTCAGTAAACTGCGCCAGCGCGCCTTTAAACGTCCAAATGCACATTCTACCACCATTCTGCACTTGCTCAGCCTGTAGTTGAACAGCTCCTGACCACTGTCCAGGCTGCCTGTGTATAGCTTCATGAGCCATGGCATTAAGGGGTAGGCTGGGTCCCCAAGGATACATATAGGCATTTCAACATCCCCAACAGTTATTTTCTGGTCTGGGAATAAAGTCCCTTCCTGCAGCTTTTGAAACAGACCAGAGTTCCTGAAGATGCGAGCATCATGCACCTTTCCCGGCCATCCCACGTTGATGTTGGTGAAACGTCCCTTGTGATCCACCAGAGCTTGCAGCACTATTGAAAAGTACCCCTTGCGGTTTATGTACTCGGCGGCTTGGTGCTCCAGTGCCAAGATAGGGATATGGGTTCCGTCTATGGCCCCACCACAGTTAGGGAATCCCATTGCAGCAAAGCCATCCACTATGACCTGCACATTTCCCAGGGTCACTACCCTTGATATCAGCAGACCTTTGATTGCGTGGGCTACTTGCATCACAGCAGCCCCCACAGTAGATTTGCCCACTCCAAATTGATTCCCAACTGACAGGTAGCTGTCTGGCGTTGCAAGCTTCCACAGGGCTATCGCCACTCGCTTCTCAACTGTGAGGGCTGCTCTCATCTTGGTATTCATGTGCTTCAGGGCAGGGGAAAGCAAGTCACAAAGTTCCATGAAAGTGCCCTTACGCATGCGAAAGTTTTGTAGCCACTGGGAATCGTCCCAGACCTGCAACACTATGCGGTCCCACCAGTCTGTGCTTGTTTCCCGAGCCCAGAATCGGCGTTCCACAGCATGAACCTGCCCCATTAGCACCATAATGCATGCATTGTCAGGGCCCATGCTTTCAGAGAAATCTGTGTCCATGTCCTGATCACTCACGTGACCGCGCTGACGTCGCCTCCTCGCCCGGTATCGCGTTGCCATGTTCTGGTGCTGCATATACTGCTGAATAATGCGTGTGGTGGTTAATGTGCTCCTAATTGCCAAAGTGAGCTGAGCGGGCTCCATGCTTGCCGTGGTATGGCGTCCGCACAGAAAAAAGGCGCGGAACGATTGTCTGCCGTTGCTCTGACGGAGGGAGGGGCGACTGACGACACGGCTTACAGGGTTGGCTTCAGGGAGCTAAAATCAACAAAGGGGGTGCCTGTACATCAAGGAGTATTTCAGGCAGGACTGCACGGAGGGTTCCAATAAGAAATGGTGCACCTAAGTTATCGTTGTTATTGGAACAAGGAGGTTAGCCTGGCCTCTGATTGATACATGGCTAGATTTACCTCGCTGCACCTTCTCTGTGAGTGACTGCAGTGTGACCTAGAGGAATGAGTCCCCTAGACAGGGGAGGAGGCAAATGAGTACAAAACAAATCTGGTCTATTTCTTGTTTTGACCCACTCCATCTATCTTTTACATCTTTGGCTGGCAGCAGACGGTGCAGAAGGACTGCATGCCATCCACATCTCATGGCTGCTCAGCAGAAGATGGTACAGTACGACTGCTAGCCATCCCCATCTCTTGCCTGCCTGGCAGAAGATGGTGCAATACGACTGCTAGCAATCCTCATCTCTTGCCTGCCTGGCAGAAGATGGTACAGTACGACTGCTAGCAGTCCGTATCGCCTGCCCGCTCACCATAAGACGGTTCAATAGGACTGACTGCAGGACTAAAGAGAATGACCTGGTCAAGTCACTCCAAATTTAGTCCCTGCGCCCATGTCTGCCCAGGCGCTCCCAGCCGACGCGGCCAGGAGCACCTCGGACACGATGAGGACGACTACCAATCGTATTGCACCGTCTGCTGCCAGAAGGCAAGGGGTTGCTGCTACTGTGCAGCAAAGCCGTACCACGTCTGCCAGCACCCAGGAGACATAGGGTGACGGTTACCTGAGCGGGCTCCATGCTTGCTGTGGTATGGCGTCTGCACAGGTAACTCAGGAAAAAAGGCGCGAAATGATTGTTTGCCCTTGCTTTCACGGAGGGAACGGGGGCCTGATGACACGTACCCAGAACCACCCGCGACAATGTTTTAGCCCCATCAGAGTGCTCCATTGTGACTGCTCTGGACAGCACTCTCAGATGCCCGATTGTTTGCCATTGCTCTGACGCTGGGAGGGGCGCTTACAGGGTTGGCTTCAGGGAGCTAAAATCAACAAAGGGAGTGGCTTTACATCAAGGAGTATTTCAGGCAGGACTTCACGGAGGGTTCCAATAAGAAATGGTGCACCTAAGTTATTGTCCTTATTGGAGCAAGAAGGTTAGCCTGGCCTCTGATTGATACATGGCTAGATTTACCTCGCTGCACCTTCTCTGTAAGTGACTGCAGTGTGATCTAGAAGAATGAGTCCCCTAGACAGGGGAGGGGGGGAAGCAAATGAGTACAAAACAAATCTGGTCTATTTCTTGTTTTGATCCACTCCATCTATCTTTTACATCTTTGGCTGGCAGCAGAGGGTGCAGAAGGACTGCATGCCATCCACATCTCATGGCTGCTCGGCAGAAGATGGTACAGTACGACTGCAAGCAGTCCGTATCGCCTGCCCGCTCACCATAAGACGGTTCAATAGGACTGACTGCAGGACTAAAGAGAATGACCTGGTCAAGTCACTCCAAATTTAGTCCCTGTGCCCATGTCTGCCCAGGCGCTCCTGATCGACCTCACAGAGGCGACCAGGAGCACCTCAGACATGACGATGACGGCTACCAGTCGTACTGTACCGTCTGCTGCCACAAGGCAAGGGGTTGCTGCTACTGTGTAGCAATGCCGTACCGCGTCTGCCAGCACGCAGGAGACATAGGGTGACGGTTACCTGAGCGGGCTCCATGCTTGCCATGGTATGGCGTCTGCACAGGTAACTCAGGAAAAAAGGCGCGAAATGATTGTCTGCCCTTGCTTTCACGGGGGGGAGGGAGGGAACGGGGGCTGACGATATGTACCCAGAACCACCCGTGACAATGTTTTAGCCCCATCAGGCATTGGGATCTCAACCCAGAATTCCAATGGGCAGCGGAGACTGCGGGAACTGTGGGATAGCTACCCACAGTGCAACGCTCCGGAAGTCGACGCTTGCCTCGGTACTGTGGAAGCGCTCCGCCGAGTTAATGCACTTAATGCACTTAGAGCATTTTCTGTGGGGACACACACACTCGAATTTATAAAACCGATTTCTAAAAAAACGACTTCTATAAATTCGACCTTATTCCGTAGTGTAGACATACCCTAAGATACACATGATGGGGAGAGGTTAACAGCTCCAGGCAGGGATTTAGATTTTAAACTTCTGTTTTCACTGAAACATTTTTTCTGTTCAGTGGACTAGATTGTGGAGCCCTTACACAGGTGGGCACTAACATAAGTAATCCCATTGATTTTTAAAATTAAATTGCTTTTATCTCAAACAAGCATCACAAACTAATTTTCAGAACACTCCTGTATGAGGCACGTTTTTCTTCCATTTCATAGAAGTTAAGTGACCCTGCCTAACTTCAGAGGGAGTCTGTAGCAAGGCAGAATAGTACGTTGGAATTTGTGTCCAGACTATACCTTTGTCAGCAGTTGTTTAACATGTTACTTTGGCTGACAGAGCACAGCAGGAGCTTGTGACACTTTGTCTTCCTGGGCAGAGTACTTGTGGAATGTTGTGTTGCATTCTCCTGAGGTTAATAGCAACAATAACATTGGCCTTTCCAGTTTTCTTTAGGTATGCTGCATACAGTATTGCAACAGTAGATCTCAAACTTTTGCTAGTTATAATACAGTCAGTGTAAGCAAACACATCTAGTGTTCTTTACATTCTATCTGTTAGGCTCTGGGGAACTTTAGTCATATCTTAGTAAATGAGCTCCTGTTTTTTCTTGGAAGTCATAGCTGGACCAGTGAGTCTCCAGTGCTATGTAATCTACTGGCATCTACTCATTGCTCACAATTGGGACCGACTGCAGTGTGTACACTAACCTACTGCCTTCACTCAGCAAACCCTATTTGAAGTAGGGCACTTCAGAGTTCAGCCGTAGGGTACATTATCCCTTACTCCCCTGCTTTCTTTGCTCTCCTCTATTTAATACTGCATCAATATAGTACTTACTCACCTCATTTTCCCCCTCTCTCCCCCCCCCCGCCAAAAGTGGGCTCTACATAATCTCCTTCCTCTACCAAGTTGACAGCGATTGTTTTGTCAATAACAAATTTACAGACACTTGCATGCATGAAGTCCAAATCCAGAGCTATGCCGAAGTCCCTACACTTTTCCTTGGGGGAACAGTCTCTGTATATTGACCATCTTCCTACACTTTCCTCCCAGAAATCTTAGTTCTGTCCATTTCAGTGGAGTGAAGAGGATATGCTCTTATTTTCTATCCCTGTTTTGATTTCATATGGTAACAGTAGTACTGAAGCTTTTGAGCCATGGTGTAGGTTAATAGTTGTGTTTAAACCTATGTAGGCACTGTTCTATGTTAGCCATAAACACACAAAAAGACAACTCTCACTTCCTTGAAAAGCTCAGTGTTTGACAAAACAGACATCAAAATGAGAGGAGAGAATGGAATACACCACCTTTTCCTCCTCCTCCCCTCCCCAATTGGTTTTTAATTTATATGTATATTGTGCCCATTTGTGTCCATTGGAATCCTGTCTTTGAATTAAACTTGAGTTCCTTTGTTCTTTGTCACTTTATAGCTCTGCCCTAATTATTTATGCTTTTTGTTTTTACAGTGTTTAACCCTTTCCTTCCTTTTCACTGTGGTTGAGTTTTGTGGGATTTTCAAGCCTTCCTATGCCTGCCCCCAACATCCCACATTAGGTGTAGCTATGGCTGTTAGGAGCTGCTGTCAGAATGACATTGAATGCAGTGAAGATTGGAGAAAAGGGGTGTTGTGTGGTCACACCAAAAAGAGTTTGCAGATCCTGCTATTGTCCAACTGCATGTAGGCTAGGTTTTTTAAAGAAGCCTACCGTTAGGCTCCCACATCCTGTTAAAATTCAATGGAGGTTTGGCACTTTTGCTCTTATATCCCTTAAAGTAGGAGTAATAGCTGTGTTTGTGTGTTTCTAAGCAGGAAATGACTGAGGGTGGGGATCTATATTATATTTCTTTAACTTTGTAGCAGGAATCCAAACAGCAGGAAGTTGAGGTAGGTCGAGAAACTCTACCCTAGACAGGTTTCAGAGTAACAGCCATGTTAGTCTGTCTTTGCAAAAAGAAAAGGAGTACTTGTGGCACCTTAGAGACTAACCAATGTATTTGAGCATGAGCTTTCGTGAGCTCATGAAAGCTCATGCTCAAATAAATTGGTTAGTCTCTAAGGTGCCATAAGTACTCCTTTTCTGTCTACCCTAGACAGAGGCTATTGCTGAAAAATTCTTGGTCCCTGTTGAAAGAAAGCAAGTCTGGTGCTGGTTATGGCAGCAAGGCTTGAGGAAGAGACTCTCCCCTTCCAACCAGGTTTCATCATAGCACAGAAAACCTATTCTCTGCACCTTAAGTCTAGAACGTGGGCTGCCTGTATCTAGGGCTCGCTGCCCTAGGGCTGTGACTCCCCAGCTCGGGTATGCCTAGCACTACACCTTGCTGCGCTAGTGTGACTATAAATAGCCGTTTAACTGCCTTGGAGGTAGGGCTGGGCTGGGTTGCCTAGGTAGCTCCTGCCCTTAAAGCTGTGGTTATGCTGCTATTTATATTCCTACCGCCTCAAGAAGATGCGTGCCTGCACCGGGGCATCACCCTCGCTTGTAATGCAGACAGAGCCTGTGGTCTCCTTCTACTTAGTCTCACAGCACCCCGGGGAGGGCGGCTGCCGCAGAGCAGGGACTTGAGCCGGGCTCTCCTGTGCCCCAGCCTAGCACATTCACCCCAGGGGGCGCCCAGCCCGGGAGGTCTCAGGGTGAAACGTAAATAGCAACGCCTCCCCCGGCCTCCTGACATGGGGGGAACCGGTTTGTGCCCCTCTAGCACCCCCCCCATCGAGTTCGCGGGGGCGGGGGGCGGAAGCAGGGGCAGAGCCCTGAGTCGCCGGGGCACAGACTCCTCCAGCCCCGCGGCGGCGGAGAGAGAGCGCGAGCTTCTCCCGGGGCTGCGGGGGAGGAGAGCGAGCTCCGGCGGGAGCCAGGACGCGGGGAGCGAGACAGGGGAAAGCGAGCTCCGGCCGGGGAGGGGGGCATGTTCCGGGGTCGGAGTTAAATGTCTGTGCACGCTCCCATCATGGGCCCCTTTCCCTCCCTGTCGCATGGGACCTCCCCGCCCCGCCATGTGTGGACGCTCCCCGCCTGAAGGAGGCGCAGACCTTGACCTCTGACCCGCTGGGGATGACGCGTTGGGTCCTTTAACATGTTTAGGCGACGTCCCCGCGCCTGAGCCATCTGCCCCGGTCCGCTTAACGGGTCAAGGAATGGAGTCATTTTGGCGGGGTGAAGGGTCCTTCCCGGAAAGGGGAATGATGCCTGTTGTCCCGGGTCCCGCCCCTCTCCCAGACTCCCACACGTACACTGCTCAGGAAGTGGGTGGCCACGGCGCTGCCTGATCCGTTACCGGACCGGTAGAGGGGAGGGGTCCTGATTGTCCCTGCGTCGCGGAACAGGGCTGGCAGTCACGTGACTGGCAGCGGCCGGCGCCTCGAGCGAGGAGGGGGCTGCAGGGGGAGGGGAAGCCCGGACTCCCCTCGGCCAGGCAGGCCCCCGCCGCCATGGGCAGTGAGTATCGGGCGGAGAAGCGGGATCCGACGGGCGGCGACAGAGGAGGCTGGGGGAAGGGGCGATCGGGGCCACGGACACCAGGTGTGCGGGTGGGGGCGCCCTGAGGGACAGACAGACACCAGGGTGGGCGCCTGGGGGCGCCCTGAGGGAGGCGGGGACGGACGGACCGACGGCTCCCCGGGCTGGGCGTCTGGGGGTGACCTGTCGGAGGGACGGACGGACCGAGGGCAAGAGGCGACCGGAAGGGGGCTGACTGACAGACACTAGGCTGGAGTGAGGGGCGATCTGGGCAACAGAGAGACCCTCGGCTGAGGCGTATGGGGCAATCCAGCGGGAGGAACAAGCCTTGGCTGTAGGGGGATGGTACAGGGGAGTTGTGGCCGGCGAGCGGGAGGCTGTGACTTGGAAGGGACGTGTGGGAGGATTGGCCCAGGGGTGGCTGTAGAATGTGCTGGGAGAAGTTGGGGGTGACCATGTCCATGAGGGCGTGATTCTGCCTGGCTAAATGCGCTGGGGAATAATACACCTGTCCCAGGCAAGGGGAAACGAATCATTAGGGCTGTGGATCTTTCTGTGGGTTTGTCCAGCTTGCCTGTTCTGCGCAGGTCAGGAGGCTTTGACCACACTGGCCTTTGCCCTTGCCTGCTGAAGTGCCACCCGTGGCCATGTGGGGCCATGCCTGTTAGTGACACCATGCTTGTCCAAAAAGAAAAGGAGTACTAGTAGCACCTTAGAGACTAACCAATTTATTTGAGCATAAGCTTTCGTGAGCTACAGCTCACTTCATCGGATGCACTGGTTAGTCTCTAAGGTGCCACTAGTACTCCTTTTCTTTTTGCGAATACAGACTAACACGGCTGCTACTCTGAAACCATGCTTGTCCAATAAGACTGCCTGAGATCCCCTGCACGGGAGCTCTGGCCTTGCTCTATGTGTACTGTGTGTTTGTATGTACTGAACAGGCTGAAGCAACAAACTGAGAGAAGAAGAATATGGTTCGAAAATTGAAATCTCATTCTGACTGTTTAATTTCCAAATTTCTGTTCGCTGTCAAGCCAACATAATCCAGCTAATCTGTTGGCACCTGTTGGATTTTTGTAGGATCTTCTGGCCTTAGTTTACCAACAATGGAATCATTTCAACTTTATAAATGAAACATGTCTTTTAATGGCCTGTCTTATGATTTCATGGCGCCAAGTATTAAAGTGTAAAAATACAGCCTAATAGATTAGAAAATAAGAAAAAGGGATCATTTCAGTTCTGCCTGCATATTTGTGTGTGGGTGGATTGGTGACTTGATCTTTGCTGATATTCATTGTACCTACTGTGTCTTCTTATAATGCACATGCTTTGGAGGCCAAAAAAAAATTTAAAAAAAATCATTCTTTGCTCTGGAATTTGTTCCAATAAAAGGGATCATACTGTCTAACTTGTTCACTCTTTCTCAGTTAGAAATATTAGGCAGAACCACGTCAAATGATAAAGGAACTAAAATCCCACACTGCTCTGATTACATCTAGTATTTTAGAGAGCTTAAAATGACAGGTGTTTCTTTTAAGTGACTACTTTGGGAAACTCCATTCTATTATATGATTTAGGATGATTTTTTTCCCTCTGCATATTTTAGTGCTATTATAAATCAACATCTTGTCTCTGTATTTACCTAACATGGAAAGATAGCAGATATTCATCTTCAGTTAATGTTTAAGTTCCAGCTTACTGTCATTATTATATATAATACTTCCTTTCATGAGTATAAAAATGACACCAAGTCAAATCTGAAGGAAAATTCAGACCTTGTTAGTAAAAACCATTAAATTCCATCTCAAACTTTTGCCATGTTTTGTCATGAATTTGCAGATAGTGGTAAGAGTATGAATTTATGTATGCAACTCATTTTTTGAATGTCATACAAGTAGTTAATGTGCATATTTAAAGGGCTGAATCCTAGGTAAGAAAGTGAGTGCTGTAATATGTAACAGTTCACTATGATTCAGCTTGAAAAACTTATTTTATTTATTTTTTTCTTTAAACAGTTAAATTTTTAGAAGTTATTAAGCCTTTCTGTGCAGTTTTACCTGAAATCCAGAAGCCTGAAAGAAAGGTTAGTGCTGTGTTTTGATTTTTGCTTGTATTGGGTGAATTCATAGATTATTTTAGGGATAGAATTCATAGATTATTTTGTGAGGGGACTCAGTCACTGGGTCCCCGTCACTCAGTAGACAATTGTGAGGGGACTCAGTCACTGTGTCCCTGGGTGTTTTAAGCCTCCAGAGCCTGAATAGAGCCAAGCCAACACCCCATCCTTGGGGTTCTTAAGTATGCTCTTGGGGTGCAAACCTTCTGTCTAGCACCCCCTACTGAGGGCTGGAATCAGCTCTTTAGCCCCTGGACTCAGTGCTGACCATTCAAACTCCTCCATAGGTTAAGCATACCCACTTCCAGAACTCCACCCAAAGGTGTGAGCCTTCTGGGTTACTGTTTGACAGTGCAAGGAGGCCTATGGCAAGTATAAAGCAGGTAACAGTCGCTTTGTACACATCTAATACCATTGCTCTTTTACTTAACAGATAAAGCATGTGAGTACAGATCATTTTGCAGTGTCCCTCTCTAGCTCACCTGTCCCTAGGGAGTCCTTGTGGTTCCTCAGTATTCAGGGATGTAGTCACGGTCCCTAGCCTCATCAGCTCCCTATATGTTGGATTGCTTCTCCCTCCTCTTGAGCTGGAGAAAATTGTCACCAAAGATGCTCCTTTTTTATAATTTTCCAGTCTGTTCTGTTGGGTGACTCCCTCATCAGCCTCAACAGGTGACCAGAAACCCTTACCATGTTTGTGGCCAGGCTACCTTTGCCTTTGAGTTCAGACTTGAAAAAATGGTTGGCAGCCATCTCTTTGTCATGTAGATGGACAATCCTAAAATTTAACAATTCTGTTGATAGCTGTATGCCAGCACATCTCAGGAATTATAGTTCAAGATGGAGGTTAAAAGACAGTGGGAATGTAAAGACGGTAAGACCAGCCTTACAATCAAATGGAGTTTACAGTCTGATACAGGTACTTGCAAAGACTTCATAATCTCACACAGAATACATAAATAGTCAGTGTCTGTGTGTGTTGTATGCTTTACACTTACCACTTGGCCCCTGGAATAGGTAAACCAGAAGTCTCTCACCTTTGGGTGTAATTCTAGGAGTGGGTGTATTTAAGCTATGAGGGAGTATAAATGGTTTGTACTGTGCCCAAGGGCTGGACAGCAGGCTCCAGCTGTTAGGAGGGCATCCCTGGGGTGCAGTCTGGGAGCTGGGGTACCACTGAGCCCCCTAACCCTGGGCTTCCTCTCACACTGTACTGCTGTGACAAGCTGCAGAGCCCTCCAGCCTGCACTTTTACCAGCATACATACAGGTAGGGCCACACCCAGCTGCAGTTACATGCGGGCTCTCTGACTAGCCCCTGCATAGGAAGGCTACAGTTAAGGCAACTCCCAGCTCCCCAGATGTGCACCCCCTCTGGAGTATAAATCCAAAATTATACCGTCTTGCGCTGTACAGCGTAAGTTCATAAAATTCACCCTCTCCCTCAATGTGGAGAGGAATATGCAACAGCCTTTGCTCCTGAGTTATGATTCCCAGCCACTTCACTCCAACTCACTGGTTTAGATAAAGCAAAAACAAGTTTATTAACTACAAAAGATAGATTTTAAGTGATTATATGTGATGGCAAATAGATCAAAGCAGATTACCTAGCAAATAAACAAAAAAATGCAAATTAAGCTTAATATACTAAATAGATAGGATGTGAATAGCAGATTCTCACCCTAAGAGATGATACGAGCAGGCTGAAGATTTTTAAGGGCAAACTGCACTTGCTTTACAGCTTGGAATCCCTATGTGTTTCATTCATAGGCTAAAAGTATCTTTGGTCTGAGTCCAGCACTTCCCCCAGTTCAGTCTTTGTCCCTTGGGTGTTTCCAGGAGTCTTCTTGGGTGGGGAGTGAAGAACACCAAATGATGTCACTCCCTATCTTTTATAGCTTTTACGTATGGTGGGAACTCTTTGTTTCAAAGCTTGGTTCCCAGACCAGTCTGTGGAAAAATACTGACATCCCAAGATGGAGTCTAGAGACATGTGGTCTCATCACATGTCCAGTAGAGTCATAGCAGCCATTACTTGGAGGCTGTCTGTAGCATTTTCAGGAAGGCTTCCCGGGTGGGAGATAAGCTTCTCCTAAGGCCTGTTGTTTTTTCCTAATGGTCCATTGCCCTGAATAGGCCCTTTCCCACCCACTGTCTAGACTGAAAGCATCTTGTCTAGTGGGCATTACCCAGGTGTAACTACATTTGAAGTACAGGTACATAGTTAACATTCTTAACTTCAGACACAAAAATGATACATGCAGACAAATAAGATAATCGTATTCAGCAAATTATAACTTTCCCAATGACACCTCACATGATATATCTTGCATAAAATACATCAGAATTATTCTATAATTGTATCATAATAATATCACTGTGAAGAATTTGGCATGCAGTGTCATAGAGGGTCTGTGTCCCAAGAGTTGCCTAGGAACTCGAAGACTGTAGCAGTGGCTGGGCACTGGAGGCTTAAAATGCCCAGGAACTCAATGGCTGGGTTCCCTTTCAGCAGTCTAATGAGTGTCAGAGAGGGGCACTCGACTGAATCTGACACCTATTATCAAATTGAGCAAATCAACCCTTAAATTCTGTTTTTTGAGCAAAGCAGATCAAACTCCTTGAGTCTCTCGCTTATAAGGCATGTTTTCCTTTAATAATTCTCATGACTCTTTTCTCTGAACCCTCTGCAATTTATCAACATCCTTCTTGCATTGTGGACACCTGAACAGGATGCAGTATTCCAGTAGGGGTCACACCAGTGTCAAATACAGAGGTAATATAACCTCCCTACTCGTACTCAATATTCCCCTGTTTATATAACCAATGGTTGTATTCACCCTTTTGGCCACAGCACTGCACTGGGAGCTCGTGTTCAGCTGATTATCCCCATGACCCCCAAGTCTTGGTTCCCAGAATAGAGTCCCCCGTCTGAGGCCTCATGTCTTTGCTCCTAGATGTAGTACTTTACATTTGACTGCATTAAAATGCATATTGTTTACCCTCATCCAGTTTGCCAAGTGTTATAAAATCACAGACGATTAGGGTTGGAAGAGATCTCAGGAGGTCATCTAGTCCAACTCCTTGCTCAAAGCCGGACCAACCCCAACTAAATCATCCCAGCCAGGGCTTAGTCAAGCCGGGCCAGTGATCCAGATTATACTGTACCAGTGCCTCTTCATTATTTACTACCCCCAATCTTTGTGTCATCTGCAAACTTTATCAGTAAGGATTTTGTTTTCTTCCAGGTCACTGATCAGTTTCTAATATGTGTGAAAGTTGCATCCAGTCCTCCTCCCAATTAAATCAGTTTCTCATTGTATTCCGTGAGAGCAAGAAATGTGCTTTTCTCTTTCTATTCTTTTCTCTCTCATGAAAAAGCATCATTTGTGAGTTTTGATTGGATATGTTAATATTGTAATTACAGTAGTAATTATAGTAGTAGTAATTACTACTAGTTATAAACAGATAGCTGTGGTTCATATTTCCCTGGTATGCATAGTTAAAATCTGTTTGAACAGGATGTTTTCTAAACTAAGAACTTGAACAGACTGAAAACACTGTGAGGAGGACACTTATGTCACTCATTTTGCACCAACTGTAGGTGAGAAAATGTCAAAGGAGTGAAGTGTCCAGGCATATCTGATCCGATAACTTCGTGTTGTTTCAGTACTTGTTGTTTCTGGCGGTAGTACCTGGATGGCCCTTTTCTGTGTCTGGCCTATGGCCTCAGAAAGCTCATTTCCTTTTTCCTTTCGTGTCAGACTACAGCTAAAGAAACTTTTCTTACTTTTGTGGCTTGAGGGTGTACTGGGTGATACAAAGCTGTGTTTTCTTTGATACTGAAGTGTCGTCATAGTCTTGTAGAGCCAGAGGGAATATGGATTTTAGTTATCACACAAGGTGCCTTAAAATATGAGTGCAAAAAAGATGGCGGACTACCCTAAACTATTGGAAAAAGGTGGTAGGATCCTTGAAGCTAATAGTTTTCCCCATTGTTTTTCAGGTATGTTCTGGGAGGTGTGTGCTGGGATGTTCTTTTTTTAGGCCATTGTGTTGCTTTTCTGCCCCAATCCCTCTTACATTAATGTATCATAGATAATTATATACATTCCACTAATGCCAGTGTAAGTTAGATTGTGTAACTCAACAGCTAGCTTACATATTGGTATTCTTCAAGTATTACATAGGAACTTCACTACTGTCACATTAGATATATCAGATAATCCGTGTTAAACATCAGTCAGTGTTAGAAATCTACTGTTACGGTTGAATACTCTGGCTCTGAACTCTACATGATGTAGCATTTTATGTCATAGAATATTATTATATTGTGATCTCTAAATATGTAGTGTTAACACAGGTTTGTGATTAATCCACTTTTTCTAAATTCTGTTTTATAGATCCAGTTCAGAGAGAAAGTACTATGGACAGCTATTACACTATTCATTTTCTTAGTGTGCTGTCAGGTATGTACCTGTTTACATGTGCATGCACGCACATAGGCACACACCCCCCCTTTCTGTAAGACATGCAAGAGGATATAATGTTTGTTTTTAATGTTGGAGTAGTGAGGATTCCTTGTATATCTGTACCAGTTCAGTTACTTTGTAATTTTACATTAAACGTTTAAGTAGTTCTGTCAATGAAACTTGCTCTTGTGAAGCATCCTTTGTTAAAATTCATACGGTTTTCCCCCACAAAAATTAACTTCTTGTTACACCCTAATTTTCGGACCTTAGAAGGGCGTTGTGAACTTGAAATCTAGTCTCATTTGAAAAATAAATTAAAAGTAGTTTCAGGTTTCACACCTACCCTTGATTTCCTCTGACAATTTCTTTGATTTTACTATATCATCTTTCCTCTTTATTTAACAATTATATATGTTTCTCTCCTTTGTTACTGTGTGTGAAACACCCATACAAATGGGGGACGCTGATAATAGAGTAAAAAGTGAAACTACGTACAAAGTGCTGCCAAATTCACACAGTAAACAAACTGAAAAATAGATTTGTCTTTTTAATCTTATAACTAAGACGTTAGTTGTAATAGTAAGTTTTTAAAAAAATAGAAGCGTGATTGTTTTAAATTTAGCCATGCTTTTAACAAGATGGCACAGTATATGGGTTGCAAACTCTACAAGGAAATAGTTCTTTAAATACTGTTTCAGTTTAAATATAAAAAATGGAATGGAAATATGGATAGAGATGTTAGTTACTAAAAAGCAAGCGTTTACAAATTTAAGTAGTGTTTGTAAAACACAGGCCAAGAATCATTAAAACCTAAATTTGGAGCCTAAGTTAACCTGAGAACATCTCATTGCATGAAGTTAATATAAATGTCCATTTAAACCTTTTTGTACATGGTTTTGCAGCGCTTTTAAATTGCACTTTAAAACATTGATTCTGAAATTGTAGTGTATAAAATAACCATTCTAGAGCCACTGAGTAATGGGTATATTCAAGTGATCCACAAAATACAGTCTGTAAGTTTTTGAACAGCGAAAGGCTATTTAGAGGCCAAAGGAAGTCTTCTTTTAAAATTGGCTTGTTTTCTTTTGGGGAGCCATTAAAATGTTTGTCTGAGATGGAAGAACATACTATTTCAGCACTGTGTAGCTGCTAAATGTATATTAAATGTAGACTTTGAATAGTGGAAGCTTTACAAGGATTACAATGGTAAAATAGGGAAGAAACAAGTATAGACTGATTTTCAGTAAGTAGTTTAGTTTAGAAGAATGTAGATTTCAGTCTGACAAAATTCCTGGGACACATTTTTTCCATAATTGAGGTAGGTTCCAAAAGAGCTAATACCTCATCAATAGGGCCCTACCAAATTCACAGTCCATTTTGGTCAATTTCATGGTCTTAAAATTTTAAAAATCATAAATGTCATGATTTTAGATATTAAATCTGAAATTTCATGGTGTTGTGACTGTAGGGGTCCTGAGTCAAAAAGGGACTGTGAAGGGTTGCAAGGTTATTATAAAGGGGTTGTGGTGTTGCCACCCTTCTGCACTGCTGCTGGCAGCAGTCCTGCCTTCAGAGCTGGGTGGTTGGAGAGCAGCAGCTGCTGGCCAGGAGCCTAGCTCTGAAGACAGCGCTGCTGCTGTCATCACAGCAGCACAAAAGTAAGGGTGGCAGGGCGTGGCCTTCAGAGCTGGGCACCTGGCCAGCAGCTTCTGTTCTCCGGCCACCCAGCTCTGAAGGTAGCGCAGAAGTACTGCGACCCCCCTACAATAACCTTGAGACCCCTCCGCATGATCCCCTTTTGGGTTGGGGTCCCCAGTTTCAGAAACACTATTCTCCCCCATAAAATCTGTATAGTATAGGGTAAAAGTAGACGAAAAACCAGATTTCACAGCAGAGACCAGATTTCAGTCCGTAACGTGTTTTTCACAGTCATGAGTTTGGTAGGGCCCTACTCATGAAGGGTTAACGAACTGCTTCCAAAGAGTAGCATAAGAAGAAAAAGAAAAGATTTTTGAACCAACAAACGAATCAGTAACAGATCATTTTTATCTGTTAAGCTTTAGAAGATTTGATGATGTGTGCAATTCTCCATCATAGAGAATTATGCAAAACTTGTATGTGCAGTGGAACCTCAAAGGTAATGAACGCCAGAGTTACGGACATACTGGTCTGCCGAACACCCTGTGAAACTGGAAGTCCTCAATCAAGCAGCAGTGCAGACCAAAAAAAAAACAACAAATATTGTACTGTGTCAGGGCTTCAGCCACTGGGGGACTGGGCTGCAGCCCAGAGGTGGGAGGTGTCAGGGCTCTGGCGGGGGTGGTGCTCGTGGCTTCTGACCCTCTTGAGCACCTGGACTCAGGGCTTTAGACTAGGGGGGTAGCGCTGGGGCTTAAGGCTTCAGCCCTGCGGGGGCTGCTGGGACTCAGGGCTTCAATTATGAGGGGAACGCCGGTTTCAGCCTCAGTGCTCTCCCTGTAGCTAAAGCCCCGAATCCCCTTCTGTCCCCCACAGCTGAAATCAGGAACAGAGCTGCGGGGCTGAAGCCCAGATCCCAGCATCCCCTTCGGGGTTGAAGCCAGAACAGAGTCATGGGGCTGAAGCCCCAGCGCTCCACCCAGGTCTAAAGCCCTGAGCCCTCAGCCAGGAGCCCTGGTGGCCCGTAGGGTCAGAAGCACCAACTTCCTTCTCCCAGCACTGAATCCTGGCTGTCCCCCTCCCATTCCCCCCAGCGCTGTGGCTGCAGTCCCAACTCCCCCGCTGAAGTCCATAACGTCTTGTTCAGAGTTACAGACCATTTCAGAGTTATGGGCAATCTCCATTCCCAAGGTATCCGTAACTCTGAGGTTCTACTGTAGTCAAAACTTAAAACTGTTTCCTAGTATCTGTAGGGACCAAATTATATATGCAGAAATCCTGCATCATATGGTATCAAGACTGAGAGGACAAGTAACAGTACATGGTGAAGGTGTATAAGCCAAAGGAGGCCCCGGTACAGTCTGGAAAGTAAGTGGAGTTAAGACGGAATAATCATTGTTCATGATGTTTTTAGAATAAGATAATCTGAACCAATAAAAAACAGTTCCAGGTAAAGTAGAACAAAATTCTAATCTACATCAAGAGTTCCTGGCCTGTACTGTTAAAACAGCAGCAAGAGAGTATGCCTTCTCTCAAACAGGATGACTGGGCAACAAAATGGCAGATGAAATTCAGTGTTGATAAATGCAAAGTAATGCACATTGAAAAATATCATCCCAGCGATACATACAGAAATGATGGGTTCTAAATTAGCTGTTACCTCTCAAGAGATCTTGGAGACATTGTGGATAGTTTTCTGAAAACATCCACTCAATGTGGAGCGGCAGTCAAAAAAGCAAACAGAATGTTGGGAATCATTAAGAAAGGGATAGATAATAAAACAGAAAATATCATATTGGTTCTATATAAATCCATGGTATGCCCACATCTTGAATACTGTGTGCAGATGTGGTCGTTCCATCTCAAAAAAGATATATTGGAATTGGAAAAGGTTCAGAAAAGGGCAAGAAATATGATTAGGGGTATGGAACGGCTGCCATGTGAGGAGAGATTAATAAGACTGGGACTTTTCATCTTGGAAAAGAGACAACTAAGGGGGGATATGATTGAGGTCTGTAAAATCATGACTGATGTGGAGAAAGTAAATAAGGAAGTGTTATTTACTCCTTCTCATAACACAAGAACTAGGAGTCACCAAATGAAATTAATAGGCAGCAGGTTTAAAACAAACAAAAGGAAGTATTTTTTCACACAACGCACAGTCAACCTGTGGAACGCCTTGCCAGAGGATGTTGTGAAGGTCAAGAGTATAACAGGGTTCAAAAAAGAACTAGATAAATTCATGGAGGATAGGTCCATCAATGTCCATTTGTCAGGATGGGCAGGGATGGTGTACCTAGGCTCTGTTTGCCAGAAGCTGGGAATGGGTATCAAAGGAATGGATCACTTGATGATTACCTGTTCTGTTCATTTCCCTTGGGGTACCAGACATTGGCCATTGTTAGAAGACAGGATACTGGACTAGATGGAACTTTGGTCTGACCCAGTATGGCAGTTCTTTTGTTCTTCTGATCTGTTTGATATATGGTATCAAAACTCGAAAGGTGAAGTTAATTACCATGCTGGCTTTTATTGACTTAAATTTGTGGTTGTTTCCATTCATGGTACTTTTCAGAGTTAAATGATTTTAAATATTTCATTTCTGTGGTTGGGGAATTAATCATTGGTGAAAATATTTGTATTAAGTTTTCTGCTATGTCTCTTAACTGTAAAGAAACACAATATTAGGACCCAAAGGTAAAATTAAGTTAGCAACTGAATGCTTTCTGTTTTCATTTTCAAATCTGAAAACTTTTTATTTTTATATATTCATCGAAAGCTCAAACACTCTGATGCAAAAATGTCAGTGAAATACAAAACCAATAAAATTTACTATTTTATTGTCTTCCTAACACATGAAGACCAGTATATTTAATTTGTACAGGTTATTAAATATGTCTCTCTCATATTGTGCTTTGGGTTTTCCTCAGAGGATTATATTGCTTGTCGTATAAATTTTATGCTCTGGTTTTAATGTCCGAAACATGAAGAATATTGGAATAAATTATCCTAAGCAATGTATCTATAACCTGAAACCAGTTCAGGATTACTCTTTATAGTATGTATTTGTTTGTACTTTATGCAGTCTAGCTTTACAGAGTAGTCTAGACGTTTAGTACTACACATATCTTTACAGATACCTTTGTTTGGAATCATGTCATCAGACTCTGCAGATCCTTTCTATTGGATGAGAGTAATTCTTGCATCAAACAGAGGTTAGTAAATTAGTCATCTCTTCACTGTTTTTCTCTCTGGTATTCTATTAATTTAAACTAGTATGATTGACAATTGATAGACATTAAACTGATTTTCAAGTATTTGATTTCATGGAGTCTAGGAGTCAGAATTAAGTACTTTGTGAGTGTTTAGGACAGATGTAATACTTTAAATTCATAACACTTTTCAAAAGCCAATACAGGTATCTCCTATTTTGAAAATAGCATAGGAATTTGGCATCATCTGAGGAGCAAATGAAATTCAGCTTGATGCTCTACTTTTGGAAAGAGTATCTCAAATATGTATGGCAGGTAACCTACCATATGAATAAATGATTCCCACTTATTGATAATACTAGTTTACACTTTGAGATGCTTGGAGTAGAAGGTGATTTATAAATACTAGTGAATTAAACCACAAAATACAACTACAAAATAGATGAGCAAATAATTTTACAGGTCTGGAAACTGAAGGTAGAGAGGTTGAGGCTTGCTCGAGATCACAGTGCACCTGTGACAGAGCTGGGATTAGAACTCCTAGCTCTGAGTCCTTCTCTCAGTTGTTCAGATCATGCTGCCTCTATTGCTAATTCTTGTTCTGTTTTGTTGATTTGTATCTGTTCTCAGTCTGCAGCAGTTTAGGTCTTTTTTTTTTTTTTTTTTAAATTAACTTTGCTGATAGTTTTATGTGACAGTATATTAATTCATTGCAAGTGAAAGAAGGGTAATCAAACTTGTCAGGGCTGTCTTTGTTTCTCATTTGCACAGTGCCTGAAGTAATGCTGTCCTGAGCCCCAAGCGATGCCTCTAAATGATACTGCAATGTAAATATTTGGCTTGCATATATATTTTTTTCAGAATATTATCTCCTTTTAATCACTTTATACACACACACGTACACACACACAAAGATAAATTAAAAAGCTGACTTGATATACTGTGTACAGATGTGGTCCCCTCATCTCAAAAAAGATATACTGGCATTAGAAAAGGTTCAGAAAAGGGCAACTAAAATGATTAGGGGTTTGGAACGGGTCCCATATGAGGAGAGATTAAAGAGGCTAGGACTTTTCAGCTTGGAAAAGGAGACTAAGGGGGGATATGACAGAGGTATATAAAATCATGAGTGGTGTGGAGAAAGTGAATAAGGAAAAGTTATTTACTTGTTCCCATAATATAAGAACTAGGGGCCACCAAAAGAAATTAATGGGTAGTAGGTGTAAAACAAATAAAAGGAAGTTCTTCTTCACTCAGCGCACAGTCAACCTGTGGAACTCCTTGCCTGAGGAGGTTGTGAAGGCTAGGACTATAATAGGGTTTAAAAGAGAACTGGATAAATTCATGGAGGTTAAGTCCATTAATGGCTATTAACCAGAATGGGTAAGGAATGGTGTCCCTAGCCTCTGTTTGTCAGAGGGTGGAGATGGATGGCAGGAGAGAGATCACTAGATCATTACCTGTTAGGTTCACTCCCTCTGGGGCACCTGGCATTGGCCACTGTCGGTAGACAGGATACTGGGCTGGATAGACCTTTAGTTTGACCCAGTATGGCCATTCTTATGTTCTTATGATATGGCCTATTTGAATCAAAATTGTAAATGTTTTTGTTCTTCCTCATAGTTAAGATTTTGACTATGAAAACAATATAAAATGTTGAACTGGCCACATACTAATTTTGGCTCTTTGAAACATTGAGCATTTGGACCAAACAGTTAAACTGGCAACATGCTCGGAAAGAAGAGACTTTCCTATGATTCGCTGAAGGATGGATAAACCTTCAAAAAGTCAAAATTTATAATGCTGGCTTAGAACCAAATGTGTAATAGCTTTGGGAGATTTTATTGAATTATTTTTTTAATAGCTTTGGAATCTACTGTATTATAAATGCAGTACACCCTGGGAAGTGTTATGAGCTTCAAAGGACTATTTCACACAAAGTGCCAGAGAAGAATGAATTTTTGGGACAACGCAGTTAAAAAGGGGTTTTCCAGGAAATCTCTGTATGCCCCTGCTGGTTATGTAAGAACTCATCCTTTTGAAGCTTCCCCCTGAGGAGAGGTGACCGGCAGACATGAGGACGCTATCAAAGGCCCAAACTGTATAAAGGAAAGGATGAATGAGCTAACAGCTGTTATGATCTTGTAACCCCAGAAAAACCCTGTGGTGGGATTTGAAGGACTGATCACCTGCCAGACCCCTTGTTGGAGTTGGGACGATCTCTAGTAAACTTATTAGCATGTGTTTAGGTCCTTTTATTGTTTTTCATGTTTTTTCTTTTCTGTAATGCTTTCACCTTAAGTATAAATGTGCTCACTTAGAAAGGGCTGTGTGGTAACTTCTAAGTGCGTGCAATTATGCTGGGTATAGCCTCGGAGGAGAAAGCAAAGCAGGCCAGCTCATGCAGTCTGACTTTCTGGGTAACTCACGTTGTAAGCAGGGAACTGTGCAGTCTGGAAAAACCCCAGTCAGGATGGGGAGAGACATGGGTCTCTACCCAAGAGAGCTGACAGCTAGAGAGCCAGAAGGCTAAAAGTAGTTTCAGGAGAAGTAGCCCTGAATTATTACAGACTACACTGCAGATATCTATGTCTTAGGAGGTATTGTTTCAATTGGTAGCATTTTACCCTCAGAGCTGATACTGAACCAATATCCTAGCAGAGAGCTCGGAGGCATGGTGCTAGTAGATGATACAAAAATCAGAACATTTTAATAGCCACATGACTTGTTTCTTAAAAGTGTTAATTTAATCCTGCTGTCCTCATCAGATTCTAATGTGGGTAATTATATTCTGCCTTCCTAAACGCCGCCTGCACCTTCAGTTGGAAATTCAGTGGTTCTCTGATTGGTGAGTGATAAATCACAGTGGCCTTCTGAGACATTTCTGATGGTCCACAAAATGGACCAAGAAGTTGAGAGATACGGCTGACATGAGAGGAGAATTCAGGGGAAGACTTTCCCTAGTGAAGTGTTGAGTATTGTGAAATCCTGGAGAACTCACTACTTACCCTGTTCAGCCTCTGTACACATCAGCTTTGGATTGTAGGGTAGTTTCACAAAAATGTTTGAAGTGAAAGGCTACACATATTTCTCCCACATTGCCTTCAAAACTTCAGATTGTGACACAGCATTCTTCGTTTTTGAGGAGATAGCGATTTTTTTCTTTGAGAGTTGTTTGAAACATCACTAGACTGGAAAGTGTTTGACTGAAAGGATATGAAGAATAGTTGTTTATTTTTTATTGCAGGTCAGAACCTTTCTAAAGGCCCGATCCTTAGAGGTGCAGGGGTTTGGGATGTGGTTTAATAATTTTTCTTCCTCTTCAGGGACTTTGATGGAGTTGGGTATCTCGCCCATTGTGACATCTGGTTTGATCATGCAGCTGTTAGCTGGTGCCAAGATCATTGAAGTTGGTGATACACCAAAAGACAGAGCTCTTTTCAATGGAGCCCAGAAATGTGAGCATTATTCTGGTTAAAATTACTAAACATTTCTATTCTTGGCAAACCAAAGTGTATAACTAAAATGCTAGATACAAGGCATCCTTAGTATACTAACTCAGCAACTGCCTATAAATGAGCATTGCTTGCTTTTTGTTTCAGTGTTCGGGATGATAATTACCATTGGGCAGGCCATTGTGTACGTCATGACTGGGATGTATGGAGATCCTGCTGAAATGGGTGCTGGAATTTGTCTCCTTATCATAATTCAGGTACAAAATTAATTCTTCTATGAATAAATACTTCTGTGACATTCAGATATAGTATAGATGGATTGAAAATCCTGACCCTTCTCCTACTTCCCCTAACAAACCATTGTCTGTCTTCTCTTTTCTTAAGTGTTCTTAACATTGTAAACAGCACATCCTAAATGTATGTAATGCATATATGTGAAAGGCATAAAATCTCCCAGAAGGACAAACATACATGCAGTGGTTAAATATGTTCAAGATGTCCCAGATAAGTGCGTCGTGTTTGATCCCATTTGTCAAAGCTGTTAAGTATTAAAACAGGAGTAGGTGGCTTTGAAAACAGTGGACACTGGGTTTAGGAAATTTCTGATTAAAGGGTGCAAATAGATCCTAATGAAATCTTATCAAAGCAGTCCATGCACAATGAAAGAAACCAACACATCACTTCTGTGTAGAAAACATTTTTATTAAACAATGTGACTATTATTGTCAATACTGAAAAGTTATGTAAATATAGCAAGAAGACTCCTGCTCTTAAATTCCTGACCTTCTGACTTTGAATCTGTGTTGGGGGGTTAGAAGGGAACAGGACATCTAGATTTAATATTGAATACTCCCACATAATAATGAAAACATGATCAGTAATATTTTTAATACTTAAATTCTTGACTGATTTATTCTTGTTTCTGCTTACTCGCATTTCTTTCCCCACAGTTGTTTGTTGCTGGTTTGATTGTGCTGCTGTTAGATGAGCTGCTGCAGAAGGGTTACGGCTTGGGGTCTGGTATTTCCCTCTTTATTGCTACCAACATCTGTGAAACCATTGTCTGGAAGGCCTTTAGTCCCACTACCATTAACACTGGCAGAGGTACATTGCACAGATAACCATAACCGCACCAGTTTCACTTGATGCGTGCTAGAAATTAACTTTATTGTACTACTGAGTAGCAGTTGACTATGGAACTGTTGGTTTAGTGAGGTGCTGATTAGCTTTCAACAGTTGTTGTCCAAAAATGGAGACTAAACACTGTCAGATCCATAAGAGTAACTTTATCAAGAATAACAATCCAAAGGTTCGCTTCTGTGGCTTTAAATTCTAGTGGTTGCAGTGCAGACATTTTTTTTTTTTTTCCTCATCACCCTAATCCTTCCTTGACCTCAGGAATCTGGATTTCCTAGTCTGAATCCTGTGTTTTACTTTTAGCACACTGTGGTGCCCAGACATAGAAAGGTAGTGGATTTAGTATTTTCAAAGGAGATGTTTGTGGTACAGTTACTGTTTGTGAATAAGACATTCCTGTATTTAGTGTCTCCTCATAACACTCTGAAATACGTGTGACAGTTTGGAGAATGGGAATCCCACCTTCAGTTCTCTATCATGTCCTCAGTGTCCATGGCTGCACTGAGACCAGCCTTGGCCAAAGAGAAATGCTGCTTCTATCTATGCTGAGAGGTTATCAGATAGTTTATGTGTAAACTCCAAATTCTAAACCAGATTTTACCTTGATTGATTGCATCTCCAGTTTCTGGCATTTTTATTTACTGTGCTTGCTTGCTGCTCCTTTCTACCACTCCTTTTCTCTTCTTCCCCAACTTCTCCTCACTCCATTAAAAAAAGAATTGTTTTTGTCACATGGTTGAGAACTATAGGTTTTATCACAAAGGACAGTGTCCTGAATGTCCTTGTATTCTGCAGGCTGGAAGGGAATCTTACATTCTGACATACATGTTCTAATAGGACTACAGTACAACATATCTCATAACGTGTATACAGCACTTTTGCAAATATAAATTAATACCAGACCTTCTTAATTAGAAATTCACACTAATTTTTTACTTTAAAATTCAAAAAGAAAGATGGAGTGGTTTACTCTGTTTTGCTTTATATAGGAACAGAGTTTGAAGGTGCAGTGATTGCATTATTCCATCTTCTGGCTACACGAACTGACAAAGTCCGTGCTTTGCGGGAGGCTTTCTACAGACAAAACTTGCCCAATCTCATGAATCTGATTGCTACCGTCTTTGTGTTTGCTGTGGTCATATATTTTCAGGTAAATTAAAAGTGCAATCTACAGCTATAGGGCAATTACTTAATTACAAAAGGAAGAAGGATCCAGACTCTTAATTTATTAGTCTTGTACTGAAAGAACTAATTACAAAAGTTAAAATGGAACAACTAAAGTATTTGTCTTATAATTTCAGGGAGTAACAAAGTAAGAATTTTTTTTCTAATATTGTCATTTCACTAACAGACATTTGACATTACAGCTATTTAATTTTATACCCAAAACCACCTGTGGTTGATATTCAGATACATTTTTGTTCTGTGTTTGTACAGTGCCTAGCACAGGGGTCTGTGATTGGGGTTCCTAGGAACTATGACAACAATAATAATAAATACTACTACTAATTACATTAGTTACTTGTGAGATCTTTAACATTGCCATTAAATGCCACACACACTAACCTTTCCAGGTGAAGTACTTTCATGTTCTGGAAATGAAAAATAATTTTATTGCGAGTCTTAGTGGTTCTACAGTGTAGATAATACACTTAATACAGCACGGTTTGTTTTCGTGGTCAGCTCTTGAAAGAATATAGTCAGTCTCAGCCAGAGAGCCATACTTCTCTGTGACATGACTGGTTCAGTTGTTCGAGAATCTTGGAACTGGTGCATAGCTTTTGTCCTGTAAGTTTTCTCTAAATGTCCAGCTATGCAATATGCCTTTTTATGTAAATGTTTGATCATATTTAAAAATTGGACACTTATGATTGGTTTCTGTGAGAGATCAGTTTCAAAAGAATGCCCCCATGTGGAATAAGTGTCATCCAAGTTGTAAGGACTGAAATCTCTGGCTCCTAAACCATATGTGACTCTTAACATGCCTGTTCAGTCTAGGAGATTAGCTATAACCAGAAAACAGCAGAATGCTCTGCTTGCAACTGTCTTCAGAGGTTGGTTAGGCTTCTGCATTAAAAGCTGGTAAGTTTTGTTGTGTTTTTTTTCCCAAACCCTAGATACAAAATGAGTGCATTTTAAAAGGGTGCTGTTGGGTTTAGAGTGGGAAAGGGTTGTGTACAAGAGGTTTTATGGAACTCAGCAATAAGACATTCTAAATATCCTTAAGGTTTTATTTAAATCAGACTTAAACATTATATTTGCAGTTATCACTTAGAGACATTCCTAGGTTCAGAGCCCCATGTACTAGCTCTTGTTCAAACAATCTCTGTCTGATCCAAAGAATTTATAATCCAATTCCCCTCAGGACAAAAATTGTAGCATTGTGTGAACAAGTGAAAATCAGAACGTGAAACTCATCCATTTTTTTAACATTCCAAGTCAAGCAAAATGGCATAAATGATAGCTAATTTAAGGTGTTACTAACAGGTAAAAAAAGTTCTTAAGTGATTTTTAACCTGTAGTCTGTTTAGGTGAATGAAAATTCTAGGAGAAATGGCATACAAATTGGACAGCCATGTTACAGTCAATCATACGACTTAAATGCATAAAGATGACAGTGTAAATATTTGGCTCAATCCAAGGAAGATTCCAGAGTGCTGTTCTGTTTGTTATTATGGGAAAACAAACAAGCTATTCCAAAGGCTGTTTATTTCAGTCCTTGCATTCTAGGTTATCTAGTGAATACCGTATCTCATTAAGAGTGCTGTTGTGACATGCCTTTGGGTTTAGAAATAAACTTAACACTTCCTTAATTCTCTCTTAGGGGTTTCGTGTTGATTTACCTATCAAGTCTGCCCGATACCGTGGACAGTACAGTAGCTATCCCATCAAGCTCTTCTATACCTCCAACATTCCCATCATTCTTCAGTCTGCCTTAGTTTCAAACCTCTATGTTATTTCCCAGATGTTGTCTGTTCGGTTTAGTGGCAACTTCTTAGTAAACTTACTAGGACAGTGGGCAGTAAGTATCTATCACTTATAAAATAACTTGGATAAGTATTTTGGTATTTAACAAGTGGGAAGTTTAACTACTAGTTTTCTTTCAAGTTCATGCATCTACAGTCTTAATTAAAGGAATCTGAAACCTCCATAAAGAGGGTAAGGAGGAGAGTCCCAGAGATAATGAGTTGCCTTTTCTTCCTCCCATGTAGGATGTCAGTGGTGGTGGCCCTGCTCGCTCTTACCCAGTTGGTGGTCTCTGCTATTACCTATCTCCCCCAGAATCCATGGGTGCTATATTTGAGGATCCTGTCCATGTAATTGTTTATATCATTTTTATGTTGGGATCCTGTGCGTTCTTCTCCAAGACATGGATTGAGGTGTCTGGTTCATCAGCAAAAGATGTAGGTGTTCTGATAACTGCTCTAAAATACTGTGTTTTAAAATCTTGTCTCTAATTTAGATAACTAGCTTCTAACAGATCACAGCTATTATTCTGTATGACTATCAGCTGGTTATAAAACACTGCAGAAGTCTGATAGAAATGTGTGTCTGCAGGTTGCTAAGCAACTGAAAGAACAGCAAATGGTGATGAGAGGCCACAGGGATACATCGATGGTTCATGAGCTTAATAGGTAAGGAAATGCTGGCTCTCTGCAGCAGTTCGCCGCAGTACTATGTACCTTTAATACATTGGGTCAACCAAAGGTGGGGTCACCTGCAGAGCCACTAAGATTTGTGCCCAGTGCAAGATGCAGATGCAGCTTACTTTTTCACTCTCCTCACATGTTCCATACTATGCTGTCATGTCAGTTGGGGAAGGCAGACAGGAGGGACAAAGTGTTCATGGAAGAGTTGCGAAAAAATAGATGAAGGGAGGCTTCCTGTTTAAACAGGAGAATGGGGGAATTTGGGATGAGGCCATGGGTGGCTTTATTAAAGGGGAGACAACCTGATTTCCCAGCTTATCACTCAAATGATCACTACAGAGCTCTGACATCATGAAGCAGCTCTTCCTCCACAATATGTGGCACTGGAGCCCAAGCAAAACACATTATGCCTTGTCCCTGAGGTGGGGGTGAGGGGCTCCCTCCATTGTCCATTGGCAACATTGTCTGATGGGCTCCTGTGTTTTAAAAATCATGGATTGGAGTCAGCAACTTGCATTACAGTTAGTTAGGTTGTGGAATGTTTTCTAGAAAGGTACTAGTGTTGAAAGCTAACTGGAAAGCTAACTATTCTGACTAACTGGAAAGATCATTAGTCTCTTCCATGCTTTACCTGTGGTTTGTGTAGTTATTAAATACTCAAATGTGTGGAAGCATATTTGAAAACTACATTAGATAAAAGGGCTGGATAATGCTCAGTGGTGCTGCTATTGTTGTAAAGACCATTAATGTGTTGGAAATAGAAGTGGAAGGCATTTCGTTAATCACATTATACAATGTTCATGTATGCTTTGTAAACCTTTGTTATACCCCAGCCTTGTTTTTCCTGTGATGGGGTCTGCTGCAGCACAATCAGTGTGTGTCTGCTGGCAGGTACTTGATTGGAGGGAATTGGCGGCTAATTACTTAGAATGATTGTGCCCTCTTGCTGATGACGCTCATTGTAATCTTGCCTCTTCCCCCTCTTTCATAGTGAGATCTGGTGCAAAAGAAACAAAATGTTCTTGTTCGCTAATAGTTAAGAAGTGACTCTTTGCCGTATGAGTGAGTTTTTGCTCTTTCGAAGATCACACATTAAAATGACTCAAATTAACTATGTTTCCTTAAAATGTAGAGAAAAACTTTACCCTCAGGTGTGGACTTTACACTTGTATTGAAGGGAAGAATTTGCCCCAAAATAAATAGCGTGCTTAGCTACTGAAAAGCAGCAGTCTTCGGTCTCTTTAGCTTCCCAGCAGTTACTTAGCATGTACGTAGCATGCTATGTGGTCCAACCACTTTACAAACGCTAATCCTCACCACAGTGCTGTCAGGTAGACAAATATGTTTTGTTTAACTTTGTATAGTTGGAGAAACTGCCGCAGATAGGTGATGACTTACCAAAAGCAGTAGTCACTGGCAGAGTCGGGATGGAACTCTGAATTCCTAATGCCTGAATCCACTCATTCCTGTTGCTACTTCAGTTGGTCACGCACAGTGTGACCAACAACAAGGCAAACAAGACCCTTGGATGGAAAACATTAATTATGAAAACTTTCTGTTTCAGGTACATCCCTACAGCAGCTGCATTTGGTGGCTTGTGTATTGGTGCCCTCTCAGTATTAGCAGACTTTCTTGGAGCCATTGGATCAGGCACTGGCATCCTGCTTGCAGTCACCATTATTTATCAGTATTTTGAAATATTTGTAAAAGAACAGGCTGAAGTTGGAGGAGTGGGTGCTTTATTTTTCTAAATGTCCAAATATTTCACGATTTGCTTGAAAGGGAAAGTATTTTGACAACATGCCTCACATCAGTCCAATAATGCTGTCGTCTTTTTCTTTGTTTTCAAGTGCTAAGTCCCATTATCGTAATGGGCACTGAGCAATGCCTGTGTGCAGCATCAGTACCAGCTGCCTTAAGAATAAAGTTTACATTATCTTGTTTAAATAGATCTAGTGTTGCCTGTAATGCTGGAAATAAATGCATCTACTTTGCTATTCAGACACTACAGTGAGATGGTAAAATGTAAGAGTTTGATTATTAGTAAACATTTTGCACACAGCGTGAAGATCTTAAATTGATTTCCCCATTTTTAGTCAGAAAAAAATACCAGAGTGTAGATTGCCACATGCCAATATTCTTGAGCTTATTCAATAAGTTCTTGACAGAATTTGTATGTAATCTATATTTTACATGAATTACTTTTTATACTTTTTTACGTGCATTTCCCCATGGTTGTGCTTCAGTATTCCCTCTTCATTTGTATTGTCTCCACTTGGTCACCAAACTCCTCGTCATGAGGGTGGACAAATGTTTTACCTGAGATTGCTACTCCTCTCACCGGTGAATTGGTTCTGCTGTGGGGGATGCTGTATGTGCAAGGCCCATAGAGCACTTCCATTCTCAGCCCTGGGCTTCCCGCATGGTAGGTGCAGTCATGCCACCAGGTTGGCCTATACCTTTTGTATTTAACATGTACTTGTGAAAACTGCCACTGAAACTTCATGTCCACTTTGCTTTTGTGATTCTGAAGGACAGAGGCCTGCTTCCTAAAGCATTGTTCGGAGTGGGGAGATGGGGGAAATAAGCAATTCCTGTTGAAAAATTATTTATGTTGTCGTACTTTACAACAGCAATGTAACTAGTATAAACATTAGACAATAAACTTATTTAATTAAATTCTGTTCTTGTCTTATCTAAGCAAGTTTTTTCTCTTGTAAAAAAAACAAACAAACCAACCTGTTTGCTTAAATAACGTTATCATGGTGAAATTACTTCGTTTTAAATGAACAAACATTTGTTCACAGTAGTTTGAGTCCTAATTAAGCTGAGATTTAAAATACCTAATCATCCTTGATGGTTTTTCAAAGTTAAAGATCTGTTAGAGTAGTTTGCATTGTGTTAAATACATGCTAAGGTCTGGTCTATACTAAAGTTGTCAGCTACATCATTCAGGGGTGTGAAAAATCCATACCCCAAAGCAACATAGGTAAGCCAGCCTAACTTGCAGTGTAGACAGTGGTATGTCAATGGAAGAATTCTTCCGTCAACCTAGCTAATAGCTCTTGGGGAGGTAGATTACCTACACTGATGGGAGAATCCTTCCCTTCAGCATAGGTAGTGTCTACACTGAAGCACTACATTACAGCAGCACTGCTAAAACTGCATCGGTGTTTCAAGTGTAGACAACTCTTAAATCTTGGATCCTAACTTTGTTAATTTGATTTCCTAAGTTAATCAGCTTACTTTTTAAACCACTGAGGTGGTTTTTCCCCTCACTGAGGCTGAAGACCCATGAAATCTTGCATGCTAAGCAACCACAGGATTTACAGAGTAGCAGTTTGGAATAGGGTCAATCCAGTGCAGTTACCACTATGAAAAATGCCATGTAATCTCCAGTGACCAGAAGAGATCAAGCCCTTTGTTTTTACATCTTCCTCAAAGACACCAGCCAGAGTTTGAGTGACTAGTGATTTTTGGGTACCCAACATGACACCTTTAAGGGGCTGACAGTTTTGAAAACTTTGGCTGATATCTTCAAGGAAGATATAAAAACCAAAAGGCTTGATTTGTTCTTGTCCCAGGCGATCACATGGCATTTTGCATAATATTGTTAATGCCACTGGTCTGACCCCATTTCAAAGTGTATATACTTAGCACAGCCAAGGCTTAAAGCTTTGTGGTTTATTCTGTCCAGCTATGTTTAGTGTAGGTCAGTTTGGTAAGTACCGCCCCTTACCTTAATCCAAGGGTGTTATACCAGAGAAGCAGCTCCACTTTAATGGTGGATTAAGCGACTCCTGTGTATAGTTTCAGCATAATTGTAAAGTGCTCAACCATAAAAAATACTTTAAGAGGAAGGAGCAAGGAAAAGATGTGATCTCTTAACAGGCCATGATTCTTTTTATTCTTCTGCAAAGGATAAAATTCCATTCAGAGTTAGAGGTTGAACAGTTAGAGAAAAGCTTTATACAGTACAAATAGTTCAAGCAATCTTTCCTAGAAATATGATTGCTTAATACTGTGTGTAGTCTACAGGACCTTTATTGTATGAAAAGATACAGCTTCCAAGTCTATATTGACCATTTGACTCCATCCTGGAAGTATTCAACGAGGTTACATATGCAGCCTTAGAACTTCATAAAAGGCACCTGGAGGGGTTTTTGTGTTGCATGTTTCAGTGCCATTGCATAGGCATAAACTCTGGCATCCACTAAAATATGCTCTTCTGCCACTAGCTCTGAAAAACACCCAAACCAACCAATAATATGAATTTCCAAACAGAAAGGCATGGGCAGGACAGACATAACAAGGGCAGATGCAAATTCATATTCATACGGTTAGCAAGAAATTAAAAACAAACTTCAGAAGACTTCAAGACAGAGGCTGACAAGTACCATGGATGTGTGAAGTATCAGAACAAATCCAGGCCACAGTTAAAATTTTTGGAGGCTTTGCCATATTTCCTTTAACACATTAGTCCTTTAAAGTCTTGTGACATGTTAGTCCTCTGGAGCATTATTACTAACTAATTTAGTGGTAGTATATTTTTAAAAAAAGCATATGAACTGACTTGAAGCACAAAGGATAAGCTTCAGAGTGGAAATGGGTAGCTACTCTGATGTAGGAAGCTATCTGGAACAGGCACTGCATTGGTAATTGCATCTAACAAAGACTGCAGCTGGCTAGACTGTGCTAATGAACATTCCTTTTTGGAAGACAAACAACATTTTGAAGGTTCACCTGATACATGGCATGTTATATGCAAGTTTTCCAGATTACAGAAGTAAGAAGGTAGATGGTTTTGGTTTTAAAAATTGTTATAAATCTCCCAGGCTGAGAGATCCCCAGAGAAACTGGAATACAAGGACTAAGAAGTGGGTTGATTTACAGTAAGTGTGAAGAAGCTAAAAAATTTTCAAAGGTTTTATTAACTGGCTTAATGTACCAGAGAAAATAAGTGCTCTTACCTTCAATTCTCTGCAGTAGATCATTCTTTGGTAGTGAAACAACTTCCACAAATTCTATTAAAAAAAATTAAATTTGTGTATTTCACACAGATTGTCTTTAATCTGTCAAGTTATATCTGATAGTTGAGTTAACATTGAGAGAAGTATATTTCATTCCCTTCTCTTTAAACTCAGATGGAAAGCAGACAAGGAACTGGATTCAGGTTCACCTTCAGCCAGAGACCAGTATCACCCAGGCACACTACCATGCTCAGCTGACTAAGACACAGGCAAGATCAAAGGCATCTTTGACATGCAGTTTTGAGGCAGTAATTTGGGAAATAACTACAGAACTAGCTAGGAGAATGGTGACCTATTAGGGACAGGAACCACTGTCCTGTAAGGACAGTCACTATTCCCCTTCCCCCTATTAGATCCATCTGATCAGATATTTCACTGTTGAAATGTTAATGTAACCTGGGCCTGCATACTTGGTATGGTAAGAGAGACCACAAACCTTTAACTTCACAGAGTGGAGGAAGAATGACAAGACATCTGAGAACTGAGGGCTCATCTTGACATGTTGCCTGTCACACAAGTTGGGCAGAAATGATTGAGGAATGCAAGGTATTGCTTATTTGCCTGTAACTACCCAAGCAGTTCCCCCTATCTGGATTAACAATTGCAGAATTTCAGTCTAGGTCCAGATCCACAGGCTTCAATACAGCTACAGCAATTTACATCAGCTGAGGAACTGATCCTAGATAGGTCATGGAGACCATTTCAACTGAAATTTCCCCTCCTTAAAGCTGACTGTGGTACAATTGTTTGGGAATTTCAAGTCTGATCTAAAGAGCGCTGAAGTCAGTGGAGCCCATACAGTGTGTCACCATCAGGACTGTGATCCTAACGATGTTGAGAAAATATCTCCTGACCACAGAGAAGAGCAGAGTGCAGGGTGACATGCACATTCAGAGTGACATCCGGTAAAGCTGAAGCCACAGTGAAGTTAAGTGAGCAACGTACCTCCTTCCTCTGTAAAGACAAGAAGAAAGAAAAGTGTTAACACAAAGAAAACTAAGTCTGGACACACATGGGAGCTTAGGGCCGGCTCCTGCTCTAACACCCATGAATGTCAGTGACAACCTTTCCATTGACTTTAGTGGGAGGTGGATGAAGCCCTAAAAGCTCAGACAGAAGTTAGAGAGTCAGTGAACCCAAGTGAAGTTATTAGAATCCTGTATTGCTGAGCCCTTCAACAGTTTCCGAGCATATTTAGAGAGGACGGTCCCTCCAATGAGACAGCTAAAAATTAAATATTGTACATGCCCTGGACTCACCAGGCTTTTGCATGGGTCTTGTATTACAAGCATCATCTCCATTAATGGTGACGGTCACGATGTGCGTTGTGCAGTTTGTCAAACCAGGGTCCAAGCAAACAGCTACAAAGTAAAGGATGTTCATTATGAGAAAGAAGAGCCGAGACTACTGGACATTTTAACACCACAACTTTCACTCAGAGCTAGTTGATGCATTAAGACAAAACTTATTCAGCAGGCAACTTCACCAGCATGCATCACAAAGCCAGGCAAAAAGTCAGGGTTAGTTATTTGTTTGTACAAGGCGAGCTGGGCAAAATGTTTTGGACAACGTTTATTTGCCACAAAATGCAGTTTTGGTCAACCCAAAACTATTTGTGAGATTCATCCACAGTTTTGGCCATTCACAAAACGGCCAGAGGAGGAGGAGAAGGAGATAGTGGTTGTGCTGCTGTATCTTGTTAGTCCCATGGTTGAGGCATGCACTTGAAGTACAAGACCTAGGTTCAAATCCCTGCTCTGGACAGACCCAAAATGAATTTTTTCAGTTCACTGAAAATGCCAAAAACTATTCAGATGCGCTTCAATCTGAACTGATTTTTCCCCACCTCAGAACTGCCACTGAACCAAAAAATTAGTTATTCACTCAGCTCTACTTACAAGTGCTTCTTCCCACACAGATTCTTCTTCATTTTTGTATTAGCTCCTACTGATTACTTCTACTGCAGTGACAAACATTCTCCTCATTCACTGTACCTCAAAGGTTAAACTGCAGGCTCCTAGTCAAACTATGCTAAGAGTCCAATTTTGCCATCAGTTACACACACAACACTCCAGTCTATGGAAATTGTGCAAAAGTAACGGGCGAAGTTCAATCTTAATAGCAACATTCTCAAAGCCATGGTCCAGATTTCCCATTTCTTCCCGAGCATTTCCCCCTTTATAAAGATTTTCCTTAAATCCCAGTTTTGCCTCTGCTCTGTGGCAGGCAGTACAAAATGTTTAAATACAGATGTTGGCTGCAAAGATTTGGGGACTTTGATGTCAGGCAGCACTTCTTTCTTCCCCATTCCTGCTAATCAGCTGTGAGAGAACCCGAGTTCTCCTTCCTTTGCACAGCTGAAATGAGGATGATTTGCACAGAGACTGCATGATGCAACTGCTATTCTTGGGTAGGTTCAAGAGAGCCACTTAAATCTATCGGAGAAGAAGTCAAATCAAGCCCAGGCATCTAAACCTTTTAATTACAAGACGCCAAACCTTTAAGTTACTGAACTTTTTGTATTAAGTACGAAATCTTGGCCCCATGAGCAAAGCATGAGTAAATGGGGATTTTCCTTAAGAGCAGAATCATTCCCCCACATGCCTCAGAGCAACAGTGAAGCTGTTTCTATAGCCTTCTTTATTGGATTTTATCCAGTGGATCCACATCTGTCAGACACACAGACTATGTCTATGGCTCCTTGGTGTTGTCCTGGGGCACTGCCATGTGGTACTGTGGGAGTGCACACTCCCTTGCTGTGCCCTTCCCATCCTGAACAGTGGACCCATCGTAGATCCACTGAATTTAGGGCATTCTGTGACCATGAAGAGGGGCAGGACTGGCTCTGAGTCAGGTAGTCAAGAAACAACAAAGACCTGGAGAACATTCAACGACATCCCCTTTGTACCCCGTTTCTTCCTCCAACTCTCGCAAGGCCGCGCTTTCTGGGCTTTCATTTCCCTCAATGAGACCTGCGGTGTAAACATTACATTAAAAATAGTTAAAATTGAGCTCTTTTACAGCACTGTCCATCCTTAGATCTAAGAGAGCTTTACAATGGAAGGTAAAATATCTTCAGCCCTATTTTACAGATGGGGTAACTGAGGCACTGCGAGGTCAAGAAGATCAGTGTCAGATCCAGGAACAGAACCCAAAACTGCTGCCTCCTATCCACCAAATCATGCTGCCTCCCTCCAAAAGGAATTTCCTCTCTCACAATAAGTATGCCAATGCCAAGCTCACAAAGGTTTTCCCTCTTTTGGAGGTGGAAGATGGGGGAGAGAGAGGAAAAAAACTGGGTTGGACAGATTCTACAAATAAAATCTGACATTATGCTATTTCACATTTTATTACTACTAAATATCCCTCTTTCTCAACAGCCTGTATTCTAGTACAGAAACCACCACTGATCTTGGAATCTGAAAGACACAGCACATTGAAATCTACACACCTCAGCAAGATGGACAGAGTAAACTACACATACATTCTGTGTATTTCATCTTCATATTTTTTTTACCTACCTGCAGGAAATTCCAAGCAATACCCTCCCATTGGAGGCCTGAATTGTTTCACTAGGACAATGCAATCATAGTGGAGAGTTCTTTGTAATACAGGTATAACTGATACACCTGCCAGCATAAAGAAAAGAGCAATGAAAACATAGCATGTAAGTAGTTCAAATATTGACACTTATGTCTTGTGAGCACCCTCAACTTCCACTGACTTTGAAAAATAAAACTGCACTGAAAGGGATAAAGATAACTCATTTGTTGTTCTCTGCTGGATGACCTCATCTCAATTTAAACCCCAATAATCATCAGGAACTCTGAGTCTGAAAGCAACAGCTCCAATCAAGTACCCTAGAGCCTTCCCTCTGCTACAACAATCTTAACAGTCTTTCCACTTTAATTTGGTCCCCACACCCTTGTCCAAACAACAGGTTCCAAACAAACAGGAAGCTGCAGTTCCTTTGACTGCCCGGGACCATGACTGACTTCCCATTGGAAAAGTGATCAAATAAAATATTTGTTCAGACACTGATTTCCCCCAGACTACAGATCCATTTTCTGACAATATTTTGCTGTAAGGCCTGATCCTGCAACTCTTAGTCATGCAAGCAGTTCTTACTCCAGCCATTACAATAACATCAATGTGATTACTCACAAAAATCAGGGTACTGATTTGTAAGTTCCTTGGGGCAGAGGTTCTACTCCTTCTAAGCTACACTTGATCAACAGTACAGCACCATACATGGCTTATGGCACTATATACTATTTGCTTTATTTTACTCCTATTCTCTTGCACCTTTTTATTGTGTCAGTTGTTGCCATTTATGGAAGCAGACCACCTCATCATTATTAATATTAGAAGTTATGCACAAAAATGTAACTGGTGCCATACCATCAGCTGAACTGTCCTCTTTCCTGGTAGTACGCTTTACGGTTTCCCAAATTCTGTTGGGTAAGAAGAGGAGAAAGTGGATGTGTTAATCCTAAAAAAGGAAGTGTACTATAGATACATGCTTTCCACACAAATAGCCAACTTGGAACTTTGCTACCTTCATTCAAAAGCAAAACATGCAAACATACAGTGAGAATGGTACTAAGGAGCAACTGCCAAGAGGCAAGCACTATACTAAGTGATCCCTGTAAAGTATCTGTAAGGTCTCAGTCTCAATTTTGTTTCACCTTTAGTTAGAGACATAGTCTAGCTAGCAATGATTTTTGATGGTTGCTTAGGACAATAAATAAATAATATTTCGGACTGTCAAGCAATTAAAAAATTAATCACATGATTACTCACGCTGTTAATAACAGAATACTATTTATTTAAATATTTGTGGATGTTTTCTACATTTTCAAATACTGATTTCAATTACAACAGAATACAAAGTATACAGTGCTCACTTAAAGAATAAATATAATTACAAATATTTGCACTGTAAAAACAGTGTTTTTCAATTCACCTAATACAAGTACTGTAGTGCAGTCTCTATCGTGAAAGTTGAACTTACAAATGTAGAATTATGTACAAAAAAAACTGCGTTCAAAAATAAAACAAAGTCCACTGTGCCCACTTCTTATTCAGCCAATCGCTCAGACAAACAAGTTTGTTTATATTTGCAAGAAATAATGTGGCCTGCTTCTTATTTACGGTGTCACCTAAAAATGAGAACAGGCATTTGCATGGTACTGTCGTAGCTGACATCGCAAGATATTTACGTGCTAGATGTGCTAAAGATTCGTATGTCCCTTCAAGCTTCAACCACCATTCCAGAGGACGTGTCCATGTTGATGATGGGTTTTGCTCGATAAGGATCCAAAGCAGTGCAGGCCTATGCATGTTCATTTTCATCATCTGAGTCAGATGCCACCAGCAGAAGGTTGTTTTCTTTTAGGGTGGTTTGGGTTTTGTAGTTTCCGAATTAGAGTGTTGCTCTCTTACGACTTCTGAAAGCATGCTCCACACCTCATCCCTCTCAGATTTTGGAAGGCACTTCAGATTTTTAAATCTTGGGTCGAGTGCTGTAACTACCTTTAGAAATCTCACATTGGTTCCTTCTTTGCATTTTGTCAAATCTGCAGTGAAAGTGTTCTTAAAACGAACAACATGTGTTGGGTCACCATCCAAGACTGCTATAACAGATGTAAATGGCAGAATGCAGGTAAAACAGAGCAGGAGACATACAATTCCCTCCAAGGAGTTCAGTTACAAATATAATTTAATGCATTTTTTTTAAACTAGCGTCATCAGCATGGAAGCATGTCCTCTAGAATGGTGGCCGAAGTGGCATACGAATGTTTAGCATATCTGGCATGTAAATACCTTGCAACGCTGGCTATAGAAGTGCCATGTGAACACCTGTTCTCACTTTCAGGTGACATTGTAAATAAGAAGCAGGCAGCATTATCTCCCATAAATGTAAAGAAACTTGTTTGTCTTAGTGATTGGCTGAACAAGAAGTATGACTGAGTGGACTTGTAGGCTCTGAAGTTTTACACTGTTTTATTTTTGAGTGCAGTTATGTAACAAAAAAAATCCCACATTTGTAAATTCCACTTTCACGATAAAGAGTTTGCACTACAGTACTTGAATAGGGTGAACTGAAAAATATTGTTTCTTTTGTTTATAATTTTTACAGTGCAAATATTTGTAATATAATATAAAGTGAGCACTATACACCTTATATTCTGTGTTGTAACTGAAATCAATATATTTGAAAATGTAGAAAAACATCCAAATATATTTTATACATTTCAATTGGTATTCAATCATTTAACAGAGCAATTAAAACTACAATTAATTGTGATTTTTTTGAGTTAATCGCATGAGTTAACTGCGCTTAATCGACAGTCCTAATAATATTTAGTTCTTCTATAGCATTTTGCATCCATGGATCTCAAAGCACTTTATAAAGGAAGACAAGTATCATTATCCCCATTTTACAGATGGGGAAACTGAAGCATAGAGGTGAAATTAAGACAGCAGGTCAATATATTTAGAATGGTTATTTTGAAGAGCTGCAACATAAAATAGAAGAGACAAATTTTATAGACTGGCTAATTTTGTCTGGAAAAAGCAATAAGCAAATACTTACATTCTGTCTGCCTCATGCATAACAATCATTATGTGAAAATAAAAGAAGGTTACTCTGAAAGGTCCTAGCTCAGTTACCCATTCCTGTTAGTAACTGGAAGTCAAAAATGACACAGCCTTTCTTGCAAATCAAAAATAAGTGATGGGACTGACACAAAAAATAAACCTTTCACACAGGCCTCAATCATTGCCACTTCTTGAGGCTACTCTTAAAGGGGAAGGAGACTTTAGAGAGAGCAATCAGAAAGGACCCCAATGCTCTAGGAAGAAGAAAAATAAGGTAGCGCTGTCATTTCCAGTCATCACGACAAATTAAAAAGATAGATTTATCTGACACATGAAAAGAATTAGACAGGCCTGAGAATATGAATGAGAGGGTAAGAAGCAGGCAAGACCACCCCTTCTCCAAACAATACCATCCCAACAATATGCAAGACCCTGCACAGTCTCAGACATCATGCCATCAACAGGGGAAACGGAGTTCTTTGGGAATGACCAGAAAAACCAAAGGGAGCTCTTGATAATCATCTGTTTGCATGTTAAAACCTTGCAGCATTAGGTCTGCACAGCATCTTTGCAAATGACTGGAACCGCAAGATAAACACATGGATTAAATCCAAGGTATTAACCTACAGAATAAAGAATATTTGCTAACAATATTTGCTAACAAAGTCCAACAACAAAAAAGGTCAAATTCTTCTTCAGAGTTACTGCATTAATGTCAAAGGGGTAATCTAGCCCAGTATGTCAAGTAATTGGTTTATAGGTGCTCAAATTCCATAGCCTTTGGCTAGTTCAGACAGAGAAAATTGGAAGAACTGCAAGAATTTTAAAATGTCTCAGCAAGGAAATTACCTGGTTTTACCGGAGGGATCAACATAGGTCGTCTGTTCAAGCTTCACCCATTTTCTTTCTGCGATTGTCTAACAAAAAATAATAAATTAAACAAGTAGGGACATTGTCCCCATCGAGATTTGCTAGGCAATTTTGTTATTTTGGAAAGATGTTGCAAATTCAGTGTGTGTGGGAAGCTGCAATACTAACATGTAAATGCATGCACTGAGGAGTTCTTGAAATAGGAACTGAAAATAACTCATGTGACATATGTAAGGCTAGGCTGGGACTGTCAAAGGAGTTTAGGGGAATTAGACAACCAAGTTTCAATGGAATTTGGTGGGATTTGGGTGCCCATCTCCTTTGGGCTGCTTTGAAAGTCTCAGCCCTAATCTTTAAAATAAAACATGAAGGCAGTGCCTTGCCCCTAGAAGGGGGCTGGTTTCAGCTGTGTGTAAAAGGGGTATGGAGAATTTGCCTACATGGGCTTTAGCCATGATGCGGGTTATGACTGCTCAATTATCTGAGATCTGGGAGTCAGGAGAACTGGTTCTATTCCCAACTCTGCCATTGACTCACTTTGGGACTGTCACTATTCTCCCCATCTGTAACATAGGGATAGCGATTCTGACCTGATTTGAAGGCCTTTGGAGATCTACCAATGAGAGGCTCTACGCATTATCATTACTATCAACTCCATGGCCACCTACATGCCTGTGGGCTTTTCATGGCTGAGCAGAGGTATTCTTAACTTCCCTCCACCTAGTGTTTTGCCCATTCGTGTGTGGTCCCTTGAGGAGAGGTGGAACTAGATGTTAGTTTTGCCGTTTCTCTCATTTATTATGGCTTGCACGTAAGTTGGAAGTGTTTGCTAATTAAATGGCTGCTGGGAGGGCAGACAGAAGACTTGTTTCTGAAATCCTGCAGAGGACTGGGAGGCTTGGGGATAGGTTACATCAGCAGAGTGATGCCAAACCAATGGCACTGGGAACAGCAAGAGGTCAGAGAGGAGGACTGGCAGCTACAGAGGAGAAGCGTTTCCAATTAGCCATTTGGAACCAGGATCACTCCACTCTCAAGCTGTGAGCAGAGAGAAAACCTGACAGAAGCAGGGAACTGTGGTGGTGGATAAATAGGGAGACTCTCTAGAGGCCAGCGTAGTCTCAGGTGGTTAGTACATCAAATTTCTGTCGTGTAGACCAGGCCACAGAGTAAATGAGACATCTGGCCACAAAGGTCATGAAATAGGAGAAACTCCTGCTAGAAAGAGAAAGAATGCAGCCCAAGAAGGAGCAGCAACATCGAGAGCATGTGAAGAGAGAAAAACAAGCATAGGATGAAGAGACAGAGACTGAGCCACTAGTAACCTAAGAATTAGGTAACTGACAATGGAAATGGATCATTTCACTTCATCCCTAAAACCAATTCTAAGTCCATCTTACAGCATTCTGCTTGTCCACTTGCCTGGGACAAGTCAGTTATTTTGAGGGGCAAACAAAATATCAACCACTTTTCCATCACCATGGCCAACTCGATTTTGTGCCTGGAAATTTTCATGGTTATTTTGCAAGGTTGTTCTAAGTTATCCTTGAATTACAGGAAGCCAGAAATACTTTCAAAGGGCTTTTGGATGATCTGTGGTCACAGCAGTGTAGCAGGAATGGAGAAGGTGAAGTTTCTAATTCCTTTACCAAGGTATAACAGGTAGGAAGCATGCAGACTTCTATAAGATTGGATTGCAAGCACCCAGGTATATTTTATTGCTTTAAATTAACCCCTAAGGCATATAGGGAATAAACTGAATGAGACCCAAAATAGGAAGAGACGAAAATCATGTTACAGTTGCAGCCAACATCAAGGGAATTATAATTAAAAAAAAACAACAAGATTTCTACACCAGTTGAAGCCTTTGAGTTAACGGGGATTAAGCAATTATTTTCAAACTTTGCAGAATGTATAAAGGCCTGGATTATTGATCATGGCCCAACAATGTTGCACAGGCAGCAAACCCAGCAAATCATTACCCCAGTATCTATCTTGGCATTGCTAAATAGCAAAGAGGAGAATGGCGGAAGTCAGAACCATATCAATGTGCTACAAGAAAGTGAGGAAGGAAGAAATGACTAAAGTTACCAGGAAATGGACCACATCCAAACTTGAGAAAGGAGAAGACAAAAGGGGATGCCATGTAGGGAGTAAAACAGGATACCTGTCATAAGAATGCCTGGTATACCAACAGAGGCCAAAAGTGGCAATTAAGAGGCAACCCAGTGTAATAGTTAATAGGGTATAGGTCATCCAGCACCTCCTGTGAGTGGTTGTTATTTAAATGCTCCAGAATCCACCCCAAAGCCCAGGTGAATTACATGCTACTGGAGAACCACAAAGCCCTCAGTGTTACCTATAAAGGAAAAAGAAACTCTGCTGTCACATGCCTGGTTGGATGCATGGTCAAACTCTGTGCCAGTTGATAGAGAGAGAGAGAAAGCTTTATGCTGTGAGACACAAATCCTTTGCTTAGACCCTAGCTAAGGATGCTTCACATAACATTCAGCTAAGCATATTCAGTTTGAATCACCTTCTATTTGTGACTTCTCTCTATTGCTGTTATGCCAATAAAATCTGCTTCTCTCCAACATAACCTGACTGCAGAAACAGTTAGAGGACACAATCAGCAGGTGCCTTAGAGAGAAACTGTACTCCAATGTTAGGTGATCCAGAATCAGAAGTCCACAACTTCTTTAGTAAAAGGTCCTGGACAGAGGGGCTGTGGCTTCTGTTCTCAAACAATGCCACAAGAAGTCTGGTGAAAACCAGCATGGCACAGGGAAACACAAATGACCTGAAATATACTAGAGCTGGCTACAACCTGCTACCACTATTTGGAGGGTGCAAAAGAAAAAGCAGGAGAAGGAATCATTAAGAGTAGCAAAAGGGATTGAGGTGTAATAGGCTGAAACTAAAATGGCCTGAAAAGGCTTGTGCCCAGTTTTGCTTCATTGAAAAATACCCCCTTAGCCCCGCCCCCAGCCCCCCCGAAATGTTAGTTTTCCTGCTTGCTTATTTATGTAAGAAATTTGGGTCTTGTCTGCCCTGGGAAACTATCGTGACTGGAGATCTAATGAAATGATGACACCAAAAGCATCAAGAGAATGAAAGCTGAGCAACTGAAAGAGGAAGAGATTTTTAATAAGACAGTTTAAAAGTCCTCTTTTAAACAACCATTTAACTCCAATGGCTAACAAACACTTTATAGAAAGGATTTCATTGTTAAAAGACAACACTCCTGCAGCTTCAGTTAAGGTGCACAAGCTCAGAGTAAACATCCACAATACTCTCAGGACACTACCACTATAACCAGAGAGGACTAGTTCTGATATTTCCAATACTGCTAAGATAGGAACAAGCACAAACTGTTGAAAAAACCCTAAAAAGCAAACAAACATGTTAGGTCCTCTTTATGTACCATAAAGCGGGGGGGGGGGGAGGGAAGGGAAGGGCGCACACACAATTTTAAAAAATCCTTTGCAGGTCATCTTTAAGGAAAGGAAAATGTAGGCTGAATATCAGAAAGCAGTGAGTTCAGTTACAGTGGAATGATCTCTCCAGGGGAGTGGTGAAAGTCCCATTATTTCAGACATTCAAAGCTACCCTGAACAGCCTAGAAAGTATTGTCGGGAACAACTGTGCCTGGGGTCTGAGGGAGAGGGGAGATGCACTAGATAACCTCTGTGTAATTTCTATGACTGTGTTAAGGTGAAAGTTCCTCATCTTTCATCTGCGTATCACCTACTTTGACTCTAATGACTTCAGGACAAAAGCCCTATCTTCATACATCTAACATGCTACATAGCATAAGGTTTTCTCACTCTGCACAGATGTAATATTTTCTAACATTCAATAGCAGCCTTAAATAAATGCTACATTAGTTAATAAATATAAACATGGCAAAAATAAACGCTTTATACCTCTTCTTTAAGGATGGATGGTCTGGTAGATTTCAGAATCTCTGTGGTTGCTTTGTTTTCCATTTTCAGGGATGTCTCTTGCACCTCCTGCACAAAGTCCACACTACTACAAAACAGAGAATCGATATTTATCTTCAGAGTAAAGTCAAACCATTCATCCGTGCATTCTGAATTAACAAATCATTCTCCTAAACATGCTTCATTAACATTTAAGGTCCCACACACTCATCAGTTTGCAAACATCATGGATGCTGCTAAGACAGATGGGGGCAGATCTTCAGCTGATATAAATTTTCATGGCTCCGCTGACTGCAAAAGAGCTAGGGAAATTTGCACCAGCTATGGAGCTGCCCCACAATATTTATATGCCATGCATGGCAGGGTGCACCACTACTGTTGCCCCTTTTAAGTCACAGTGCTACTTTGCTCTCAATGGAATCTTACTCAATAGACTATTGCCACAGCATGCAAACTAGCCTAGAGGACAAAGCATGACACGGTAAGGCTAAGGAATTAACCCCAAATATCAAAGGGAATTCAGAGTGAAAACCACCACTGCTGAGAATGAGGAATCTCATTCTCATATCAATCAATCTCAATCAATCAATCAATCTCATAGAGTAACAAGCTATTAGACTAGGGGAAAAAAAATCACATAGGGCATTCAGTCCCTTTCCCACTCAAGAGGCAATGCAGGATTATCCATTTCCCAATTAATTTGTCCTGTCTAGCTCTAAAGCAGAAGATATGCCAGGCAGCACAGCTGTGCATTTTTACCACTAAAATCTTGGGTTCAGGTCAGTGGAATGTTTGGTGCTTTGTCTGCATCACAAAACTATCATATAGTTCAGTACAGAGTTGAAGCCCAGGGTTCCTACTGAAATGAGATAACAGACAGGACAAAGCAGAAGGGGAGGAAAAAACCCACTGGGGAACAATCCAACATTGACAATGAGGTGGAAGAGATGACCTAATAACTTTTTGTTTAGTGTTTATGAGCTTACACCAACTCTCAGCGAAGCCAATAGGAGTCTTTCCCCCAATTTCAGGATACATTAGATAAAGCCCTACAGATTCTGTGATCATGAGAAATGACCAAGGGGTGGGAAAACTTGCACAGCACTTTCCTGCTGTACATTTGACTTTAGCTGGTGCTTTTCACCTCTCATTCTTTCACAAAATCCATTCTATATTTTTAAAGTATTGGACGTGTGCTTATCTCAGCTTTCTTGAGTATATGCACCGGGGCACATCTCCCCTAGCACAGTCCTACAGAGACAAGGAATGTTACATAGTCTGGAGGACACTAAACGATACTACTACGGAAACACAACTAATTTATTACAGGCCCAAATCTACAATCCATACTCAGGCCAGAGACTCTCGTAGGTCTAATGGGGTCTGTGATGGAGTTTTCATAGCACACCTCACCTGAAAGGGTTAAGGTAGCTAGGAAGGGGCTAATTAAAATAACAGGCTGCACTTAGGGAAGAATTAGACTGGATAGGTAAGCCCTAACAGAAGATGAAGCTCAGCTGAGCAGGTATAGGCTGGGCCTGTACAAAGCCAGCAAGTTGAGAACAGAATTAGGCGGTAGGGGAAGTAGGCTAGTCTTTCCCTGAGAATTAGGCACTTGAATTGAACCCCGGGGGTGGGCTAGAACACAGAGAAAGAGAAATGAAGTAGGAAAGAGTACAGGGAAATAGCAATGTGGTCTTGGCATAAGCGGACCATGAGGCAGAGGGTCTGAAACCTGGAATAGTGGGTGGGTCTGGGTTCCCCGATCACCCACTGGGATAGTGTATAGTCTTAGAGGATGCCCTGGAAAGGCAGCTGGACAGTTGGTCTGGAGAGACTGTGTTACCCTGGAAAGGAAGGACCTATAGTGAGGTGGCTGGAGAGCTGAGTTACAAATAGAAGTTGCATGGAATCCCACAGAGCAAGTGGGGCTGTGGTAAGGGTGGGATGATGGAAGAGGGCATCAGAGCTGGAGGGAGCTAATCCCCAGAGTAGCCACTATCCTAGCAGTGAGTGTATCCCATGACAGAGTCCTTGCCAGTTTAATGATTGCTGGATGAAGCCAAAGCATCTTTCACAAAAAAGACTCAGACTTTAAAGTTACTGTTTAGTTAGACCTGCAGCAAAGAGATACAAGGAAAATTTGTCACACGTTCTAAAATAAACTAAGCTTGAATGGTTAGTAATATCCGAATCCAAAATAGACAGAAAATACCTCCTCCTATTTCACAACAGTTTCAGAAAGAGACAATGATAGATATTAGACATATGCAGTGTTGCTGTAACCATGTCTGTCCCAGGATATTAGAAAGACAAGGTAGGTGAAGTGTAATATCTTTTACTGGACCAAATTCTGTTGGTGAGAAAGACAAGTTTTGAGCTTACACCGAGGTTCTCTTCAGGTCAGTGTCTCGGCTTCAGCAGTTTTGATATTTTCCACTAGTTGGTGCAATAACTCCGAGTAACATTTAGACAAGGGCTTTGAAAGAAGTGTCAGATTTCCACATTCTGCAGATGGCATGGAACCAGGACTTTCAGGTGTCAAAACACTGAAATATAATTTGGCTCATTGAGGGTTATGATTCAGATACTGTCAAAATTCGAGAGCAGCAACAGAGTTAAAGATTAATAAACAATTAACTGCAATGGAATATAAGCTGGTTTAAAGCTGCATTGTAACAACGTGCACTACGTTTGTGTATCTGATCTATGGACACACATCATGCCAAAGATCTGGAACATGATGTTCTCTTGTACTATCACCTACAACGTGTAGTCCTGTATCAGGTTTAGATGAACTCCACTAATGTAATGCTTTATAGCTAGCAGTGCAATTTTAAAATCCTGATTTCAGTAAAACAAAACAAAACAGTGAATTCACGGTTAGCTTGCATTCTCAGCCTAACAGCTGATACGTATTGTAAACATGGGCAGAAACGTGATCGTCTTAGTCCTGTCTGCTTGCCTCTTATGCCTAGTAATATAGGACACTAAATTTGTCATGGTATCTGCTCCACTCACCTCTCCTGGGGCTCAATTGAGTCCTGCTTACCTGAGGAGTGAGTTTGGTCCCACTGTTAATTCTACATTCTGATCAGACCTCTCTTGAAGGTAACCCCCCCTCACCAATCAGTTTTTAAACTTATCCTTGAAGCAATTCAGAATTGAGCCAACTAAAGCCTACAAATCAGCTTAGAGGTTAGCCCTGCTGAAAGAACATTACAACAAGATGTGATAAAAACATGGATAAGCTTCCCTAAATCAGTCTTCAAAAGGCATGATCTGATCCCAGCTATGTTTCCCAGTTGATAGCAACCAGAGTTAATAGCAGCTAGAGTATGTTGTTCAGAAAAGCTCAGGACTAAACTAAATATCCAGGTTTCTTACCACTCTAGGATGTCTTTCAAAAAATGTTCTAAGGGGATACTGTCAAGTAGCTGAAGTATAAATTTTTTCCTACAGCACCTTGATGTATATATTTGAGATGATTTGTCCTCCAGATTCTAAATATCTTTTAAATCCACTGATCTGTCACCAATAGCCACTGCATTTGCATTGCACAAATGCATCTGGCTTTGCTGCTAGAAGCAGCTAGCAGCTTAAGTCCAGCTTCATTTGTTGAACTGTGCCACATCACTAATGAGGCTAAGGGCTTGTCTACACTTAGTATTGCGGCTGTAGCACTTAGTGAAGACGCTACCTATGCAGATGGGAGAGCTTCTCCTGCCAGCATAGAAACTTCACTTTCCCAAAAGCAGCAGCTATGTCGATGAGCAAAGCCCTCCCGGTGACATAGCACTGTCTACACTAGGGGTTAGGTCAGTATAACTACATTGCTCAGGAGTGTGGAAAATCCATGCCCCTGAGTGCCGTAGTTACAGTACCAACTTGTGTTGGTATAGAGTGTAGACCAAGCCTAAAAAACAACTAATGAAGGCAAATAGTGCACTAACTTGAGCTCTGAGAAAGAGCATGAAAATAATAGCCAAAAGGAAAAGAAATCAATGGTTGCCATCCTGATATTTGGCAATGTTACATTTCTGCTCTGATGTTTATTAGCACCAATGGCCTACTCAGCACTGTACGGGATATGAAGGAATAAATGGTCCTTGCCTCATTGGGGTTATGTTCTAAATGGAGAGAGAGAAAAACTGCTTTGAATCGCCAGAGGGTGATTATCAGAACATTGCAATTATTATTACAAAGTCTGTTTCAGTTAATGGGCAGGTGAGGATTTACGTGAGTTAGCCCAATTTAGAAGAGTCTGAATTAAGGGAGTATAATAATTTTGTGCACCTTCTGCAAGGGTAGTTCTGAGTGCAAAGGGCTACAGTGTAAAAGGCATGAAGAGAGACACAAAAAGGGAGAGGCAGTGAAAGAATAGTGGGAATAAGGAGAGTGGTTGGAAAGGTGAGCACACAGTTCTTCAACTTATACTGCCCCTAACATCACCTCACACTGAATAAAATCAAGACCCTGCTAACTGGAGTAAGACAAGAAGAGGAAAAATCTATCTTTATATGACTATTTGATAATTTTGGGAGGCCTAAAAAAATAAGTGATGGGGCCATATAATTAGATTATTCACAGATTAGATAAATTCACAGATTCTTAAAGCCAGAAGGAATCATTAGACCATCTAGCCTGATCTCCTGCTAGCAAACAGGGGAGCTTGAGATGGGAAGAAGGAGAATCCCCTGATGAATGAACTAGGTGTAAGTATTAACTTTGGGATGAGTGAGCTTGTTTGGCTGTTTGTTTTTCTTTCTCTTTCAGGTTATTTCAGTTATTTTCAGTTGCAGGATCAGATGGGATTGTGTGTCTGGGGACTGTTGAGCCTTTGTTCCCTGGATCATCTCTGATCAGCCTCAATTAGCCTTGTGATCACCCTCCCCCTATGTGATTAATGAGGGGGTAGGGCTGACCTAGGAGAGAAGACTTTAAAAGCCAGAGGCTAACCAACCAAGGGACTGCAAACAGGGGAGTTTGAGAGGGAGTTTGAATATAGTTGCTATGGTTAGGAAGGGCTGCATCGCCAGTGCCAAGGCTGCTCCTGTCTCCTCCACCTGCGCCTGTATCCAGACAGACAGCCTAACCTGGAAGCCTCTACCCAGATCCTGGTGTGGATTTGCAGAAACCATGGCCTGCATTTCCCACACTCGGAAAGCCAGGCTGGGGGGGACCATACAGTGCAAAAGGTGCCTGCTGGTGAAATGTCTTAGGAAGCAGGTGGGGAGCTACAGGAGGAGGTGGCTAGGCTGAGGAGCATCCGTGCCCACAAGGAATTCCTGGAGAGTATTCACATGGAGACATCCAAGACTGAGGAAGCTATCCAGCTACAGAGAATTGCTGTCACATCACCGGGAAAGGAGCATATGGCTCTGTCACAGGGAGGACACTGGCAGCTGGTTAATTCTGGCAGCAGGCAGTGCTCCACCCCTGCCCCCAACCCATCCACCATGGTGACGGAAAACCAATATGCTGCCCTGACAACAAGTGATGAGGAATCATCCCCAGAGGAGGAGGAAAAGCCATGTACCCCCTGCTCGCCCATGCCATCCCTGTCCCTACTGCCCCATTGCCCCTGCTCCCTGTTATGCCATGCCCATCCCTATTGTTACCTGTCACCTCTATGTTCTTGGGGAACCCAGGGTGCAGTACCCAGCAGCTCTGACTCACAAAAGACCTTCCCCCACAGCCTCTGCTTAAACCAAAACTGATCCGAAGACTTACAAAAAGCAATGGAAAGGCAGGGAGAAAGACACCTAAACCCCTGGGCTAAGGATGACTAGATTAAGGAAACTCCCCTAGCCTTATCTGCATCAGAGATGGGACATGGAGGCATCTCCATTAGCATACAGAATGCAGAACAGAGATTCTAAGACTAGAAAAGCAGGGAAGCACTGCACGATGGGGATCTCTGCTCCAGATGTTAATGAACCCATGCCTGCACACATCCAGCTCAGTTGTCATTAGACCAATTTGAGTAATAAATCCCTTATGGGTATCCAAAATAGTGAAGCTCCCTAAGCATTGTGAGCTCCCTCCAAAGAACACCGCCCATAGTAAGGAATGATCAGCTTGCATTGTCTAGCCTGAACAAAACAACTTTGGTATACTCCCTTGAGCCATCAGTTTACACATAAACAAATCTAGTGTTCTCCCTTGAACCACTGTTGTTTCTCCACAAAAACCCCTACCCATGCTCAAGTAAGTGTTGTGATGCCTGGATCCAAAGTCTGCATCACTTCCATTGGGACTTCATCTTCTCCTGCCTGATCATTCTAGGGGCTCTGCCTGTCTCCAGCACTACGGACCCACGACCACCTGGGACCCCTGATCGATTCAAGCTTCATGGGGTGGTGAGAACCCAGCTCTCTCTCTCGGTATAGCCTTCTGACCCTGACTTGTGTGATCAGTTATAGTTTTCTAAACCTGACTTTTATAATCAAGTTTAAGTTATAATATTAAATCTAACTCTTTTGTTTCTTTGGCTCCCCTATGGTTATTACCTGGCAATAAATAACTTTCATGACTAAGCTGGTTGCTTCTCTCTCTCCCTGCCCCCTCGCAGGTGTTTTTTGGTTTCCTCATTTGCTCTGCAGCAATGCTCCTCATACCTCGGCTAAAAGATCCCTGCAGCATCCAAAAATCCTGTGGTTTGCTCATCAAGTGGGTTACGACCAGAACAACTGTAACGTGAAGGCGGGGATAGGGACGTGCTGAACCTGGGGCACATGAGGGTGGCAGCTTTGAAGTGCTGCTCAACCCAGCCTGCTGAGTCTAGGGGCATATGAGGGTGGCAGACTGGAAGTGCTCCTCGACCCAGCCTGCTCGGCATACTCTATGCCGGTGCGGTGCCCAGGGCATATGAGGGTGACAGCCTAGAAATGCTGCTTGACCAGCCTGCTGAGACCAGGGACATATAAGGGGTCAGCCTGGGAGTGCTGATTAACCCGGTCCTCTCAGACACACTCAGTGAATGTGTGTGCTTGTCTGACTGTGGGGCAGGAAGAAGCCAGCCCTGGGGAACCTGCAGGATCGCTCCTCGGGGAGGGGACCGGGAGCAGGGAGAAGAAGAGCTCCGTATGAGGACACAAGCAGCACACGGATAGAAATACAGACACCCCGCCCCCCCCCGAGAAGAGTAACCCTATTAAATGAGCACACCCCAAAGCAACAGGCAAAGCTGGAAACACTACTGCCCCATTGCCCCGCCCCCCGTTATGCCACCCCCGTCTCCTGCCGCCCTATCCCCCCACCGTCTCGCTCCCGCCCTAGGCGCACCCGCTCTCCACACGGCGTGGCCCCTCCCCCCCAGCCGCCTCTGACCGTTGCCCTCTGCGCGGTGACTGGCTGGCCGGGACCCTCGCCAGCGGCTGCTCCGCGCTCACTGCTCGCTCCCGGCCTCGCGCAGGGACCGCTTGACCCCGCCCCCCCTCTCAGCCTCCCGGGCTTCCCTTCCGGGTCTCGGCTGCCACTCCTTCCGCCCCCGTGTCTCCGGCTGGCCGCTCGCGCCGGGCCCCCTGCCTGGCGCACTAGAAGCGAGTTCCGGGCGGCTCCGCTGGGCCTGGGCGGAGGGTTCCGGGCGCGGGAGCGGACTGGGAGCCACGACGATGAAGAAGGAGCAGGTGCTGCACTGCCAGTTCTCGGCGTGGTACCCGCGCTTCCGGGCCCTCACCATCCGCAGGTGGGAGCGGAGCGGGCCCGGGGGGCAGGGCATGGAGGGGCTGGCCCGGGGGCGCTTGGGGGCAGGGCATGGAGGGGCTAGACTGCGGGGCGTGGAGGTAGGACATGGAGGGGCTGGCCGCCGCGGGCGGGGGACGTGTAGGGGCAGGACATGGAGGGGTGGGGCTGGCCCGGGGCAAGTGGGGGCAGGACATGGAGGGGCAGACCCGTGGGGCGGGGTGTGGGGGCAGGGCATGGTAGACTCAGTAAGGGGGGAGCTGGCCTGGGGAGGGCATGAGCACCAGGATGGTTATTCTGGGTCAGACCAATGGTCCATCTAGCCCAGTATCCTGTCTTCTGCTAGTGCCCAGTGTTTCCGAGGCTGGGGTCGGAGTGTAGGGGAGAGCATTGAGGGCTGGGGAAGGTGTGGACGCAGGGCATGGAGCTTACACCTTTTCATGGTTGAGGAATACAGTGACAAAATGAATTGCATAGAAAATCTTTCATATAAAGAAATCCTTCATGAAGTTTTAGTCTTCTCTTTGCCCCACCTCCCTTACCCCATCTAAAGAAAAGGTGTTTTTGTTGGTTGGGCTTTTTTTTGGGGGGGGGCGTGAGGGGGAGCGTAAGGTTGGGATAGAACACAACAACTGTGTTCATGTCTGTGTGTGTTTCTTCCGCAGAATTAAAAGGACATGGAATGTTACTGGGATTTTTTAAATTATTCTAATAAATTTTCTGCCTTTTGTTTGTTCAGTGCTATACTTCCACTTCCAGAGAATGTGAAGGATTATTTGCTGGATGATGGAACTCTGGTAGTTTCAGGAAGGTAAAATCAAGTATTTTTCAAATATTAAATTCTGTCTCCCTATACTTAATTCATCTGCATATATTTGATAATATAGGGTGAATGAAAATCAATTATTTAGGAAACAAACCCACCCCCATTTTTAATTTAAATTAGATTCTTTATTTTAGTTAAATACAAGTTTATTTTTTTAAAATCAGCCCTTTTAAAATTAAATTTGAAAATGACAACCTATATTCAGGCCTAAATTTATTATGTAATCTGTTAAAATCCTTTAAATTGAATAGTACTTGTTTGCTGTCAAGTTTTAAAGAAAGTCAGATCACTGAAGCAGTGGAAGTTACTGGCTAAGCACCTGGAACTAGAGTTTGAAGTGCTAAACCAACCTTTAACAACAGTAGCATCTTTTTGCAAGTGTAGAGAGAATACATTCCGTCAGAGAGGCACTGCTGTTATGCCCACCAGGGTCTGCTGTGGCACCAGAACAGAGAGCAGCCAGCTCACCGGCAGTAGCAAACAGCAGCTGGCTGCATTGCTCACAGCGCCCTGCCTGCAGGGCCAGGTTAGGAGGCATGGGTTATGGGGGGCGGGAGAGGGCTGCTGGGGAATCACATAGACTGGGGTTCAGAAGGGCTAGTGGTGGGGGACAAACTGTGGCAAGGGCTGAATGGGAATGGGGTGTAGGGCCACATGGGAACGGAGAGCAGGGGAGTGCAGGGCCACATGGGAACGGAGAGCAGGGGAGTGCAGGGCCACATGAGGACGGGGCAGAGGGTGGCCGAGTGGGGGTATGGGATACATGGGGATAGGGGCAGATGTGCCTGAATGAATGGGAGAGGCTAGGGGGTCAGCCAGATTCTGCATGGAGGAGCTCCCCAACTCCCTAACAATCCTCCTCCCCCCAAAAAACCCACTGTTCCATACTTCTCTCACCCATACCCAACAACCCCACAGGTTCACTCCCAGGCTCCTTCCCAGCAATTGCTTCCCTCTCCCTCAGTTTTTCCGTTACTCCTAATTCCCACAAGCCTTTGCCACTGCTTCTGAGGGGTGTGGGAAATAAGCTTCTGTATTGTAGTCATAGGTGCCGACTCTGTTGGTGCTCTGGGGCTGAAGCATCCACAGAAAAAAATTGTGGGTGCTCAACACCCATAGGGGCCCCACTGATCAGCTCCTCCCCTCTCCCGCCCCCGTGCCTCCTGCCCGCCAGCGTCCATGTCGATCGGCTCCTTCCCCTCCCTGCCAGTGTCTCCTGCCCTCTGCGGATTAGCTGTTCAGTGGTGTGTGGGAGGCGCTGAGGGGAAGGGGTGGAGCGAGGACAGGGTATATTCAGGGGAGGGGGTAGGAAGAGGTGGGGTGGGGCCTTGTGGGAAGGAGTGGAGTGAGGGCATGGCCTGGGGCAGAGTGGGGGTTGATCACCCCTTGGGAAATGAGGAAGCTGGCCCCTGTGATTGTAGTTTAAATGAATTATTACTCAAGAGTTCTGTATTAATATGCCTAGTAAGGAATCTTTGTCAAAAAAACATTTCCTCCATCTTTTTTGTTGTCTGTATTGTTACAGACATATTTGCTGACAGGTATTAGGAAATAAATTGCCAAAATAATTGTAACTGGTGTGATGATGTTGTGTTATTTTGACAAACAAAATATGTAGAATTTTGCAGAATTTTAAAATGTGCGCAGAATTTCCCCAGGAGTAAAGTCGGACTGAGGGAGTGTTCATTAAAATATTTCAAAAAGATGAAACCATACTATGATGGGGTGGTTGTCCCTCCGAACCCCCCCCCCCATTTGAAATGTTTTCTGTAGGATGCGTATGGGAAATTAGAGTTATCATCAAACTTTTATGGCTAGGAAGGGCCTGCATCCTGCCTCTGATCCTGCATCACTATGTAAATCAACTTAGCCGCTATTATTCAATTTGTGGCCAAGTTTCTGAAAATCTAAGACTCAAGGTCTGATTATGCAGTCGCTGGACATGAGCAGTTTCTACTGTGTTCAGTGGAGAGGTTGTCATATACTGCTGCATAATTTGATTTTTAAGTGTCTTTAAACATACAGTCCTGTATAAAGTCCAGACTTTCTGGAAGGTGAATTTTCTTAGCCAGAAAGCAAACACACATGTCCTAGACATCATCTTCTCTCAATCACGATTAGTCTTGCTTTTAAACCTGGATGAATCAGCATCTGAATCTTAGATCTGCAGAGCTGAATTGTAGTTTGCCCCATAGTATCTTTGTCATTGTCACGAAAGCTCATGCTCAAATAAATTGGTTAGTCTCTAAGGTGCCACAAGTCCTCCTTTTCTTTTAGCAGAAACTCTATGTCTACACTGCAAGTGTACAGTGGCACAGCTACAATGTAGATACTTGCTACGGCAGTAGAAGGGTTTTTTCTATTGCTGTAGTAAATCCACCACCTTGAAAGGTGGTGACTAGGTCGACAGAAGAATTCTTCCGTTGACATAATGGTGTCTATAACAGGGTTTAAGTCGGCTTAACTACATCTTGCGGGAGTGGGAGGGGAAGGGGAGAGGAATCACACACCTAAGTCAATGTAGCTAGGTAGACCTAGGTTTTAGGTATAGACCAGGCTTTAGCTGCTTGCAGTATTTGCTCTCCAGTAACGCTGTCTCGTTAGCAACATGGCAAACATGAAACCTGTCCTGTTTGCTACACTGACTTCCCGCAGAATATGGAATCATAGTCATGGACTCGGTCTTCCCTTTGAGGTGCTCAGTGATATGGGCCAAGGAACCTAAGAGATCACCTAAAGCTCCAAGATGAAGATTGTGGTCAACCACTCCACTCACCAGGCACAACAAAGCACCAACAGTCCAGCTTGTTTGTAAGGGGACAGAACTTTCTCAAATGGTGGTCTGAGACTGTGGAATGAATTCCAATAATATCTAAGAACCATTAAAAACCTCGACTTCTCTTCCATATGTAAGGCCTGCCTCTTTGACCTTACCTACAAAAACACACAGAACATCAAGCAAAGTTAAGAGCTCCCAGTTTTCCCCCAGGGAGAGGAGCCGCATCAGTCCTGTGGTTTTCTAGTTACCTCATTTAATGCACTGCTGGGAGGCACTTACCGTGTTGATGGGTGTGGTATAAAAATCTGAATAAAATGAGTCACACAATATTCAATGAGTTTGAATGGTTTCAGAAGTGAAAGTGATATGCTGACAAAAAAGCAGAATGATCTTGTGACTAGGGCACTGGACTTGGGAGATCTGTCTTCTATTCTTGGCTTTGCCACTGACTCACTGTAACTGTATCACAGTGTATTGTGAGACTTAATTCATCCACTTATAAAAGCACTTTGAGATCTTTAGCTAGCAGTTATGGTTGAAGTCCGAAGTGTTCTGTCAAAATCAAACTCTCAAGACTCAAGATTTCTAAGAGCTTTTTTTTCCCCTCTCTAACTTTTGTTTCAGGGATGATCCCCCAACATGTTCTCAGGAAGCCAGTGTTGATGATCAGGCAGAGGAAATACAGGTGGGTACAAAATGTAATAAAACTTGTGTGAAGTCTCTTACAAAGTAAATGTATTAATACTTACCACATCTGTAGAGATCCATAGGGAGGCATACCACTTTACTGAATAATAAAAACATGGTCCCTGCAATGAGGAACTTATATCTTAGGTTAGATCAGGGATCAGCAACCTTTGGCACACAGCCCGCCAGGGAAATCCGCTGGCGGGCCGGGGCAGTTTGTTTACCTGCAGTTTGTTTACCTGTTGGAGCTGTGATCGGCCTAACCTGCAGACGCTGCAGGTAAACAAACTGTCCCGGCCCACCAGTGGATTTCCCTGAAGGGCCGCGTGCCAAAGGTTGCCGATCCCTAAGTTAGATGCATCCTGACTTCAGGGAGGGAGGAAAGTTTGGATAAAATGTTGCTATGATATTTGTTTCTCACAAGGCACATTTCTTATTAGTTTCTTTATTAACTGGTT